CGCGCATCGATTAGCAAACAGTCCGCGGCGCAATGAAATGATTCAAGCGCAATGTCTTTGTCCAAAAATTCTGTGAGAGCATATTTCAAATTACATCCGTAACACTATGGTTCGCTCAGCAACTTTGTTAGATCATTATACTTTTATACCAATTAATCTGTGTAACGGAGAATTCCGGCCGTACCCGTCTGGGTTGCTCGCGGCCGTCCGCACAAATTATTTATTCGGGGATTCGGGAAGCAAAAGACGTTCCCACGACTGAATAACGCGTCGAGCATAAACACGTTAAACGCACAGATTCGAAGTCGGGATGAGGAGTGATACAGCGGCGAATAAACACAACAGCGGATTAACACTAATCCTTTAATCGTCAACAATGAGTTACAATACAGCGATCTCGCGCTTATACACTACGAGCGGCACAACAATGAATCCGAACGCAAAAGGTGAATCGGCGGCTGATCAGCCTGCCGATTCTCTTTATAAATTAAACCGTTACAATAATGCCCGACAAAATACTTTCCGCCGTTAAACTATCAACGGGATAGCCAGCAGGTCTGCCGTGCTACCACCTATAAGCTGGCGCCCAAACATGCAAGAGAGAGAGATAAGAGGAAAATACAGCACCGACCTCGACCTTCAGCCTCTCCGACGGCTGGAGCGCTCTGCACCGTGACGTCACTGGTGTGCTCCTCGTTGACCGTCTTGCTGATGCCTGTTGTCGTCGCTATTTTCTTCCCTCTCGTTCCCTCGCTCACTCCACAATACTACTGCCCCGATCCGTTGTTCCGCTCGATGGTTGCTGCTGTCGTCGTCTTCGTCGCACCTCTGTTGCTCGGTACTGCAGCACGTCTAAACTGCACGCACGCGCACCCGCGCGCCTCGCCGGTTACCCACACGCACCGGTGTCGGGTATCTTTCGGGACACGGCTGGGCGCGACCCAGCCTCACACTTAAATACTCGTCCGCGCACCGGGCGTGTCCTCGGAAACGAAAAGACGTCGACGAGGTCGCGGGGCCAACTTCGGAAAAACCGCGACCTTTCGGTTTATCCCCGCGTGCGACTTTCTCCGCTCAATGCCTAGCAGAGACTCCCCAATTTTCCGCGGCGAATCGTCAATTCGAGCGCTCTCTCTCTCTCTCTCTCTCTTTCTTTCTTCTTCTGCGCCATCTGCGTCGCTCCAGCAGCCAGCTCAGCCCGTGTTCAGCACCTCGTAAACAAAAGGTCCACGCATGAGTGTGTGTGCCAAACGTACACACTCTCAGCCTGGCGCGGCGCACGGACATTTGCGAGAGCTAAATGGACGAGATCGGCCTAGCCGATGATTACATTGTAAAATAGATTTATTAAATGGTATGTGCATTTTTTACGAATAGAAAGGTGATATAAAGCTATTGTATGTTATTTTATATTACTTACTGTTCGATGTCTTTAGAAGATTCTATAATTCTCATTTCTTCGGCATCTCGCAAATTTGTCCAGCGTTCTGCTATGAACTTTTTCTGCAGTACATTGACAATTTGTCTTCTTTTTATCGCAATATTTAGACCATTGTAACTTGTGTGCGTAATGATGGCTGTAATAAACCAATTTTCTAAAACATGAGATACCAAATCGTCTTTCGCTAATATCATCTCTAGAAATGTTCCACCACTGATCAGACTAATACTAATGAAGGCAAAAACTGTGTATGCATCGTAGCATGATCGCAACCAACGATGCTTTATAGTCGTAGGTTTCCAGAATCCAACAAGTCTCAAAAAGAAAAAAGTCTCGGCAAAAATTTTATATTCGATTCCGGTTTCGTCGATTTCATTTTCCATGGCGAAATAGTAATAAATCAGATTACTTTTACGTTAAATAACTTTTTATAAACAATAACCGTTAACAAGAGATAGCTAACTTTCTTCTTATTTTTCTCGTAAAATTATTAATAAATTACTAACAAGATATATTATCTGGAAATTTCTTCTTAGATATTTTTCAATGATATCTTTTAAGTGAATTCTTTTCAACTTACACTTTTAAATTAATTATTTTTATGTTGATAGTTAACTCAACATTTTTTTGTCAATCATCAAATATCAAAACATAATTCATAACATCAATTTGAAATGCCTTTCCGGCAACGATCTTCTCGACGCGAATCGCTTCAATCCACTAACTGAAACACCGTAGTCAGTCCTACCAATAAGATACAATATACATTTCTAAGTTCAGTGCAAGAGCTTACTGTGCGTCTTTTTTCGCTACCTACAATGAACTACCATTAATTGTAAATGAGCGTTTACGTCTAATGGTTGATCATTATATTTGCGATCATCTGTCGTTTGAGGGGAAACAATTGATCGCTCTTTATATCCATAGCAACGAATACCATATATTGAGTCAGAGTGACAGATATTCATGTACGCCCGTCGTGAAAGATGCAGTCGAAAAATTGCAGTATCTACTTAGTTAAAGTTCCTAGTTGAGTCGCGCTAAGGATTACAGTTACTTGAATATTGACGATAAAAAATGTTTAAATAATAATATTATTTTTCTCTATCATATCAAAAGAAAATTGTTTATTATTTCTATTAAGAACAATAAGATTTTGAAGGGTATCAGCCAGTATTTTTTATTGCTACTTCAAAATAATTTTAGAGACATACCGTTGGGAAACATTATTCGTCTTGAAGTACTAGGTATAATTTATTTTTATCAGTTATAAGTTACGGAATATTAATTATATTGTTCACAAAATCATCGTTTATAAGATATCATTCAGTTATTAGAAAATTTAAGCTGTGCATGTTTTCTCAATGAGAGGGTGGACGAAAAAGACCGACTGGTTACGTTCACTTATTAATTTATTATTTGTAAACGTGATATGTCGTGGCTTGAATAGATCTGATTATTGATGTTAGAAAATTGAAATTTTAAAATAAAAAATTATGTAATTATTGGTATTTTTTGTTTTTACAGCAGTTTCGTTAGAGAAAGTATTTTAAGAAATGATAATTAATAACTTTTTTATTGAGATACTAATTAGAAGGCGAGATCTTTTATCTTAACATATTAATTTAACATATTAACATAAATACTACCCATACAACATAACAAACATCAATATCAATCTGTGTTGGAGTATTCGAACACGAAAAAATATACTTTCTATGAAATTAAGAAAAAATGTATAATTAATTACTTGTTGCAATCAGCACGTATTAAAGCAAGAAGACACGTTTTTTGCATGGTAACCAGCTAATCAATATTAAATTAAAAAAAATTTGACTACTTTGCTTTGAATAAAGATTAATGTAATAACTATTCAAAAAATATGAGAACAATCATGGAAAATACATTTTTTTTATCGGCACGTGCATGAAAAGTTATAAGAAACAGTTATTATAACATGCTAATTCACTCACTGTTCTGTATCTGTAAAATCCTCTATAATTTTACTTTCTTCGCGATCACGAAAACGAGTCCATCGCTTCATCATTATCTTCTTCTGTAACATAACATGATTTCGCTTTTTTTTATTGCAATATTTACACCACTTGACCATGTATGACAAACTATATCTATAAAGTATCAATGTTTTACAAAATGATTATATGCATCTTTTGGTGTTAGCATGTACACAACTGATCCAATAACGATCAGCTCTGAAATAACGAAAGCAGTAATAATTTAATAAACAAAATATTTATTCCAAGAATTTAAATTTAATAAACATGTCTTTATAGTCGCAATTATTTTTCTTCCATCAGCTGGATCTCAAACAAGTGATTGAGTAAATTTATACGCATTCGACTATCATCTTGCTAGCCGTAAAAGCCAGAGCCAGACAATTTCGCGCCTCCTTCCATTGTTTGCCGGCGAAGTTGAATGAATTACCTTCTAAAAAGAGTTCAGCTTCAGGATCGACGATGATCTAGTGGTCAAGGAAACTTACGAAAGTTGTGATCGTGATGGATTCTAGCAATGCCGGATCGCGCAACATGAGGTTCGTTGAATAAAGTTGAAATCACCTACGGACTTGACATATGGATAAACGACAACCAATCCCATAAGGCGTCAGTAATATGCATTCGCTGTAGTCAAATGTACTCATGTTGCCAAATTTTTTGACCGTCTTGGCACGCAAAGCACTCTTCGGTCACCAAAGTATCGGTACTTCTTGCTCACTTACAGACAGAATATTTCGCAAAATCACTTACCGCCCTCACTTACAATGGTTATACACGAGGAAGAAAACTGCAGATTCACTCCAAGCACAGTTGATAGCAGATCTGCTATTTGCCAGAACTTTGATTCGTTTGATCCTACATAAATCTTGTGGGAAAATGACCGCAGCGATGTGCTTAAAAAAAGTGCACGGGGCAAAAAGCAATTGCGTAGTTTCTTTTGTTCAGGACTTCCCCACTTGGATCCCGCCACTTACGCATCTTTGCTTTTATTGTTCATGCTTCATTTAGAATAGTATATAAGATATACGTGTATACATGCGTGATGATCACGTTTTCAATTTTCTTTCTATAAATGTATTTTGAATATAAAAAAGTTATCAACTTTATATCTACGATCGAAAAACTTCCTTTATTTACTACTCACTTTGTGGAGGAAAATTTAAAAAAGATATTGCATGCCTGTTATCCATATACACGTATGATTTTTACATGCTATTGTAGACGCAGCGTCAAAGATAAAGTGCATTTTTCATATAATCTGCTTGTAGAACATTGTCAAAAGTGATCTGCTAATATTGTACATACTTACGAGCAGAATTGGAATCTCGATTTTACTGCAATCTTACGTCAACAATTTTATTTCTGTTATTAACGTCAACAATGAATTCTTGATTAATCATTTGGCGACACGTCATTTTGCGTGGAAATAAGTTTGTTTGGTTAGACGCAGTTTTGTAAAAAGGTAAGACCAATATCAGCATGATAATGCACGCCTTTAAAGACCGCGTGAGAAAAGTGTGCGTATCTTAGCTTTTCAGTGACTGGAAATTCCAGACGTCATTCGTCGTGGCTGTGGTAGGGGAGTCGCTTGTAGACGCGCCGATACCTCGCGAGTGTGCCTTTTAGTCTTCGTTTAGCAACGAAAGAGCAAGATCTTAAACATTATGGATCTGTGGACTTTGACGCTATTAACTGTGGCCATTTATACTATTTACTACTACTTTAAAAAAACTCTTGGATATTTCGAAAATTATGGTATTCCATACGTAGCAGGATGGCCATTGTTGGGTAACATGGCAGCTCCTTTCTTCCGCCGAAAGCATATCTCGGAAACCGTGATCGACCTGTATAACACTCATCCCAATGCTAAGTACATCGGTGTTTTTGACTTTGTGCGTCCTATAGTCATGATTCGAGATCCAGATCTGATTAAATCCATCACAATCAAAAATTTCGAAAATTTTCCGGATCACAAGGTTTTTATAGACGACAAGCTCGACCCTCTGTTCGGTGGAAATCTATTTTCGATGGCCGGCGAACGATGGAAAGAGGCAAGAAATTTATTGACTCCTGCTTTCACTTCCAGCAAGATGAAAGGGATGCACGAGTTAATGGTGGAGTGTGCAAAAAACTTCATCAATTACTTGAACGGACTGCCGGATAAAGACAAGAAAATGGTGGGAACGAAGGATTTATTTACGAAATTTACGAATGATGCTATTGCTACTTGTGCTTTTGGAATCAATGTCGACTCTCTGAAAGATCCGAAAAACGAGTTTTATGTGCTAGGCAGAGAGGCTACCAATCTGGATGGTATAATGACGCTGAAATTTTTCATCGCTCGATCCTTTCCGTATATTATGAAATTGTTTAATATACGATTTGTTAGTGATCATGTTGCTAAATTTTTTGTAAATACCGTTGAAAACATGGTGAAAATACGGGACGAAAAGGGCATCAGCAGACCAGACATGATACAGCTAATGATGAACGCACGAGGAAAAACTAGTGAAAATTTGAAATTAGACCTCACTGAAATGACTGCTCAAGCATTCATTTTCTTTTTCGGAGGATTCGATACTACTTCCACGCAAATGTGCATTATCGCACACGAGTTGGCTATCAACCCGAAAATACAGAAAAAATTGCAAGACGAAATCGATGAGGTGATGCAGAAAAGTAATGGCAATCCGTCGTATGACGATATACAAGGGATGCTATATCTCGACGCTATTTTCAATGAATCGATAAGAAGACATACTCAAGTACCATTCATCGACAGGTTGTGTACTAAACCGTTTGAATTACCGCCTAGTTTACCCGGAGGGAAACCATACACTGTACCCGTAGGCATGAACGTCTGGGTACCAGGGACGGCAATACATAAAGATCCAAAATACTTTGATAACCCACAAACATTCGATCCGGAAAGGTACTACGATAAGAAGGTGACCCTCAATGACGTATTGAATCTCGGCTTTGGCATTGGACCAAGAGCATGTATTGGCAATCGATTCGCTATTTTGGAGACAAAAGTATTATTGTGTTATATATTAAGCAAATTCAATTTGAAACCGAATAAAAAAACCTGTTCGCCTCTGGAGTACAGTAAAAGCACTTTTAGCGTGACAGCCAAGGGTGGATACTGGTTGACCATTGAAGAAAGGAACTGAAGGCAACGACGTTTGCTATGAGTATGCATATTGATATTTATTGTTAATACTATCATACAATGACGATTATTTTTCAAAAACGATTATATATTTTCTATAATAAATATGATATCTATCGTGTTGCTAATAAGTGTTTGTCTAACAGTTTCATAAATAATCAGTAAAATGTTGCGCAAAAGCACAGATGGCTTTTTTTATTATGCTATCATATTTTTTGTAGTTAATTGTTGTCGTGAAGTGCCTGTTCACGGTTTCTTATCACTTTCTGGAACAAAAGATTATTATAAAATAAAAAAATATGTATAATATTGTACTTTCTGCTAGTTATTAAGTTGTTGGAAATGTTTTATCTATGCAAGTTATAAGATTTACTCAAAAATTAAAGTGAAATTAGTAACACTATTACTTTTTAATTTATATACAACCAATTCTATTTATTTCAACTTTTTGCACTAAATTCACATATTTTCCGATAGCTAGAAACAGCATACACCTGTTGCAAACTTGCAAATCTAGATTTTCTTGTTATTCTGTTATTTAATTGGATGTTGCATAATGTTGATAAAGCTTGATAGTGCTTTCGCAAAAAATATTCTTGTCATTTATACGTATCTATGTAAATCTTATTTAATTACAAGTTTCACAAACGCGTTAAAATGTCATCATGCACACACAATCCAGCGAATTGAAATAACGAAGCAGTCATTCTGCAACATCGATCCTAAGACGGCTACAAGTGATCAGAATAAATGATTATCGCTTTGTCATGATGATTAATACTGAGTAATGGCATTTTTCCAAAACGTAAACACAATGATGATTCATCGGACATGAATAATCCATTACTAGTAACACCAGTACACGCAACTGTTCGCCGCGAACGCCAGCCTACCGGGAATAGAGTCTGTTTCCTGACTGCATCTCAAACGAATCACAAGCAAAACAGGTTTCGTGTTTTGAAGAAACAGAGCAGTCTTGCACCGTTAGTTCAAAAGTCAACTTAATTTCTTCGCTACTTTTTAATTTTTCTTTTCAAGCATTATTTCAGCTACAGATCAGTGCAAAAACTATTTATTGTCATTCTTGAATAACCATTTCTCAAAATCAGATCAAAATTTGTCATAGCATTCATTGACTTTTTAGTAATACGAAAACATTATTTGATTGAAAAATAAGCTTTTTTCCAAGTTAAAAAATGATAGTTCTGCAATAAAATAACAATCTACAATAAAATTACAATATCAGCATAAAAATAAATATAAACTAGCAGAAAATCTATCTAATAGTATCAAGCTTGCTTTTTTCAAATAATTGCTTTTTATCATGCAATTATAAGTAATAATAAATAACTTAACAAATCACGGTAATTTGAAAGAAAAGTGAAAAGTAAATTAAATTTTCTTCATGATACTAACATCTTCGTACAAATGAAAAATCAGTAATCCATTGTAAATTCAAATATTACTTTTCGTAGCATTTCTACCGAATAAATATTAATATAAATAAATATTAATAAATATTAATAGCATAATAATCAAAAAAACTATGTTAAGAAATCTCGGTATCGTGCTTACTTTTTTATCTCCTAAATTCTAAATTCCATGTATTCATGAAAACGCTCCCTTGTACAGATTATAGAAACCGCAACTCATCTTAGCGATAGAAGGAGAGACATGTGAGTCGCTGGATCAGAGTGGAAAAGCCGTCAAACATACGAACAGGCTACGCTTGTCATGTGCAGTTTCCTAGCTATATTAAATATAAGTAAAGAACGGCAAGGACATTAGTGACTCTGCGGAACAAACCTGTGAACATTGCGGCAATAGTAGTTTGGGTATTCTATCTGTACGCGAAGAAAAGGATAGTTACTTTGGAGACCGAAGAGTACCTTGGGTGGCAGGATGGCCAAAAATTTCACTAACGTAATATATACGTCGTGCTACAACGAATGCATGTTACTGACGCCCTATGACGCCCTATCCAGATGCCAATTCCGTAGGTGGTTTCAACTTGATGACACTAAATCTCATGTTGCACGATTCGGCATTGCTGAAGTCCATGACGATCAAGAATTTTAATAGTTTTTCCTATCATCAGGTCATTGTCCACTCTAAAGTTGAACCACTTTTCGGAAATAACTTATTCAGCTTAACCGGCGAAAAATGGTAAGAAGTGCGGAATATTCCAACTTCGACTTTCACAGCCCGTAAAATGAGGGCCATACATGAGTTGATGATCGAGTGCATGACAACTTTGATTGTCACGTACTCGACTTATTAGTCAACTTCATAATCACTTGTCACAATTGTCAGTTGACGCAAGAAAAATGTACGCGACCAAAGAAATGTTTACCAAGTTTACTAAGGATAGTATAGCTATATATGTTTTTGGAATTAAAGTGGAGTGAGTGAGAAATCTTACTAATGACTTTAACAATAAGCTATCGAATTTGGCTCTTCAGTTCCTATTAAGATTGTCTGGTATCAACTGTGTCTCATAATTATGAAATGGTTGAAAATCCGATTATGTTACTAGTAATCCGGTTATTTTACTGGATTTGCTATTCTGAAGGCGTACATTAAGTAACGTGGGAAAGCAAATTCTTATCTGGTCTCGTGTACGGTTTACATTCGAACGAAGAAAGGGTGGAAACGCAGATGAGAAGAACTGTTTCGTGAACATGTTAGGTATAGTTTTCTTCAACACGCATACTTTTCGAACGACGTGCATCTTAATTATTGTACACTCAGTGTACAATAATTTGTGGTGAACGTAAAGATTTGCAATCCCATGAAGTATGGCAATGACACTTTCTATGTTATATCTATCTGGATTTGAGCTTGACATTGAGCGTAGATAATAAAAATTCATTATCATTGTCGATGAATCAATAATCAATATTACTTTATTCCAATTTAAAATGCGTAATGATTGAATTTCTTAACAAAAATCTTTATTTGAAAATATGCTTTTAAGCATCAGAAAATTTATTATATCAGTAGTAAATGAAAAAACGTTCTTGCAGTGTATATTTATAGCTTTAACATGTGCGACAATAGTAATTAATAATGTTATATAAACGAAACAGTTAGACATATTGTATTTTAAAAGATTTATTTGTAAGTATTATGAATAAAAATTAGTTAAATTAAAAACCTATATGTTTTCCACATCCTTTATAGATTCAATACTTGAAGGAAGGTATTATACAGCTGAATTTTGATAAACCCTGATCCTGACAAATGTTTTACGAGCAATTATGCAATTAGTGCAATTCCGCATTATTTTTGTTCTGCCTTGGTTTGGAGCCATGAACTGATACTGATGGTCGGTTTGCTTTGTTTAAGATAAATATTCTAAAAGAAAGTTTGCTGAGAATATCTATATTTTTTGAAATATATTGTTAAATAAGTATATCAATATTTAAAAAAATGTTGCATATTGATTTCGGAGCATGGAACATTTTGGAGCATGCAATATATCGCAATTAATTCAACAATTATACATACAAATACTTGATGATACAAAAAACAAAAAAAGTTCATTTGATTATTTCGATCATGATATTTATTCGATTATTGAAAAATTGTAGACAGTATGAATCATATACTCCGCACGCGCATGCTCAAGTAGATAACACAAACATCTGACTGTTGAACGAGGAAAAATAATAGTCTCTAGAGTGGGAGATTGGACCCGTCAGCTCTGTACACATTATAGCTACGCAGTTCTCTTCCAGTATTCAGTATAAGTAACTCGGCGCATTAGTTAATTTACACAATGGCTCTATGGACTTATACTCTGTTAGCAGTAGCTATTTATATTTTCTATGAATACGTGAGAAAAAAACGTAGTTACTTCGATGATCGAGGAGTGCCTTGTGTGCCAGGATGGCCTCTTTTTGGTAATATGTTTAGCGCTTTTTTGCGACTCAAACATATTACCGAGGCGACATGGGACTGGTACATCGCTTATCCAGATGCCAAATACGTGGGCGGATTTGACTTTATGAAACCGAATCTCATGATACGCGATCCAGAATTGATAAAGACAATCGCGATTAAGAATTTCGATAGTTTTCCGAACCACGATCAGTTCGTCGATAGCGACGCGGAGCCACTTTTCGGAGGTAACTTATTTAGCTTGACCGGAGAAAAGTGGAAGGAAGCCAGGAATTTGTTAACTCCAGCATTTACAACGAGTAAAATGAAGGCTATGCATGAGTTGATGGTTGACTGCGTGAGAAATTTCATTAATTACTTGACGGAGCTGCCGGATGACGCAAGAAAAATGATCGCTACCAAGGACGTGTTCACCAAGTTCACTAACGATGCCATTGCTACGTGTGCTTTTGGAATCAGTGTCGACTCTGTGAAAAATCCCAATAACGATTTTTACGTTCTCGGTAAACAAGCGACCAACTTCGACGGTCTTGTTTCCATCAAGTTTTTACTTTTTCGATTGTGTCCCACTGTAATGAAATGGTTTAAAATCCGGTTATTCGGCGATCGTGTGTTTAACTTTTTCCAGGATATTGTTAGAAAAACGGTGCAGATGAGGGACGAAAAGGGAATTAGTAGACCGGACATGATTCAATTGATGATGAATGCAAGAGGAAAGACGAGCGAAAACTTAAAACTGGATATTATAGAGATGACCTCGCAAGCTTTCGTCTTCTTTTTCGGTGGTTTCGACTCGACTTCCACTCAAATGTGTACTATGGCTCACGAGCTGGCAATTAATCCGCACATTCAAAAGCGATTGCAAGAAGAGATTGACGATATTATAGTGAGATGCGGCGATAATCCAACTTACGAAGATATTCAAGGAATGCCATACCTCGATGCCATTTTCTCGGAAACTCTAAGAAGACACACGCCGTTTGGTTTCCTGGATAGAGTTTGCGTAAAATCCTTCGAACTTCCTCCCGCGACACCGGATGCTAATCCATTTACTGTTCCCGAGGGAATGGTTGTGATCATTCCATCCAGTTCGATACACAGAGATCCAAAATACCACGATAATCCAGACGTATTTGATCCAGATCGCTACTACGAGAAGAAGGTGACGATTAACGACGTCACGAATCTTGGTTTTGGGATTGGGCCTAGGAGTTGTATTGGAAATAGATTTGCTATTTTAGAGACGAAAATCTTATTTTTTTATATGCTTAGTAAGTTTACCTTGATTGCGAATGAAAAGACTTGTAACCCTCTGAAGTATAGTAAAAGTAGTTTTAATATTAAACCTGAGGGCGGATTCTGGCTCGACATTGTAGCTAGAAATTAAAATGTGATTTTTTAAGCTGTAATCATTGTCGATGGTTAATTGTTGCTATTAATACTATCGTGTAAATAATTATCACTATGGTTGTGGTATGTATAATAGCAATAATAAATATCTATAAATAAAAATAATTATGATGAAATTCATTTTCCGACACTCAACGTGCTTTTAATAACATTTGTCGTTATTTTATTACATTTCAGACTTATAAAAACGATTTGATAAGAAAGGCTGAAACGATCACAAAACCGAAATTTTATTCAACTCTCAACGTTTCAGAATAATCGATGTCCCATTTTCAAAAATTATAAAAAAAAACAAACAATGCAATACACAATATTTCCTCAAGCGGACTACAAGTGACTACATAATTAAATTAAGTCAACTTAATACCTAAAATACAAGTCAGTTTTCACATAGCAATTCTCACAGTCAAAATAATAAGTAGATTAGATCCACTTATCGTTCGGTATACGCAATGAATTAATAAATCACTATGGTTTTATTTATTGATTCATTGTGTATACCGAACGACAAGTGAATCTGATATACGTATTATTTTGACTGTGAGAATTGCTATGTGAAAACTGACTTGTATTTTAGGTATTAAGTTGACTTAATTTAATTATGTAGTCACTTGTAGTCCGCTTGAGGAAATATTGTGTATTGCATTGTTTGTTTTTTTATAATATTTGAAAATGGGACATTGATTATTCTGAAACGTTGAGAGTTGAATAAAATTTCGGTTTTGTGATCGTTTCAGCCTTTCTTATTAAATTTTGATTTTCGTGAACGCCTTAGCCATATTGTGACAAATTTTCCTTGTTACGAAACTAATAAAAACGATAGTTATAGCGTACATTTTTTTACAAAAGTACAATTCACTTTCAGAGTCATTCAATTCATTGAATAAGTGCGAAAAGCATAAATGTCAACTTCTCTTGACGGTAAGTAGGTGAAATAAGCCTGCTTGAAAAGCATATGCGGAAATTTTCCATACTCCATCGTAGGCCACATTTCTCGCCCGATTTCAATGGTTTCTTGACGTGTTTTTGCGTAAAACTTGCGACTAAATTTTCCTATCTATAAGACCGATTGAGAAAATGTTATTATTCATTATTCGCGCATAAATACTTCAATACTCGACTGCATTTCCATTACCTTTCGTTTCCAATACTTAGCATGATCGAAATTAAGCTTACAACGATCTACTTTACTAATTTTCAGAGATTCAATGCTCATTTTATTCGTCAATCTTTTTGAGTTCCATATTTTTGTTGTCTCCAACATCAAATCCTCTAGGGAATATCATAACTAGATTATCGGGTGATTGTAAAAAAAATTGAGATTTGCTTACTCTTGATCTTTTCTGTGAAACACATTCCTCGCACTCTATACGAGATCCAATAGGAAAGTTGAGCAAGCTTATGATAATTTGGAAGCTTAAGCGAGATAAAATCACATTCAGCAGACATTTTTTTTAACTCAGTCTGAAATATATGAAGTTGTTAAAAAGTATTCTGCTAACTTGTGCGTGTATTGAAAATCACCATTTACAAATATTTACCTCCATAATATCTGTCAATTCTTGTTCCGCCTGATCGAAAAAACTCTTACATCTGCTCATTTTTTCTGTAAATTCTATCTCTTTAATTTCATCCTCTTGTACAAGTTCTTTCGCTTGCTTGTCATCCATTTCTTTTATACTTTCTTTTATCGTATCCGCCTGTGGACTCTTAATCGGAGTGCCTTCATTTTCAATCTTTAAATCCTCTGGTTTTTCAAGTTGCTGAGTATCCACTACATCCTTTAGTTCGTCATTTTTCTTCACTATCTCAATCTTTTGAATCGGATAAGGCAAATGTGAACGACTTGGTCCATCGTCCGGTGTAACGCATGGAGTTTGCATAGTGACAGCTGAGATTACAGTCACGTTACAGTTTTCACCCGAATCCGAAAAGTCTGGCTTTGCAATGTCATCGATAAGCAGAAACGCTTCTTTATCAAGAGATTTCAATCGTTCTTGACGATCACGCCATTTCTTTCTTTCTTCATTCCTTTTTACAATTCTGCGTTCGTATTTGCACTCGCAAACTGGCTTCATTACTTTGAGCTTTCTTCGTGCGGTATCAGTTTTCTTGAATTTCGAACATTTCGTCCAACAAGGAATACAATCTCTTTTTTTGGTGAAAAATTCCGTTAAATACTCGTCTTTAAACGCATTTTCCCAGTCTTCCGTTCGGTCTACACGATTCTTTTCCGTATCGTTGCCTTTGTCAATAAATATTATCAATAGTTTGCGAAGTAAATTGATAATAATTTAAAAATAAAAAATTAAAATAATTAAAAAATTAAAATATTACAAATTCATAATACCCTCAGCTTTTCCATCTGCCTTTTGATATCCTCTCTTAGCTGTTTGATTATTTCTGCCGCAAATCTGTTTCTCATAAGGTGAATCGGCCAGTTCGTATTCGGGAATATACTCGTCGCTACCCCTAATACTCGGCTCAGGAGTGACCCATGTCAAGCCGTCGATCACTCTCGTGCCATTTGCCTCGTTTTCATCGACGACTGCGCCGATTCCGTACATCAGAGTCTTCCGCTTGTTTCGATTCTCACGACAACAACATGGACGTCCTCCTTCGCGCACTGGAATTCTCTCGGCTGGACGGATTGGAGGATGTGGGTCGACAAGGTATGCTAAAGTGCGCTCTATTGGCAAAGCTTCCTCGGATTTGGTTCTGTAGCCGTAGGGTCCACCTTCAACTGTTATTATTTTGATCAGATATTTACGCGTTGAACAATTTTTTTTCAATGGTCATTGCGAATCAACGTACCGCTTTCGTGCTCTGAATTTTCTTTCGCATCGTCCTCTTCTATATCCTGCTTTGGTACCAACTGCGAAACCCTCTTAACTCTACTTGGCCTTTCAACCTTCATTCTCGGTATTTTTTCTTTTGGAACCTTTTCATCGTTTTTGCGATTTTTGCCAGTTTTTTTCGATTTTTTACTCGCTTTTTCTTTCGTATAATAATCTCTCTTGGGCATGATGCATTTAGCTTTTCCAATGTCCATCTGCAAAAACTCCGACAGGCTATCGCATGAACATTTTTTGATGACTTTCGTGCCGCTACTTGATTGCCGGTGTTTCTTTGCGTTGATGTCAATGCAATTTCTACGTAATTCCCGTCCGCATCTCTCGCAAATCAAGCGTTGTTTCTACGAACGAACGACGTTCCACTCAAATGAAAATTTACATTCATATTTGATTTACATAATTACCCTTACCTTGGAACTCTTTACAATTACATTCTTGCTGCTACATTTATAAGCATCGTCTTCGTATCCACAATCATCTTCGTCACAACTTCCTTCCATATTTTCAAAAAAGTACTCGTCCTCGTCAACGCACTCTTCGATATCCTTTCTGCAACCACAATTTTCCTGTTCATCTTTCTTCTGAAATTCACTACAAGTATAAGTTGGTCCCTGCTCGGGTCTAAATTTTTTTCCGTAACATAAGCTCTCGTCGTTTTTAGCGCTTAAAACCTGTTGCTCCAATTCCTCATTCCTCTTTCGATCCTGACAACCACAAGGTGGCACATTTTTCACCTCGACGATATTTACATCAGGACGTAGAAATTCTCGAGGTACATGCTCGACAGTTTTTGTGAAGCCTGCGATTTGGTTCACCGGCTCGCTATCCACCATCGTTATCGTGCCGGTTATGATCTTGTTTTTCACGAGTTTGTCGGACGACGGAACGCACGGAGGCTGACTCGTCGAAGAAATACTTTCAGCGGGTGAGTACATTGCCATTGCACCGATAACTTGCCTAAATTCATCGACGACAGATGTAATGGAAAGGTAAAAAAATGGTCTTTTCGAGAAAGAAGTCTGAGATTTACGCTTTGTCATCATTATCGGTAACAATGCCATCGACAACAGCATGGGGAGCTTTAGTGGCATGCCACATCAAGTGCGCTCTCCTAGTCTCTCTACAAGAGCAACAGGCATCGCAACCAGTATCAGGCTCAAGTATCTCCTTGGCGATCCGAGTCACTTCACCAGTTAACTGGTTGGCTTCGTGCATCAAGCCATACAAATCAGCCTCGGCGTCGAGTAACACACTTTGAAGTCTGAATGAGGGTGTGACTTGTCTTTTGCAGGCCGGGCGATTCAGCTGGGAAAAAAATTCGGCGTCGGTTTTTAAAGGGCCAGCTTCCCGGAGAAGCTTGATGTACTTCATGGGGCAAGGGGTTGGTGGCTCCGTCCACGGATCTGAAAATTCAGTGAAACAGATACACACTCGTGAATTCAAGAATATGTCAATAAACCACTTCGCGATAAGAAAACCTCATTTTATTAGCACTTCTCAACAAGAAAAAGATCAATCATTTTTATATCTCCGCATTACGGAGCGAAGTATCAGCATCAAATCATTTTGATTTTTAACTTGTGGTGGGAAGTGTGATTTTCAGTAATAAGCATTTAATCCAATTGAGTTTTTACTTTCGATGGTAAATAACGGCGTATCTCGTTGATAGTCTTTCTCGATAACGGACACCTGTCTTGAATTTTTTTTCGCATGTTTGTCTTGATCGTACACGTCACTAGTGCTATTTTTCACTTCGGTATCAAGCTCGGCCGCCACTTTTACATTGGCCTCATTGTCATCGGCGAGTTGATTGTTTTTTTCAGATATTACTTTCTGCTGGTCGGCGTTATCTGTGCTTTCAACGGCCAATTCTTTTGTTTCTTTCGGTAATATTGCGACGGGCCGTGGTGTTGCCAAGCATTTTCTGCGCCACTTGAGCATTTGCGTCGCATAAAGTTTCCAATTCACCGAAGGATACAACTTTTCCAGTAGAGGGGATATCATTTTCTTCGCTATCATGAGCTTTGGTGACTTCGCTAAAATTTTGACATAGTTTATCACACTGAACAACTTACTTCAAAAATAAAAGAAATTCGAAAAATTACGTTTTGAGGGGAATTTAAATTTAATTATGGCGGGCAATCTTCTGTGTAGTTCCAGAATAACTTGTGGCAACTCCAAAAATACAACGCCAGATATCATTATTCTCTCATGGGTTGTGTAATCGAGTCCTGAATTCAATTAAAAATATTATACATCGCAATGCTTTAAAAATACCTTTTTTTTTATAATAACCCACTTTTGCCTTCTTTCTCGAAATAATTTCCGCGAATGGCCTTATAAAGCTCACATATAAATGTCTTAATATCCGCGTTATGTTCTTTTACCAATTTTCGAAGTATTTGTGAGTCAACTGTCACAAAATCAGTCGTCATTCCAATTGACGCCAAGCAGTATGCAGTTCTGTTGATCGTGTTTTCTTTTTTGTCTTTGAACATAGCGTCTTCCAAATCTTTCAAATGTTGCAACTGCATAAAATGTAAGATTAAGGATTTTTTAATAAATTTTCTACTTTGCAAATTTACCTGCGAAGGGGAGTAATCGGTATACCAACATGGTGGGCCGCACTTTAATTTCCTCAATTTTATTTCTTTTGCTAAAAGATATGCATGTAAATTACGTCTTTTATCGTTAATTTATTAATACATAAAAATGCTTTTTAATTTAGATAAAATAACTCTCATAATACATGTTCATTATAACTCATTTCAATAAAAATTGTATACTAATTGTATTTAAATTAAATGTACAGCTATTATGGCAAATTACATTTTTATTGCTGCTCGTTCGCAGCACTTAAGTTTATTATCAGCAATCGTTTAAAACGAGTGTTTTATCACTATTGTGTAACACAGCTAAAAAGATGAACAACGACAAATACGCGTAAAAGGAAAAAAAGCGAATATAAATATAAAACAGTCGAGTGCTTTCAATCCTAATTTTAATAATGAAATTACTTTTCCTTTCACCGATAGCAGCCCATCGATCTATTCTTTGCTCATACTCAGCCTGCCTCTGCGCTCTCTCAATATCGATCATCATTTCAATCATACTTTCCGTCAAGTCGGTTAATTTCATTCCTCCAGGTCCTCCCGATGAATGATGGCTCAGGTTTAGTGCTAAGCTTCTACGCGATCCTTTTATCCCATCCTTACTTCGGCTCACCGATGGTCTTTTTACTATTTCTTGCTCGCGAATTTTCAATGCTGGACATTCGTGCAGGGATTTTAGACTGCTTAATGAGGTGTCCAGGCCATGACGTGGAAGCGATTCGTCATTGGGCAAACAACAAAATCCATACGGCTTTGGATTTGGTTGCGCCGTGCGTCTTTGCCTAGAGGGTGAGAATTTCAAAGTTACGATCTGACAAATCGAGAATACGTTAAGAAGTTGCGAAAGTACCTTCGACTAGCCATGGTTACTTTTGTTGGTTAATTTTGTAATTTACTGAGTTTGTTTTCCAATTGGCAAATCATTTTTCACTCAGAATTTTAAGTCTTTCACGTGTATAATTTAATTCACTTTATATTTTTTGTCTATTCAAATTCATGATTACTTGCAATTTTTATAAATTTTCTTAGGTTTGACATGCATAAACAACTTTTACGAAATTAATATGGAGCGCATGCGTAATAATTGGAATCTACAGTGTCATAAATTCAATTACTTTTCTATATCTACGACCAGGTGTGAAAAACGAATTGTTTTTAGTTCGTACAAATAATTAAGATCATTTGATGAAAAATATGTAATCGATAATTACTAATAAAAATATCAAATTAAATGAATTTAGCGTGAAGTGAATCAGGTTGGAAATAATTAGCATATTTCCGGGACAAAAATATTACAACTCAATTTTATTACAAGTGAACACAAATGAAAATAGACATAATAATTTATAAAAAACTATTTTATAGAATACATTATTCTTGATGATTCAAAATAAATGTACACCGCAAAATTTGGTTGAATTATTTTGATTTTCTCGGTTCAATAGCCAAGCAATATCCGCCAGGTGGTCTGACAGTATAGCTGAACCAACTGTAAGTATAAGGCGAGCGAGTTTTTGAATTTGGTATCAAGTTGAAGTCAGTAAGTATGTAGGAAAACAAAACTTTCACAGTCATATTAGCGAATCGATAGCCAAGACAATTTCTTGGTCCGATACCGAAACCCAAATTGGTCACGTCATTGAAGGTAAACTTCTTTCCTGCATAACGTTCGGGATCGAATTTGTCTGGATCATCAAAGTATTTAGGATCCCTTTGAATAGCAGCAGCTGGAAATATAACTCCCATACCACTTTTGACAGTAAATGGTTTTCCACCAGGTACAGCTGGTGGTAATTGATAATCCTTGTCACATATTCTATCGATTACTATCAGAGGCGGATGCGCTCTCAAAGCCTCGGCTATTACAGAGTCGAAGTAGGGCATATCATTGATGTCTTCGTAAGTGAGATTGCCGTTACTTCTTCGCATAACTTGATCGATCTCTAGCTGCAATTTTTTTTGAATGTCAGGATTGAGTGCCAATTCATAAGCCAAGGCGCTCATCAACGTCGAAGTAGTCTCAAAACCAGCAAAGAAAAACGTAAAAGCTTGGGCGGTCATGTCGAAAATATCCATTTTCATGCCGCTCTCTTGCGTTTTCATCATCAACTGTATCAAGTCAGCTCGGCGAATACCCGTTTCCTCCCTCATCCTCATCGTTTTCTCCACGATATCCTTGAAAAAGTCGTAAACCTCAGTGTTGAACAATCCCATGTTCATGAGCCTGCAGAATTTGGGAAAAACGTTGAGCGCGATGAATTTGATTCCCGTCGTGGTGTCCAAGTTGGTCGCTTTGCTACCAAGAACGTAAAATTTATTGTTGGGATTTCGCATGGAATCGATTTTAATGCCGTAGGCCGAACTAGCAATAGCGTCGTTGGTAAATCGGCTCAAAAGCTCTTTTGTCTCCAGCCACATTCTCTCGCTGACCGGCAACTGATTAAGATGCCCAACAAATTCTTTAGCACACTCGACCACGAAGCCATGCATGTTTTTTAACTTGCTCGGTGTAAACGCCGGCGATAATATGGCTTTTGTATTCTTCCAATACTCACCGGTTGAGTTGAACAATTGGCTGCCGAACAATTTATCCAGCGAGTAGTCGAAGTACCGCATATGTGCCGGAAAGCTTTCGAAGTTCTTGATGGCCATTGTTTTGATCAACTCCAGATCGCGTACTACAACCACCGGCTGAAAAATGTTGAACGAGCCAAAGTACTTGGCCTTCGAATACTTATTGTACGTCATTTTCAGCTGGTCCGCAAGGGACATCGGCATTAAGAAGTACAGTATGATGTTGCTGAGCAATGGCCATCCGTAGCAGGGTACACCTTGTTCCATGAAAATCGCGCGTCGTCTATTCAGGTAATAATAAATTTCATAAACGACGATGATTATTAATGCGTACGTTGAGAAGTCCATTGCTGACTATTCGGTGTGCAAATAAAAATATACTGCAATTGCGCACAAAAAAAAACAATTGCAGACAAGCGTGCCAATTAGCTTATCTTACAATTATTGTAAACAGCAGCTGATAGAAGAGGAAAACGACGCGCGAGCTGAACGTTATTGATTCGGCGTGTGAAACATCTAATAAATTGTTTAAATTGTAAATTAATATGAGATTGATGGAACGACAGATCGACTGCGCACTTTTCGTTGCATATACCGAATTGATTGTTAGGGCAACAGCTTTCAAATAGTATTTTAATTCATTCGGTTGCGAAGTAATTACTTTTGCACATTAAATGGGAGCACTCGCTTTGAAATCTACAAGTTTTTGCGCTACCAAGGTCGTAGACAATTTTCAAACACGTACTTCCGTGATACAGCTCCACGAGATAGTGGGATGAGAAATTACTATCGTGTCACTTGTCGGTCAACTAACAATAATGTGACTTGCCAAAGTATTTGCATACTACACGAATGGATAATTAACTGAGAAAAAATAACCGCACGTATGGTCACTGGAGGGAACAGCACTAATTTAAAAAATTTGTCAGTAGTTTTGAATACCTTAAAATTGCTCCTATATCTATTGTACAGTTTCGAACTTATCAAGTATAGAAAAGGATAAGAAAAACCAAGATTATCGTCAGAATTAGCATTTAATATAGAATTTTGATATTAGCTACATTTATTATATTCGGTATTAAAATATTATCCATTTGACGCCAAGTAGAAAAGAAAAAGCAAGTTCGTTTGTCAACGCATCACTTGCGTTTCCTCGGCTCGACAGCCAACCAAAATCCGCCAACGGGTTTAGCACTAAAACTAGCTTTGCTGTACACGTAAGGCGAACAGGTTTTCTCGTTTGCGACTAGATTGAAACTGCTGAGTAAGTGAACAAACAAAGTCTTAATTTCCATCGCTGCGAAGCGATTAGCGATGCAACTTCGCGGCCCGATGCCGAAGCCAAGATTCGTCACGTCATTAATGGTGATCTTCTTGTCGTAGTACCTCTCAGGATCGAACCGCTTTGGATTTTCGTAATACTTCGGATCCATGTGTATGGGCGTTACCGGGATCCACACTCCGTCGCCAGGTTTTATGAGGTAGGGCTTAGCACCAGCTACCGCTGGCGGCAACTCGAATGCTTTCACGCAATTTCGGTCTAGGACAGCGATGGGCGAGTGCCTCCTCATAGTCTCGTTGAAAACAGCATCGAGATACAGCATTCCTTGAATGTCTTCGTAAGTCGGACTGGCGTTGCTCCTCTGCATCACCTCGTCGATTTCGTGCTGCAATTTCTTCTGAACGTCAGGATTGATGGCGAGCTCGTGAGCCATGGCGCACATTTGCGTGGAGGTGGTTTCGAAACCACCGAAGAAGAACGTGAACGCGTTGGCGGTCATCGACGTTATGTCCAATTTGATGCTCTCGTTGTTTTTGCTTCGCGCGTTCATCATCAACTGGATCATGTCCGGGCGAACGATGCCCTTCTCCTCGCGAGTCTTCACGGTTGTCGCGACGACGCTCTCGAAGAAATCGGCCACGCGTTTGGTGAACAGCCTGACCTTGAACAGCTTCATGAGGTACGGAAACAGCCTGAACGCGATGAACTTAATCCCCATGATACCGTCGAAGTTGGTGGCGCCCTGGCCGAGGACGTAGAATTCGTTGCTGGGATTTTTCAGCGAGTCGACCTCGATCCCGAAAGCGCACGTCGCGATGGCGTCGTTGGTAAACTTGGTGAACAGCTCCTTGGTGCCCATCATTTTCCTCACGTCGCTGGGCAACGCGTCGAGGTGACCGACGAAATTTTTCGCGCACTGCTCGATCAGCTCGTGCATACCCTTCATTTTGCTCGCGGTGAACGAGGGCGTCAGCATGTTCCTCGTCTCCTTCCATTGCTCGCCGGTGATGTTGAACAGGTTGCCGGCGAAAAGCGGATCTAGCGTGACGTCGAAGAACGGCTGATGGTTCGGGAAGCTGTCGAAGTGCTTGATGGTCACCAGCTTGATCAGCTCGGGGTCGCGGAGCAAGATCATCGGCCGGGCAAAGTCGAAGGCGCCGACGTACTTGGCCTCGGGATGGGTGTCGTACAACTCGGTGAGCGCGTCCGCCACGTGCTTCAGACGGAAGAGCGCGATCGCGTTGCTGCCGAGTGGCGGATATCCGACGCAGGGCACGCCCTTGTCCGCGAAGCGCGCGCGCTTGCCCGAAACGTATCGGTAGGCAGCGTAAACCGCCGCGATCAGCAATGTCAATGTCAAGAGATCCATCGCGCAGCTTGAGAACGCTAATGCTGCGCGCCAACTGCCTGCCAATTCTCTGCGTTCTCTCTCCTCGCGGCTGCTGATGATACGATCCCCTCTTCGTTACATCCATGATCTTCGCTGCATTCTGGATGTGCGCGCATACGCGCGTGTAGGTTCGGAACTTGGTTGGTTGGTACACGGTTATCATTCTCGATCTTGACTAGTGTGTGACTTTGCGAAACAATGCTTTTGTTAGATCAATCATCGACACACGATGCTACGATTTTGATCGTCATTTTTTTTTAATAAACGCACAATTATTCCTGTGATCTAGCAATCAGTGCAATTTTGAAAATTACCTTTCTCCAAATACATTTGATAAGTGGGCTATTTTAGTCGCTGCAATAATCGAACAATTGGTGAATTGATCAGGCTCGAGTAACGTCAAATTCAATCGTGCACACTGACGAAAATTTCAGATTCGGGCAGCTCGTGCAACGCATGCGCCTTGTGGCTCGGGCGATTCTAACCTGTCCATTTTCGAAAGCACGGATACAGTAAAACTCACTTACTATACGTGGTTCACTATACTACGCCTGTGCGTTGGCATACACATACTAACCGAGCAGAGAGAGAGAGACGCGCGCGCGACTGGTTGATGCATACCACAGGGCGTTGTCACCCACAATACGCCCTATTTTTTATTCTGTTTGTTAAAGTTTCACGGGTTGACGGTTGAAAAAATGCAGGATAATCGTTTGAATTTGCTATTATTTTTAGCACTGATAGGTGGTTCGATTCGAGATTCAGCAAGTGAGTTTGTGCTTTTTTTATCTTGTTTATTCACAATGTTGTGATTTTTAAGTTTTGAAAAATGCTTGGTTCGTCTTTAATAGTCGGCTGTTAATAACAATTTTTTCAATGATTTTTTGTCTTCATTTCATTTAGGATTTATAAAAATATAAGCATATTATGATATGTAGATTCTTGGTTATGAATTACTGACACTGTATAAAATTAATTAATCTGAGCATGGTTCTATTTCTTTCAGCACAAAATTTGAATAACACTGCAGTATGGTGTACAGTATCCGAAGGAGAGCAAAAAAAGTGTGAAGACTTTGCAGAAGCAGTTGACAGAGAAATCTCCAAGTTTCGTAACAATTACATATCCATTAAATGTTTGCAAGCATTTAACAAGGATGAGTGTATGTCTTTGTTGGATCATGAAAAAGCTCATTTGACAACTCTTGATGCTGGTGAAGTATTTGTGGGTGGAATGTATCACAGTTTGGTACCTATAATGCAAGAGATCCTTGATACTAATAATAATGGTAATACTGGTAACGCTGGTGTAAATTATCAGTATGCTGTTGCCGTTGTCAAAAAAAATTCAATGTCAGAAGTTATTCATATAAGTCATTTACGTGGCAAGAAAGCTTGTTTTGCAGGAGTTGGTATGTTGGCTGGATGGGTTACTTCAATTCATCATGTGAGTTTGTAAATCAAGTTGAGTTATAATAAGCAACTTCAGAATGATTTAATTTAATGTATTATATAAATTTGATCAAATATTCATTGTTCTTTTAGTTGATGAAAGATGGAGGTATGGAAATTATTGACTGCAACAACCATGTTAAATCTACAACAGCATTCTTTGGTCCAAGTTGTGCTGTTAATTCTCTAGTCAACAAGTACAATCCACTTGGTGATAACTCTGATCATCTATGCAAGCTCTGCATAGGCAAAATACCAGGTGGTAGGTGCACAAATTCAGATCCATATTCAGGTTACGAAGGAGCATTTAGATGTTTAGTTGAAGCAGGTGAAATTGCCTTCCTTGTTCACACTACCGTTGAGGAAATGACTAATAACAGGCATAAAAATACAGATTTTAGTAAGTGATTATATCACAATTTCAATTCCAGTAGAATAGATGAACTGATTATTTTTTTTATTTATAGCTGATGTCAAGAAAGATGAGTTTGAGCTTCTCTGTCTGGATGGATCTCGTAGATCTGTGGATGAGTATGACATTTGTCACTGGGGGAAGGTACCAACCAACGCAATTGTCGTTTCTTCCGCTACTGATCAAAATAAGAGAAAGTTGTATCAGAAATTCTTAGAAGATGCGGTGAAATTTTTCGGAAAATATAATAGTAGCACTAGCACTCCTCAAACCGATTACTACAACAGCCGAGTCGGTAATGATAAGTTTTACAATTCGACGCCAGGATATGGCAGAAACGGAGAACGTTACTTGTCCAGCACATCAGATCCAAGCATACAACCTTTAGATATATTCAATATTTTTGAGTCTAGCAGTCGTTATGGCATTCATCACAATCTATTATTTTCGGTAAGAATATGATTTGAAATATTTAGACTCTGAAAATTAAAATACCAATTATATTTTGACAATTCTATGAACAGGATGCAGCCAAAGATTTTGTGCGTATTCAAGAATCAGATCAAACATTTAGTGGATACTTGAAGAAGGAATTCCACGACATGATACTTGGCCTACGGCATTGTCCTGTTCAAAAAATGACTCTTTGCGTAGCTTCTGAAGCAGAGTTTGAGAAATGCGTAAAAATGAAGGTAATTTAATAAATTCGATAAAATTTCCATAAAATAAAAAGTGACGCTAATAAAAAAACGCTGATGAAATATTCCCTTCAGATTGCTATGAAAGCTCAACTGTTGCAACCTGAATTGCTGTGTTTAAAAGGTCAAAGTCACATTCACTGCATGCAAGCAATCAGAAATGGGTAAGTAACCTTCCTAAAAAAATCAAGAACTTATTACGAATATCAAACCATTTACTTACATTTTGCAGGCAAGCCGACGTATCGGTGTTCGACGCAGGTGATGTCTACACAGCAGGTTTACGTTACGAACTCATCCCCTTCGTTTCTGAAGTTTATAATCTCGGCGAACCTGCTTATTACGTGGTAGCCGTTGCTCGTGAAGAAGACGACAATACTGATCTTACCTATATGAAAAATAAATACTCTTGCCATGGTGGCATCAACACTGCCGCTGGCTGGATTTACCCAATGGCTTATTTGATTTCCAATAATTGGATTCGTGGTTATGGGTGTGATTCTCTTAGATCTGCAGCCGAATACTTTGTCAAGTCTTGCGTACCTGGTGCTCTTAGTGCTGAATATAATACAGGTAATTCTTGTTTTCTTTCGGAATTGCAGTTGTTTTTGTGCCTACACATTGATTTTTTTATTTTAATTAGTATTTTAAAACTTTGTGACTTTTTTTGACAGGAGTACCTTACGACAATCTCTGCGATCTATGTCATGGCACGAAAGAACGTTACTGCCGTCGCGATGCCTCAGAAGATTACTACGGCCATACCGGTGCTTTGCGTTGCCTAGCCGAAGGTGGTGGCGAGGTTGCTTTCGTAAAACATACAACCGTTGCTGAAAACACAGATGGCAAACGCAGGGAATGGTGGGCACGTAATACTTTTACCAAGGATTTCCAGCTACTCTGCCCTGATGGTACGCGTAAATCCACTAACGATTACTTGCTTTGTAATCTTGGCAAAGTCGTTGCCAACGCTGTAGTTACAAGAGGTGGTTACCACTCGTACAACGAGACTCAAGTGAGTTTTAAAACAGTGTGAAGCAAGAAGTTTTATTGAAATTTAATAGTTATATGATTCAAACCATAATTTTCTTACAGATCAACGCCTACGCGAATTTACTCATATATGCGCAACAATTTTACGGTCGAAAAGAACAAGATGAATTCACATTCGGTATGTTCTACAGTCAGCCACCGTACAGCGATTTGATTTTCCAGGACGCGACGCAGCAGTTGGCTATAATTCCTCCTGAAAAACGTGAATACAGCGCTTATTTGGGCCAAGACTTTATGCGTGCAAGACGGACTGTCGATTGTACTGCTGGCTCTATGGCTTGCGAACATTCACTAATTGGCACACTTTTAATGATAACGCTGACGTTTCTTCTTAGCCGATAATTGTATAGTAGTCCGATCAATTTGTCTGAAATTTGTTAACTTTTAACGTACTGATTCGGACGTTTGTCTCTAAAGCGAGCGTTTTCGAAATAAAACCAAGTGCCTTCTGTCCAAGAAAGAGTAATGAGGTATTTTGTAGTGATGTAAAAGCCGTCCAAAGAATTCCTTCGATTCTTTTTTCATTTTATATTGTACCGCTTTGTATTTAACTCTATTTTTATGCGTTGGGGAGCATATTTTCGAACCTTTTATACAAATAATTCTTTTATAGAGATCGTGATAGGTCAGTTTTACATATATCTATATACATATATGAAACAAATTCATGATCATTGTACATACGAAGATTTATTCATACGATTTAGTACGAAACTCACATTCAAAATGTAGTTTATAGTTAGCGACCATAAAAAAACTGGTGATACTGCTTTTCTTTCTTAAACTCAACCACTTGCATATTAACCTCACGCACTTTAAAATACTTTCAATATTTTTAAGTATAAACCTTTTTATGTGTTTCTATGTGCAACTAAAACTCAATCCGTCCAAGAATTAAACTACAGCGTATATTGTGCATAAGAAAAAGACTATGAGTATTATAACTCCAAGACCGTCCATTTTATATATTTAATGTTAAATTATAAAAGTATACAATTATAATTCTTATAAACGTTATCGTGGTATTGACTTTTATAATGAAGTTTTCAAATTGTCATCATAGAATAAATTTTTAAAAAATAATAAAACAAGACTGTACTTTGATTTGCAGCTACCTTCATCTATTGATCAAAATTATCATTTGGCCAACCTTCAAAATATTAAATTTATAAATTAACGTTAAAATTTACAGTAACATTTAGAAGATGCCAGCCGTCGTGAAACGTGCACCTGACCAACTTAAACCAAAAAAGAAAAAAAAAATCAAAAAGTTTGTATGCATACGGAAATGTAGACAGGCTGACTGTTGTGAATAAAATCGAATTAAATCTATTTGACGTTGATTTAGAATAAAGCCCCGGGTACTGAAACTCAAAAGATGGCTGAAGACGCCCGAAGACTGGGCACAATTCGACGCGTGGGTGAAGGTTAATGCGCTTCCAAGAAAATTACCAGATCCCGAACCCATAGTAATTCTGCATAATTTAATTTTTATTCAACATGATTAAAAAAAATATTTAACCTTTGAATGACGTGATTCAATTGCTTTGAAAAATTATTTTTGAGTACTAAATTGACTTAATTTTCGTTTCACCGAGATCCGCAAAGCAGTGAAACTACGCCAACTGAATAAACGCCTCAAAGTTCTCTCCAAACCGATCGTTCGCCCGGTGACTCAGTGCGTAAAACGGTTAATGACTCGAAACATTCGATGTGCGCAAATGACCAAACGCACAAGAGAATTGGCATTCCCGAAAATTCGTATGCCTCCCGAATGCGTCGAGCTCGGTTGCGTTAAGAGATCAGCTTTGAGATACAGGGCAACAGAGAACATGCTATTGTTAAGTCAACCGAAAATTAGGCCAATGGTGGAGTGTAAATCGTTTAATCAAGTGTGTAGAAGATCAATAAAGAGAAAAACTTCGGAGAGAACGGACGAGCTTGCGATACCACTCAAGAGACGTCGACTGAATGACCAGTGCGAGGAACCCGAGGCGAAGTGTCAAAAGACAGGAGAGGTGAGGTGGATATTTGTTGCACAAATTTTTCCTTTTTGTCGAATTTCAATTTATTTCAGTTATCCTCATGGATGGAATTCTTAGCGATACCAAGTTACCGTAAGCTGATAGGCCAAGAAACTGAAAAGGCACAAAAATGGCGCGATCAAATTATCGAGGAATTGGAACCGCGAGGCAAGCAAGCGTACGAAGAACAAATGAAAAGGCGCGCCGAGTTGAAACGTCGCGAAGAAGAGAGACGGTGCAAGGAGGAAAGACAGCAGTACTTAGATGAGCAAAGACGACTCGAGGAGGAAGCGAAGGCAATAAGTAACAAGGGAACGAAAGTGAGACTCATGTGTAAGGATAATGAAGACGAAGACGAAGATGTGGCTGACGATGCCGATCAAGACGTCGAATACCAAGACGCGATTGCTCAAGGATGCGAAGATAAGACATCAAAGAATAGGATGGTCTGCTCACAGAAGAAAGAAGAGACCGAGGAGGAACAGGAGGCTCGTAAAAAACGTCAGATGGAAAAGAACGCGTGGCGTTTCGAGGTTCTTGGCGTCTGCACAGAGTTTCCAAGGATAATCTCGGAAGCCGCCAAAAACTGCAAAGGTTCGTACTTGAACGAGGATTTTTCGGTTGCGAATTCATTGCTCGTTGCGCGTTGAACAGCCACACCAACTGTCGAGAAGCTTGCCGTACCGAAGAAGTATAAAGGTGATACTTGCAAAGATCCATACAAAATTAGCGAATGTGCGAAGGCGGCGCAAGCTTCGCCGTTGACCGAAGCCTTGGCTAAGCCGAAGTATCAGGCGGAGCCCGTGACGAAATCACCGCCGAGAGAAAAGGACGAGTTCGGCATGCCCATTTACCCTAAACCAGTAATTTCATCATTAGATTACATTTATAAATTGACTTAATTTTATAAGATAAAATTTCGAAAAAAAAAACAAATTGTATAAATAATGCATGAAAAAAATATTCACCTTTATACACAGGTTATTGGCAAAGTGATGCCAGAACGGAAACCTTATCCAGAAGCCGAATGTAAAACTGAAGAAGAGAAGGAGGAAGAGAGAAAAGCGAAAGAGGAGGAAAAACAAAAGAAGAAAAAACCGATTGACAGGATTGTTTTCGAGCTAACGATTGACCCGGTGTTTGATCCCCGCGCTGCGAAGAAACAGGCGAAAGAGAGAGAGCGTGCAGCTCAAGAGAAGGCTGAGAAAGAAGCGGCGGACCCGGAAATGGGAGCTGACGGTGAAGCTGAGGGCGCGACCGACGATGCAACCGCGGATGAAGAAGTGTAAAAAATCGAGATATCACGAGAAATAAAACACAATTCAGATAACCTGGACGTGCAGTAAATAACGCAATTTCGTAATAAATTAAATTGTATTCATGAATGAACAAATCTCTTACGTACGAATAAGGCTCTATTATCGTTGATTATAGTCTGCGCTGCAATCTGCTTATATTACCCAAATCTGATCACGGAATTAAAAGTCAGTAGTGGAAAAATCATTTCCATTTTCCGTTCACAATTTTCAACTTGGCGTATGCGACTCCTGCTCGCAAATTATATTACTCAATCGCAAAAATAAGTCGTGTGTCATACCAATCATATCAGGAGTTTATAAGTCCAACGGATTACATGGCTTTCGATCCATTTAAACATCGAACGTTGGACTCATTGAATCCGCTTACGAAAATGCGTCTATTCGTATTTTTTTCTATTCTGACCGTATCCGCGGCACAAGAAGCTCCTCCTGAAGTACAAACGAAATTAGGTAAGATTGTTGGCTCAACGATGAAATCTAGGTCAGGAAAAAATATTCTTGCATTTAGAAATATTAGATATGCCAAAGCACCGGTTGGGGAAAAGCGTTTTTTGGTGAGCTTTTTTTCAAAAACAAAATTCTTTTTTTTCCCCATCACTGGAATATTATTGAATATTATTTTTGTCGATCGATAGCCACCTGTTCCGGTAGATCCATGGTCTGATTTGTACGACGCCACAGAGGATGGTTTTGCATGTCCTTATTACAAAGCTGCAAATACTTCAGAAGACTGTTTAGTTCTTAACATATTTACCACCGAAGTAAGTACTCATATTTATTAAAAAAAAACATTTTCAAATGTAATGTAATGCAATTTTCTAAATACTTAGTTACCATCGCCAGCAGAAAAACAGCCATTAAAAAAACCAGTTATAGTTTTCATTCATCCAGGAGGATTTCACAGTTCTACCGGTAGAAGTTCTTGGTTTGGACCACAATATTTGTTGGATCATGACATTGTTCTCGTAACGTTCAATTACCGAATCGGTGCTCTAGGTATTATATATCTATCCAATAATAGTTTTTCCGTAAAAAAGGTCAAAATTCATATCATGAAATTTGTTTGTAGGTTTTATAAGTACAGGCGACGAATACGCACCCGGCAATATTGGCCTGAAAGATCAAAATTTAGTACTAAAATTCGTTAGAGACCACATTGAGGATTTCGGTGGAGATCCCAATTCCGTAACACTGACAGGTCAAAATGCAGGTGCTTGTAGTGTAATTTTACACATGATGTCTCCGATGTCAAGAGGTTTGTTTCATCGAGTTATTGCAATGAGTGGCTCGCCAGCAATGATCGAACCATTGCCTGGTCATCAGAAACACTTGGCTATTAAACAAGCGGAAATATTGGAGTGCCCGACTGAAGATATGGACAAGATGTTTGACTGTCTCAGATCTAAACCTGCTGAGGACTATGGAAATTCAATGGCTAACTTGCAGGTACAAACTTTGCCTTTATCTTTTAAACCGATTATTTAAGTAAATACTTTGAAGTACCGATATTTTAGGAATGGCATATGGATCCAGTATTAATTTGGTATCCTGTCGTCGAACCTGATATACCTGGAGTAGAAAAATTTTTGACTGATCAACCAATTGATCTGTTGAAATCCGGTGACTATGAACAGGTTCCTTTAGTTACAGGCTGCGTCAGAGACGAGATGGGCTCCTTAAACATGGGTACGCTATTTAATAAAACTATGCGAATGAGAATATTCAATTTACTTTAACTTACGTTGTTTGTAGAAGCGATTGAAGCGGCAAAGAAAGGCGATGACTCGATATTTATAGATCTTACCGAGAATTGGTCGAAAATCGCGCCAATAAGTTTCATGTATGAACGAGGCACTGATCACTCCAAAACTGTCAGTAGCGAACTGATGAGCTTTTATTTTAATAATGAGCCTATTACACTTAATAACTCGATAGGACGCGCTAACGTAAGTTTATGTTGTAACATTTGTTATATTTTTAAGTGATAACAACAATTATCAAATACAATTGCAGATATATACCGATGCTATAACAGTTTATCCAGTCAGAAGACACGCTTCGATTATTGCCAAAACTTCAAAACATCCAGTTTATCTCTATATGTTCACTTACGAGGGACCTTACAGTTGTTATATGTGGAGTGATGGAAAGCCATATGGTGAATTGTCATTTTTTTAAATATCTCAAAATTAAATAATCACGGATGTCGTTATTTTATTTAATTATTTATTTAGGCGTAGCGCATCAAGATGATCTATTCTACATATTCTACACATCAACGTTCCCAATGATTGGTAAAAATGATAAAGAAGCTCATTTAGTCGACAGAATGACAGCAATATGGGCGAATTTTGCCAGAACCTCTGAACCTATTCCTAAAGACAATGCTCTCTTCTCTGGAGTAACTTGGGAAAAATTGTCACCCGATACTTACAATTATCTTGATATCAATAGTCAACTCGAAATGAAGAAAAATTTTTTCGCCGACCGCATGAAATTTTGGGAGACATTATATCCTACGTGATTATTTCACTATTCTGGTACTTAAGAAATGTCAATATACTTTTATAATAAGAGTATGTATCTTTCAAATCAGTCAAATCTTAATGAACTAATTTTTTCTGCTTTGTGGACGATTTTGAAATTCATTATCGCAATAACTGAGTACTAAGAATAAAAAGATAATAGAAAAATTTTCCTCGCTAATTTTAGTGTTTATTTTCCTTATGTTACTTTCGCGCCGCGATAACGGTACATCAGCTAAACTATAAAGCTATCTGTGGTATCACGAAAAATTAGTCATACGCAAGCTCATCGCGTTTATCACGCTCGTACTTGCTCCAGTTCAATTGGTAGCATCGACATGAATAAAGTGTGGCTATCTTTATTATTCGTTCTACTCAATATTATAATATGCATTTATGGACAGAAAAATCCCAAAGTTCGAACGAAACTTGGAGAAATCACCGGTACGATAATGAAAACCCGTCGCGGCAAGGATATTTATGCATTTAGAAGTATTAGATATGCCAAAGCTCCAGTTGGCGAAAGACGTTTCTTGGTGAGTTATCTGAAAAAAAAAAAATATTTGTCCGATTGAATTCACGGTAAATCCATTATTCTAGCCTCCAGAACCAGTAGATTCATGGAATGGCACTTATGATGGCACACAAGAAGGTCCAGTATGTCCTATGTACAGTACTAAAGCGAATGTCTCGGAAGATTGTTTGGTTTTAAACATTTATACTACACAAGTACATAAATGAATAAATATAAATATTATTTTAATAAAAATAAAGCATCATAATTTTATTTCTTAGCTAGCAAGTCATCATAAATCAGTTAAGAAGCCGGTCATAGTTTTCATTCATTTTGGTGGTTTTAAAAGTGGTTCGGGTAGAAGTTCTATCTTAGGCCCTCAATACTTACTCGATAAAGATATAGTACTCGTAACCTTCAATTACCGTCTAGGACCATTAGGTAATATCTTTTGTATAATTAATTGTTCGAAATAATAAATTACATAAAATATTTACTAATAAATTATAGGTTTTATCAGTACCGGCGATAAATATGCACCAGGAAATCTCGGTCTAAAGGATCAAAATTTAGTACTGCGATTCGTCAAAGATCACATCTCAGTCTTCGGTGGAGATCCTAATTCTGTAACTCTAGCCGGCCAAAGCGCTGGATCACGGAGCGTTTACTTGCACATGATGTCACCAATGTCAAAGGGTTTGTTTCATCGAGCTATTGCTTTGAGTGGTCCAGCCATGACACTCGAACCATATCCACGAGATCAGAGACATTTAGCGATCAAATTAGGGCAGCTTGTCAATTGTACAACTGAAAATATGAAAAAAATGTTTGATTGCTTGAAGACTGTGCCAGCTGAATTATTTGGCACTATTCAGAATAAATTCTGGGTAAGACTGAAGTTTTTAAATAAATTGGGGTTTTTAGTATACGTATGAGTAGTTAAAATATGCGATTGCGTCATTAGGATTGGAGAGGTGATCCAGTGTTAATATGGTACCCTGTAATCGAACCTGAGATTCCAGGAGTAGAAAGATTTCTGACTGATCAGCCAAATAATCTTGTTAAGTCTGGAAACTTTTATCAGGTTCCATTTATCACTGGAGTTGTCAGAGACGAAATGGGAGCTTTCAATATAAGTAAGTGATACTTAAAAGTATCAACAAATTTTATTTTATTGTGAATGACAATTTTTAGGATCCGTCGAAGCTGCACAGAAGGGTGATGATTCCACCTTCGTGGAATTGAACAATAATTGGGAAACGATAGCTCCGATAAGTTTCATTTATCAACGCAACACCACAAAATCTAAGATTGTTAGCAGAGAGTTGAAAAAATTTTATTTCAACGATGAACCGATTTCATTGAAAAATGCCATTGGCCGTGCTTACGTGAGTTACATGTTACTATTGATTTTTTTTTAAATGAAAATATACGGTTTCAAAATAATTCATTTTACAGATATATGCAGATGCTATAACTCTTTATCCTGTCCGAAGAATAGCTTCATTAATGGCAAGTGTATCAAAACAACCAATTTATTTTTATTTTTTTAATTACGAAGGCCCGTACAGTCTTTACCATTGGAGCGACGGTAAACCATATGGTAAAAAAAGGATTTTTCTTTCATTAGATCAGTCAGTCATTTATTATAAAAGAACAATATTTATGAATGATTTCAGGTGTTTCTCATCAAGACGAACTGTTTTATATATTCTACACGGCATTCTTTCCGATGATTAAAACAACTGATAAAGAAAACGAAATACTCGAAAGGTTTACGACTATTTGGACGAACTTTGCGAAAACTTCGAAACCAATTCCTAATAATAATTCACTATTCCAAGACGTTACATGGGAAACATTGAACTCGAACACTTTTAATTATTTAGAAATTAATAATACGCTCCAGATGAAGGAAAATTACTTTGCTGATCGTATGCAGTTTTGGGAAAAACTTTATCCCGCGTAACTTAATAAAAATTGTTTAATATATCTGTACTTTACACTTTGTTACAAGACAATTTACGCCTTATTTATTCGCGGCATAAGATATGGAATGTGTGAGTACGCAGGCACACGCGCGCAATATTACATTTGTAGAGAGAGAGAGAGAAAAAGAGGCAGAGCACAGCAGCATTTCGCCACGACACGATGATTTCCGAAATCGACCGGTCTTAAATGATGCATAAATAAAAGCCCCTCGCGTATTCATGAGGAAAGTTCGGAGCTTCTCCGCTTACTCGCTTAACGTAATCGGACATCACCTTCACTCGCTCGAGGTTGCAACGATATCGGCGTACGCGTCATTTAGCAAGCTTGCATTTACCGAAAAAGCGGAACTAGTACAGAAGTGAATACATAGTACATCGGTACGCGCGAGAAAACCAACCCTCTACTACCAGGCCGTGCGAGGTCCACGTAAGTAGGAATCACCGTTACACTCGCACACTCTCTCTCGTTCGAACTATCTATGTCAACACGGAGTCATGCGAGACTTCGATTGCGCAATCGGCAATTAAGCTAACGGCCTATGTACAAAACGGCGACTTTTGCAAATAAAACATAGATTTTGTGCCAAGGCATTCATCTTTATTTCCCTTTGCGAGCTACCATTACACCTTTCTAACTATTTTGCAAACGCGATCGACAACGGATGAACCCCACCGCCTCCGCGGGCTTATCGGCGTTGATAAGCAGTAGTCTAATACCGCTGTACCGTGTGCACAATAACAGTCAGCTCGTCTTTAACAAGCTTTAGCTAACAACGTAAAATTCGATTCGTTTCAACGGAACGTTGTCAAAAGGTAGCTAATAGCAATGTTGTAATTTCCAAATTTATTGAAAAGAAATATATATCTTACATTTCTATTTTTGTGATATTAACTGTAATAAATATTGAATGTGTTATTATATCTAATTTATGAGTATAATGAGCACTGTTTAAGCTCCAATTACTAAAAAATATTAATAATTATTTATTACATATAATATTCATATATGATCAACATAGGATTAAAGAATTTGATTACTCAAAACCATATGTAACATTTAGATCTACATACATCGTTTAAATTTGGTGAATTTTCTATACTACAATAATACAAATAGTACGTCTCTTGTAGTTGTGATGTTATGCAATAAAATTGTTCAAACGATTTTGAGAAATAATACCGTTCGTGTGATGTATGCAAAAGAAAATGCATCAATTTTGAACGGTTGAAAAACGTTGTTTGTCATAATTTTACCAAATTTACCGCAGTCTCGTGCTGCTTCGCGATACTGACGTGTATTTTTAGTTCCTGTGCATCGCTGGACTGTAGAAATTATTTATCTCGAAAACAATCTATTCCCGCGACATAGAACTTCTCATAAAGGTTAGTAAAAGTTTAACAGAATTGATAAAATTATATTGATAAAATTATATGTTGTTCTTTTCAAGACTTATCAATTTTTATTTTAGTTAATATTCTGGTAGTTATACCGTATATTCGACGGGAATGCAATTTCTGTTTTCTTCAGTACTTCTTTTATATTTATTACAAGTATATGCCTTGCAAGATGCTATTATAAGTACAAAGTTAGGTCAAGTTCGAGGATCTTTGATGCAAACGCGACAACGAAAAAACATTTTTGCATTTCGCGGTTTGTTTTATGCTGAACCACCCATCGGTAAACTCAGGTTCAAGGTGCGTTTAGAATTCGTCATTATTAATTTAAAAAACAAATGAAACGTGTGAATTTCATAAAGGACTCTGTTCCGGTAAAACCCTGGAAACACATATTCAATGCAACTGAGGATGGGCCAGCTTGCATTCAAGCAAAAGGCACTGACCTTACGGAAAATTGCTTAACGTTGAATATTTACACAAAGCAGGTAGATTTATATCATTCACAATTGCCGGTCAACATTAAGTAGTAAATTAAACTATGCGATTAAAACTGTCTCGTCAGATAGTCGACGTGAAACTGCCAGTGATTGTATTTCTACCTCCAGGTGGATTTCACCAATCTTCCGCCCAAAGTTCCGTGTTTGGACCGAAATATTTGCTCGATCACAATATTGTTCTAGTCACTGTTAATTATCGATTGAGCTCATTAGGTAAGATCTGCAATGGCTATAGCTTGAATGAAAATCAAGTGTTGATTTTTGAATACTCAAGGTTTCATAAATACCGGTGATACGTACGCTACAGGCAACTATGGTCTCAAAGACCAGGTTCTCGCCCTTAAATTTGTACGTGATTATATTTCATCCTTTGGCGGTAGTCCCGAATCAGTGACATTGGCTGGTCAGAGTGCCGGTGCTAGGAGTATCGTTCTTCACATGGTTTCACCTTTATCCAGAGGTTTGTTTCATCGTGCAATCGCTATGAGTGGTTCTTCAACTACTCCCATTCCTCCACAAAGAGAACAAATTCAAGTAGCTAAGAAACACGCAAAGCTAATGGGATGCACGACAGATACTAGACCGGAAATGTTTGAATGTCTGAAGGAAAAACCTGCTGAAGAGTTTGGGAAGACTGTTAGAAGTTTTTTGGTGTGATTTGAAAACATTTGTTCTAAAGTAACATTGGACTTGTAGTGATGGTTTAATTTGTTTTAGGAATGGAATGGAAATCCTACATTGGTTTGGTATCCTGCGGTAGAGCCAGTAAACGTTCCTGGAGTGGAAGCATTTTTACCTGACGAGCCGGAAAAATTGATGCGCCAAGGACAAATCTACCACGTGCCACTTATAATCGGCGTTACTCGAGACGAATTCAGTTTTATGGCAACATGTGATTGCGTATAACTCTTCTTTTCAAACCTCATTTTCAAATATATGCTTTATTTTGCAGCTGGAATATGGTCAGCTATGCAAGGAAACGATTCGTATTTCCAAGAACTGAACGATAATTGGTACGAACTGGCACCGATATGTTTTGGCTATGAGCGTCATACTGATCGATCCAAATATATAAGTGATGAGCTGCGAAAATACTACTTTAATGATGAGCCACTTAGCTTAAACAATTCCGGATCCTTACGAAAAGTGAGTAAATAGTAACAGTTTCTATTTATTTAAGTATAAAAGTAAGAATTGAATACAGAATCTTTTTCAGCTTTACGCTAACGCATTGGTGCATTTTCCTGTTTATCGAGCAGCAAGTTTAATATCGCAATTTTCTCCAGCTCCAGTTTACTTCTATGAATTCACGCAACTCGGAAGATACAGTATTCAAAAATGGCCTGATACTGGCAAGCCTAAAGGTACACCGGTCCATCCTTTTTTTCAAATGCAATAATAACGAACTCATTTTTCAGGAGGCGTAGCTCACGGCGACGATTTACAATATATTTTTAATATTGAAAGTGATGCTTATAACTTTCCAAAAAGTTTTCCTTTTTATAATGGCAATGACTCGGAAGTTGTATGGATCAACCGGTGGACATCGATATGGTCAAATTTCGCAGAAGTTGGAGCACCCCTCCCGAAAAATCCTGTGTTATTCGATGATGTGATTTGGGAAAGATTGCAGCCCAATAATAAAAAATACTTGAATCTTGGAGAAGAAATAAGTTTACAAACTGACTTTGAGGAAGAAACAATGAGATTATGGGATAAACTTTTTCCTTGAAAATTATGTTTTTAGGCTTGTGGGGCTAATAGAAAGTTAAAATAGTCAATAGTTGACACTATTTTACGATCTCCTTAGAAAAGCTTGAAACGAGCATTATGTACATGTAATTAAAATATTCATTAAAATATTTATAAAAATTGAGTTTGTTTTATTTTTACTTTTCTAATTAATTATATATTATTATGCATCTCTTATCGAAACTTCTTTTAGCAAAAACTTTACATGATTTTAATGTTTCTTTCAATGATATTTCTTAACTTATGCTCTATCGAGTAGCATATGAAAGCTAGTAATAAATCGAAAATGTATTATCTTATACACACACACATACACACACACACATACACACACACACAGACATATATAAACAATATAACATGCATAATAATGATATCCTTATACTATGATAACCTAGAGAAAATCGCTCTACTCGTGCTTTCCTTACATGATTCTGAAAACCTGCTGACATCATCCGCGTTTATTGGAGCGTTTAGTATAGGTTGACGCCACATTATTATTGAGTAAAACTACAAGGAAAGTTTGCGAGATTGCGCAAAACGTAATTCTATTTTTATTTTATTCGTTTTTTTCATTCCGAGTATTATAACATTTACTATCCAATCTAAAAATCAAAAGATAACTTGTTTAAAACAAAGCTTGTATGATCTTCTTATGTTCCTTCTTATGTTAATGTTTACTAATGAACACATACATGTAAGGTAATTTATTATCTAAATGTCCATAACAAAGTATACATCGGTATCTTTTGAGGAAAGTATTAGAAAAAAATGGCGATGGAGTATTTTTGATAAAATATTCTAATGGAGCCAGCAGCATTTTGGTAAAAAAATTATCAACGATTGCAAATAGTTTCACTAATGAAAATTCATTATCTTATAAAATAAATTGTATAATTCAAGTTCTTCGTCAGCGACCAGAACTCAGCATAAAAAACACAATTAACGAATTTATCCGTGTAACTTGATGATAATAACTTTTGTTTGTCGAGGCGCTTAATCATTATCGCAAGCTATAAAAGCAAGCCTTCCATGACGCGATTGAGTCAGTGCGAACATGTTCAATCTGAAAATAGTGTTGTTGGTGCTATGCGCCACTGCGGTCGGCAGCTATGCAACTGAACTCATCGTCCAAACGTCGCTTGGTCGAATCAAGGGGTCGTTGATGAAAACAATATTGGGCAAGACTATCTATGCTTTTAGAGCCGTTAGGTACGCTAAAGCTCCAGTAGGTCAACTGAGGTTCAAGGTTGGTCATTTTAATTAGTAATATACGTTTGAACAATTATGAGGCCGGATTAAATTTTGTTGTGTCTTTAGAATGCTGTGCCAATTGAATCCTGGAATGACATTTACGATGCCACGCAAGAAGGGCCTGCCTGTCCAACACCGACTGTTAAGGGAGAAATTAGCGAAGATTGTCTCCGTCTAAATGTTTATTCCAATGAGGTATATTTAAATATTTTCTACCAGCTCATCATATTCAAAAAAAAATGCAAACAACGGATGGTTTAATATATAGCTTCCAACTGCTACCAAAAAAGTCAAGAAACCAGTCATCGTCTTTATTCATCCCGGTGCCTTTTACGGATATTCCGGGCAGAGCTCTTCCTTCGGACCTCACTATTACCTCGATCAGGATATCGTTTTAGTTACCATTAATTACAGACTCGGAGTATTAGGTAAAAATATAACCCATGTCAGTGATCATTCAAAATTACTAGAATAAGCATTTTTCTAAATAGGCTTCATGAGTACTGGAGATGCGCGTGCACCAGGAAACTTAGGTCTCAAGGATCAAGTGGTTGCACTTCGATGGATTCAAAACCATATTACAAAGTTCGGTGGTGACCCAAACTCCGTTACTGTCACTGGTTGCAGTGCTGGTTCATGGAGTACCCTTTTTCATCTTTTGTCACCTGTTTCGAAAGGGCTTTTTCATCGTGCTATTGCTATCAGTGGTGCACCCACTGTACCCGAGCAGCTACCTTACAATCAAACGCATTTGATTACCAAGCAGGCTAGTTTTGTCGGATGTCCTACTGATAATGTTGACAAGGCTATAGAATGTTTGAAAACCGTACCATATAAACAGCTTAGTGATTCTCTGCCCAGATTTGCTGTGAGTTTTTTTTTCATAATATCTTATGAATATTTCTTTATATTAACTTTGCTGCATGCGTTTTCAGGAGTGGTACGGGGATCCTATATTAGTCTGGTCACCAGTCGTTGAGCCTAAAATACCCGGAGTGGAAAGATTCATTACGGATCAACCAGAGAATTTACTTCGCAAAAAACAGTTTCAACAAATTCCCGTAATCATTGGTGTTACTAAAGACGAATTTTCTTCTGCTCCATTGAGTAAGACAATAACATATTCCAAAAGTTTTCGAAATCTAAATAACATCTTCAACAATCAATTATTGTTTCAGGTGCCCTTGAACAAGCAATGCAAGGCGATGATTCGATTTATCGTAATGTCACCGAAAATTGGTATTTCGCCGCTCCTATCAGTTTCCAATATGAGCGTGGTACTGAGCGTTCGAAACGTATCAGCCGCGAAATTTATAAATTCTATTTCAATGACAAACCAATCACCGTCGAAAATGGCCCTAATCTTGGATTGGTAATTTCAGATTTTTAAGTAAAATCAAATTTATTCCAAATGCTGTGAGTTGAATATCTTTTTATAGATTTATGCTGACGCACAAATTGGCTTTTTGTCTCATCGATTTGCTCAACTACTTGCTGAATACTCGACTGCTCCTATTTATGAGTATCAATTTGCCTATCAAGGGAGATTCAGCTGGGCCATGTGGAAAAGTGGTCCTAAAAAAGGGCAACCATACGGTAAACAATATAATTTATTTGCTGTATTTCAAATATTGGTCATTAATTTTTATTGGATTTCAATTATTACTTAGGAGTTGTTCATCAAGACGATCTCATATATTTATTCACTATGCCTGGATATGGTTTCCCCGCTTTCAACTCTACTGACCCCGAAGTCAAGATGATTAAAAAACTTACTACAATGTATGCGAACTTTGCCAAAACTGATGAACCTATTCCTAAGAATAATAACCTATTCAAGGGTGTTCATTGGGAGACTCTCGACCCAAAGAAATCAAATTATCTTGAGATTAATGATAATTTTACTATGAAAAGGAAGATGTTTGCCGATAGATACGCACTGTGGGATAGATTATTTCCCTTGCGTCCGCTGCCAAAATGATTTTGTAAATTACAGTTTCTTATAACTTGTGGTTCTATGTGATATTGCAAAGCTTTTATATATTTTTTGTAAAAATAATAAGAATTTCATTACCACAAACTGTCGTAACTAGTTTTTATAAGTTATGATTCATTATCCGTTTACCCACTATTAAAAGAGACGATGATCTACAATTCCTCTGTAGCATACAAAAGCACAAAAACCGAATTTGAAATATATATATATGTAATTATATATATATATATATATATATATATATATATATATATATATATATATATATATATATATATATATATATATATATATAATTTATCCAAATTTGATGACAATCGCTGATTCGTATTAGTGTTTGTAAGAATGGCAAATGAAATTTTTTTACTTGGTTATTTAATTCGGTGATGAAATTATTAGCAGTATTACTTGACATAACGTAATAACTTAGTTTGGTAATCACACTAATATTTTTATTTTAATAACGTTAAAGCGAACAAAAGCTGTGAATAATATGACATAATTTTGATGCTTTGAAATTAACAGTTTTGAAAAATATAACGTTTATAACTACACTTTCTTAATTAATGGCATAGTAATTGATAAGATTAGATAAGATTAAAACAATCTTTAATGGATTACATAGGATTCAATATGTTGAAAAAACAGAGAAATAATCGAACGTTTATACATATCCTCATATAGTGTTTCAATCCGCGCTAATTGCAAACACAAGTGTTTTCCTCGAAGTGCTAGGAAAAATCCCCGATTTCTGTGCTACATATACAAAGTATATATAATCGCTTTACTAGCAAATTCTGAAACAGTATCGATAAACACGCCGCGCAACAATGACAGCGAAAATCAAACCTCTCTTGCTCATACTATGCGTTGTGCATAGTTATGCTTCGAATCCTGAGGTGCAAACTTCATTAGGACGAATCAAAGGTTCATATATGCAAACGGCTATGTATAATAAAACCATTTTTGCATTTAGAGGTGTTAGATACGCCAAATCTACGGAAGGAGAGAGTCGATTTACGGTTTGTATGATATATTTTATGTTTATAAATGTAACAATTTATCAATATTTCTACTATTTAACGTGCATTTAGATTGCCGAGCCAGTAGATCCATGGACGGGAGTTTTTGACGCTTCAGAGGATGGTCCCTCGTGTGGTCTATTGGATCCTCCAAGTATAGTGAGTGAAGACTGTTTAAGAGTGAATATATACACAACTAAGGTATAGTCGTCACATTTTTCGTTTCCTACGTTAATTCGGTACTATACTTACATAATATTACGATTGCAGCTCCCAAGTGCAAATAATAAAGTGAAGCGCCCTGTCATCGTGTTCTTCCATCCAAGTGCTTTTGTTAGTCATTCCGCGCGTAGCGACTTGTACGGTCCTGAATATTTCTTAGATCAAGATATTGTTTTGGTGACAGTCAACTCTAGACTTGCGATCTTCGGTAAATTTGCAACAGTTAGCGAAATATTTTATAAATGCTGATTCGTGAATATCATCAAGGTTTCATAAGCACTGGAGATGCACGAGCACCCGGCAATTTGGGTCTGAAAGACCAAGTAATTGCCTTGCGTTGGGTTCAAAAAAATATCGCATCGTTCGGTGGTGATCCAAATTCCATCACTTTATCCGGCTGCAGTGCAGGAGCTGCAGGTATAATTCTGCACATGCTATCACCCATGTCCAAAGGTCTATTTCATCGAGCTTTCATATCCAGTGGCACGCCCGATATGCGAATATATACGTCAACGAACGAGACTCACACACTACTGACGCAAGCTCAATTGGTCGGTTGTCCCAACGATAATGTTAACGAAGCTATAAAATGTTTAAAAATAGTGCCGCGCCAGAAATACGTCAATACTTACCCGCGGTTTATTGTGAGTTTTAATATTTTTTATCTTTGAACTCCCCTCAAGAATTATTTGAATGTGATTGTACGTGTTACCAGCAATTGTATGGATTTAGAATTTGGACGCCGGTAGTTGAACCTGAAGTAACAGGAGTAGAGCGATTCTTGCCTGATCAACCTGCTCACCTCATTAAACAGGGAAATTTCGAACATGTCCCTTTAATTTTAGGAATCACCAAAGACGAACTGTTGGGGAGCGTTATTCGTAAGTTATACACACGTAATTTTGAAAATTATATTCCAGAATATAAAGAGATTGTTTATCTCTAGGTGACTACGAAGCAGCGCTGAAAGGTCACGATAGCGCTTTTCGTGACTTGAACGAAAACTGGGATGCAGTATTAACGAAAAACCTGAAGTACGAGAGTGGCACTGAATTTTCCAAAAACGTGAGCCATGCATTAAAAAAGTTTTATTTCAACAACGAGCCAGTGACCGTTGAAAATGCTTTGAATCTCGGTAAAGTACGTAGATATTAACGAGAGTCGATAATACGGACGTTGAATGATTAAATTTATTATAGATGTGGTCAGACGGAGGTATTGGTTTCTCATTAGATCGCACGGTCAAGCTATTAGCGAAATATTCACGCGCTCCAGTTTATAATTTCATGTTCACTTACCAGGGCCGTTACAGCTATGGCGTTTGGACTGAAACAAAGAAGCCTGTTGGTAAGCAAGATTATTTTTTCCATCGGCTCTTGTGTTTTATTCATGTCATTCCAATCAGGTGTAGTTCACATGGATGACGTGTTGTACTTTATGACCTCGGCGCTGGAGTTTCCGCGCTTCGACAAAAGTGGGCCTGAATTTGCTATGATGACGAAGATGACAAGTTTATGGGCTAATTTTGCTAAGACTGGCGATCCTATTCCGAAAAACAACGATTTATTTAAAAATGATTTATGGGCGCCTTTCGATCTAAAAAAAGAAAATTATTTGGAAATGGGCCAGAAATTCACTACAAAGTATAAAATGTACGCGGATCGTTTTGCCCTTTGGAATCAATTATTCCCATGGAAAAATATTGGATTGTAAATAAATCTATATAAACCTGTTTATAAAAATAAAAATAATTATAACATATAGTTTATCTTCGTTAAATGTTAATTAGGATTATTTGGCGAAAACATTTATCGGAATTGAATGAAAACGTAGACAAAAAGAAAAATCGATAATAATTTTGTCGCTTTTTGTCATTGACATTAAAAGCTAATCGTTTAGTTGAATAGTGTAACGTTATTATAATATTAATTTGTAACGTATTATAATAAAAAATTCAAACTTAATGAAACAATTGCAATATTATTTTCCGAGATAGAGTAAGAATTTGACGCGCGTTTTATTTTGAAAGTAAACAATATATAAGTTACAAAATTGAAACTGAAGTTCAAAAATGGAATTTCCAGGCATAAGATTGAAGTGTTCTCACGCGAGCGTCGATAATCTTGACCGAAATACTTAGAAAATGGCAACTCTAGGTTACTCCCGCGAAGATAACATTTCTCAATAGCAGATTGACCAAGAATACACGAATATCAGTAGTAAGTATTACATTTTTATCACGGAGTTCAGGAATTTCGTCTGAGAGGACACAATTTTCAATCTCAAAACGCCGTGCAAGATTTTGCTAAGTTCCATCACATCTATCTGTGAAAGGCCAGACAGAAACTTAGAAAATTCACTTGGCTTATAACGTATACATTAGGAGAGGAGATTGACTTAGGTCACTTTTTCTCATATAAGTGATCGTCTTATGAGTTGATAGTTACTAAGTAATCGCTAATGAAAGTAAATTTGCAAGGCTGTAACTACTGAATTAGCAAAACATATCTCAGGTAGAGGCTTATTTATAGGGCTGAGAGCTTATTTCACTTGTACACAGTGCTCGGGTTGCAACACAAGGTGAATTTATACCAGTAGCCGGGGTCTCCTTTCACGCTGGGTTGTCTCTTCAACGCTTTTTTCTGCAATTTCGCACAAACTATGAACAAGCTTCTACGCGAAACCGCGCACGCGGATAAAAAAGTTTGAGTTTTAAAAAATGAAAATCAAGACGCAAAAGTTTATGATGTGAATCGCTTAACATAAAAAAAAACGCAGTACAAAATTATAAATAAACAAAGTTAAATAAATGAACAAGAGAATATTTACAATAAAAATATACAAATTTTTGAAACCAGAATGTAGCTTATGTTGTGCCGAAGTATATCCAAGATAGGATTTGTCAATTTAACAAATAGAATTTGAATAATAATTTAATTATTAATTATTATTGTTTATTAATAACTTTGTTCAATAATTGGTTATCAATACGTCAAACTCTTACTCATCTTCTTTAAATCGGTATCTACGCTTAGCTACATTCGACTTAATGTTACAGTAGTGTATTGCAAAATTATTTCTAAATTATATTTGTAGATAACTAAGTATCGTAGGTTGAAAATTAATTAATACGCATTAAAAGTTTATATTAGAAATCTATATGTGTATTAAAATTAACTTAAAAAGTATTTTTATTGGTTAAAAAAGCTAATAGTTATAAATGTCGTTTAGTAAACAACAGTTTTAATCTAGATGTGACGTCACGTTTCATATAAGGTGATGAATTACACAACTAAGCCTATAAGTGAAGTAACGTCTTAGTTTAAAGACAGCGCTTTTCCCTATTTTCGGGAGTACAGCGGATTACCATTGCGCAGTAAAAAGATCAGACTGGACCGTCATAGTAAATATTACTCAACCATTATGATGCACATTGTGCACTGAACAATCATGATTCTTTACGAAATATTAGCGGATTTATTCAATCAATATTCAAATATATAACAACAGCTTAACTCGTTACTTGTATAATTAACAAATGACATGTTAATTTACTTTTTAATAAGTAAACCGATAAGCTTCTCAGTAATTGATAAGAATTACTGCCACTGCGAAATAATTATTTTGCATATTGCGAAAAATTTCTGCCGTAGAAGTTTTACTGTTCACACGCGTGATTCTGATAACTCACTTCAAGACACTGAAAAATAAGGAAACATTTTAAAAATGTAGATTGTTTCAATATCTTTGTATATAAAATCAACAGTGCCAAGAAAAATTAAGTTTGTTTACATAAAATTACTTTGTAGATAGTGTAAATTTCGTCTAAGCGAATCTTTTAGCCGACAAGGGTAAGCTGATACAAAGTTAGTATTACAAAGAAATATGTAGAATGATTTATATACATATATATATGCGTCACCGCATTATGGAAAATCCTATCTTTCAAGAGTATAAAAGGCCTGACAGTAACGAAGTCTGACTCATTATCACGAAAACGCTTCGAGTGAAAATGTCATTCAAGCTAAAGTCTTTATTTGTATTATTGACGCTATGCGTCATTGCAACGTGCCACCTTCCCCCAGAGCCTCAAGTACAAATTTCCTTAGGCAAAATTAAAGGCTCTTTTATGGAAACAGCCCTTAAGAAGAGAATCTTCGCGTTTCGAGGCATAAGATTCGCAAAATCCACTGCAGGAGCAAGACGATTTAAGGTATGTGTTTATATTATAAATATTTTACAAAATCAGTTTAAATTACATTTTACTTGTTACACTAGCTTGCCGAGCCAGTTGATCCATGGACTGGAGTCTACGATGCCACGAAAGACGGGCCTTCGTGTTCTCTGTACGATGATGCTGCAATCGCAAGTGAAGATTGTTTGATGCTTAATGTTTATACTACCGAGGTAATTCGATTTTTTTATTTTATATTATTATTTTATTTCAATGATATTACCAATTGTATTTTACAACAACGTCAGTTACCAAAAGCCAATCGCAAAGTTAAACGACCGGTTATCGTATTCTTCCACCCAAGTGCATTTCAAAGTTTATCCGGGCGTAGTGACATTTATGGTCCGCAGTACCTTTTGGACCAAGATGTCGTTCTCGTCACAGTCAACTATAGACTCGCTACTTTCGGTAATTATTTTCATTTGTCCATTAAAAATGTATTTATAAAAGGAATCAAATCATTCTTTGAATCACAGGGTTTATCAGCACTGGAGACAATCGTGTCCCAGCTAATTTAGGTCTTAAGGATCAAGTGACCGCTTTGATTTGGGTACAAAATCATATTTCGGCTTTCGGCGGTGACCCCAACTCTGTGACTCTCAGCGGTTGCAGCGCTGGAGCCGTCGGAATCGTTCTGCACATGCTGTCACCTATGTCCAAGGGTCTCTTTCACCGGGCCTTCATCTCAAGTGGTGCGCCAGAAACTCGCTTCAAATCGTCCACAAACGAGACTCATATTCTTTTGGCTCAGGCTAAGCTTGTCGATTGCCCTGACAACGATGTCGACAGGGCTCTCGCGTGTTTGAAGACTGCTCCGAGAAAAAAATTCGCCGACACTATGTTCCAATTCTATGTAAGTTTTTCTCAAAAAGTTCTAATGTAATTTCTGTTGGATTGGTTGAAAATATAATAAAAAATTAACGTATGCGCAGGAATCTCACGGAGTTGACATTTGGATGCCAGTGGTTGAGCCGAATATTCCAGGAGTTGAAAGATTTGTTGTCGGTCAACCTAATGATCTGATTAGACAGGGTAAAATTCATCCTGTACCTTTAGCCATAGGTATCACGAAAGATGAATTGTTAGGAAGTGTTGGTCGTAAGTAAAATATCATGTTTTTAAAATTGCTTGGAAATGAATAATATTTAAACTTTCATATTTTTGTATTCAGCATTGTATGAAGCAGCAGTTACAGGCGACGATCACGAATTCCGTAACTGGACAGAAAATTTCAGTTATCTGGCTCCAAGAGCTCTGCTGTACGAGCGCGACACTGAGCGTTCAAAATACATCAGCCGTGAGCTTTATAGGTTCTATTTTAATAACCAACCTATTACCATCCAAAATTATAAAAAACTTGGCGAGGTATAAAATGATAACCGCTATATTAAAATACATCTATTGATATTATTCATAAAAGTGGTCTCTCTTTTTTATAGCTGTGGTCGGACAGTAATATTGGTTTCATTGTTAACCGTGCTGTAAGACTACTTGCTCTACACTCCAAGGCACCAGTCTACAACTACATGTTCACTTATCAAGGTCGCTATAGTAATGCCGTCTGGACCGATACGAAAAAACCGATTGGTACGATCATTGTTACAGGCATAATATGAGCTTTTATCTTGTTTATAGATTTGTTTCATTCATTTAATGATTATATTTTATCAGGCGTGACACATATGGACGACTTGTTGTACTATTTGACTTCGTTATATCAGTTCCCGCAATTTAACACTACAGACCCGGAGTGGCCAATGGTGACAAAAATGACTAGTTTATTGGCGAACTTTGCTAAGACCGGTGAATCCATTCCTAAGAATAATAATCTATTCAAAGATGTTACATGGGATCCCTTTAACCCAAATTCTCAAAATTACCTAGAAATAAGCGAGAAATTCGTAACCAAATATAAAATGTACGCAGACCGTTACGCTATCTGGAAGAGACTATTTCCCCTTGAGCCTATTGGACATTAAATTAAATTTATAACTTGATCAAAAATATACTTGTGAAAGCAATATTCGAATTCATCATTATGGTATTTTAAATAAAATATTGTAATATAAACATCAACTACACACAATGGAAATATTTAATTCATGATTCAAAAATTTTAATTATTAGAACAGTTGCATTAAGAGGAAAAAGTTCTTTTTCCGGATGGAAAGATTATATCTAATATATTACGGTTATTAGTCCAAAATATATATATACGTGATATAACATGAGAGAATACTCGTTCACAATCAGGAGAAATAACAACCTCATGAGGCACGTGTAATAATCTAAAAACATTTAGTAAGAGGCACTATCGGTGGTATTTGCATTTAGCTAATAAAAAAAATTTAGGTAAATATTTTACGAAACGTGCAACTGATTAGCGTAAACCACGATTACTGCGTCAACATAGCCAAGCGAACATTGTTTAAGAGCTAATATAGCTCATTAAATATAGTTAGCTTTTATCTCGGTAGCTTTTATGCGTTCTTCGGTAAACATCACGTTTGAAAATCTAAATAAAGACCATAATATAATCAAGTATTAAATCGGAGTTTCATACAAATGGTTCTCTTATTCTTTACGACATGAACCTGATTTCTGAGCTCGAAATAGAAAGAGAAAGGCCGTTGACGTCTGCAAAAACAAACAGGAAGTTTTTCTTATTCACGGTCATCAGATATAACAAATCTATACAAAAGATGAACGAAGTCCATGTGCAAAATTGCATAAGGGGAAAGATTTATTCCATGATAATATTTACGTGAATCACAATATTATGTTTGGTATAAGATATCATGTGTTTACATTTTCTTCAAGCAATACCCAGAGCTTTAAGCACTTTTTCAATTACAAAATGTAACAAAACAAGGAAAATTTTAAATAATAGCAACAGATTTTGAGGGTCTTGAATATTTATATACTGTAAATGGAAGTCAACTAATTGACATCAATTAAACATAAATGATTCCACGCAACTGAATGAGGAAACTTCCATTTATAATCATATAAAAGGTCTCAGAGTACAGACTTCTGACGCATTATCACGAAAATACGTCGAGTGAAAATGTTGTTTAAGCTAAAGCCTTTACTTATATTGTTGGCGCTATGCGTCGTTGCGACGTGCAGCTATGCCACAGAGCCTCAAGTACAAATTTCTTTAGGCAAAATTAAAGGCTCCTTTATGGAAACAGCCCTTAAGAAGAAAATCTTCGCGTTTCGAGGCATAAGATTTGCAAAATCCACTGCAGGAAAAAGACGATTTAAGGTATATGTTTATATTATAAACATTTTGCAAAATCAGTTTAAATTACATTTTACTTGTTATACTAGCTTGCCGAGCCAGTTGATCCGTGGTCTGGAGTCTACGACGCCACAAAAGATGGATTTTCTTGTTCTCTATACGATCCACCAGAAATCACAAGCGAAGATTGTTTGATGCTCAATGTTTACACCACCAAAGTAATAAAATTATTATTTTTATAACATTTAATATATTTCAATTATAATAATAGCGGAATTCCTTAATTTTAGTTACCATCAGCTAACATGAAAGTTAAACGACCTGTTATCGCATTTTTCCACCCAAGCGTTCAAGCCTTTTCTAGTAGAAGTGATAGATATGGTCCGCAGTACCTCCTAGACGAAGACGTCGTTTTGGTCACGGTCAATTCAAGACTTGCCACTTTTGGTAAACAGCCTGATATTCCGTATAAAGCTATCAAATCAACGTGATTATCTAATTTTCAGGTTACATCAGTACTGGAGACGATCGTGTCCCAGCTAACTTGGGCCTTAAAGATCAGGTGGTAGCTTTAAAATGGATACAAAAACATATCTCAGCTTTCGGCGGCGATCCCAACTCCGTCACCTTAACTGGTTGTAGTGCTGGTGCTGTTAGCACCATTCTACACATGCTGTCTCCCATGTCCAAGGGTCTCTTTCATCGGGGCTTTATCGCAAGTGGTGCACCGGAAACTCGTTTCAAATCGACCACAAACGAAACACACATTCTTTTAGCACAGGCAAAACTTGTTGATTGTCCTGATAACGATGTTGACAAAGCACTTGCATGTTTGAAGACCGCACCGAGACAGAAATTTGTCGACACTATGTACCAATTTTACGTGAGTTAAAAAATCATCCAGCTACGGAGAGAATTAAAATCTAATATGGGATGTTTGCAGCAATCTCACGGAGTTGACATCTGGATGCCAGTGGTTGAGCCGAATATTCCAGGAGTTGAAAGATTTGTTGTCGGTCAACCTAATGATTTAATAAGGCAAGGCAAATTTTATTCAGTACCTCTAGCTATAGGTATTACTAAGGACGAATTGTTGGGCAGCGTTGTTCGTAAGTTAAAAATTAACGATCCATTTATTTTATAGAGTCTTAGAGACCTATAATATTTGAGATTCCATTGGCTTATCTTTAGCATCATATGAAGCAGCAGTTAAAGGCGACGATCGCGTTTTTCGTAATTGGACCGAAAACTTCGATTATTTGGCTCCAAGATCTATGTTGTACGAACGCGATACCGAACGTTCAAGAAACATCAGCCATCAGATTTACAAATTTTATTTCAACAACGAGCCCATCACTACTAAAAATGCCCATAAACTTGGCGAGGTACGTAAAAATCGTTGCTGTTAAATACATTTGATAATAAAAATTTTTCATTTTTATATAGATGTGGTCGGACAGTAACATTAATTTCATTTCGGACCGTGCTGCTAGACTATTGGCTGAATATTCTAAAACGCCAGTCTACAACTACATGCTTACTTACCAAGGTCGCTACAGTAACGCTGTTTGGAGTGATACAAAAAAACCTGTTGGTAAGACTATACTATCTTTTACGTGTATTTTTATATTTTTTTCCGTTTTTCATAATATCTTTGTTTATTTACTTTAGGCGTAGTACACATGGACGACTTGTTGTACTACTTGACTTCGTTGAATGCGTTCCCTCAATTCAACACCACCGACCCCGAGTGGCCAATGGTCAGGAAAATAACCAGTTTATTGGCCAACTTTGCCAAGACTGGCGAATCCATTCCCAAGAACAACGAATTATTCAAAGGTGTCACATGGGAACCCTTTAACCCGAAGACTCAAAACTATTTGGAAATGGGCGAGAAATTCAGGACAAAGTACAAAATGTTTGCTAATCGGTTTGCTTTTTGGGAGAGACTATTCCCTCTTGAACCTATTGGACAATAGAGAAATGTCGTAATATTACAAAAAGGCAATTATCAAAGAAAAATAAAAATTAATTCAGTATTTACTTTACTATTATTGTTCAGAGATTAATTATTTGACTTAAAAACTAAGATTATTGAAACAGCTGGTTTAGAAAGAAAAATGTATTTATACAGCTTGAGATAACATTAGCTAATAAATGATACATTGAAGTTTTCCGTTTGACAATCATGCGATATCTTATGTGAAACAAAGACGAATCGTACTCTTTTTAGTTGAACAAACTTGCTTTAATAATATTTACCTTTCCTAATTTTACATATGGAAGTTAATTCGTGACTTAATTCGTTGAATTTTACTAAAATAAATCATTTCGAATTCGTGAAGACAATATCATAAGGATAAATATTATTGATTAATAGATTATCATTCTCACTTGTTAAATGCTTAATTTATCATTTTATTATTTAGAATTTTTAATAAAATTTAGAGCATACGTTTGAAGCACTTTATGTGCAAAAAGCAACAATCATAAAAATAATCGACAACGAAGTTGATTTGAACTTGTTTGTTATTTGTCAAAATTTAGCTTCTAGTAGACTGAAATCGAAAATAGTTATTGATGTATACGATAACGACAAAAATTTGATATTTGGAGACTTGAAATATCACGTTTAAGGAAAGAGAGTCAAGATTGATACCTTGATAACAAAGATTTTTTTGATTAAACAATATCTTCGTAAACCATTGTCTTATCTTTGATATAAAATATTTGTGCTCGTCTTTTGTGTTAACTATACTCGGAGCATTAATTTGAGGCAATTTACGAGAAAAATAAGTTTGAGAATTATCGCGAAATGTACGTGTTCGTTTGATTTCGTTTTACGGTATATTGATTCAACTAGATAATGAAATTTGAAATAAAATAATTTATTTCATTCCGACATATACCTTTATTAAGGGTCGAAGAATAAAAAAATATCACTTTAATAGATCCCTCAAACGAGTTAAATTTAACACTAAATGTTTTTTTTTTAATTATGTCGAGTCAAACATTAACTTCTTCTTTGTTATACAAAACAATATAACAAGAGAATCTGAATTAAACTTCTTTGTTAAAATGTCTCTGGAAGTTATTAATTCACTTTTACATTATTATGGAAACAGGTTGAAATTAATGTTCAATAAAATAAATAACATATATTTTCTATAAATGTTACTGCTTTCGTGACTTTAAGCCATACAGAGCGAGCTCAAATTGCTCTTGGAAAAATGAAAGTCAATTGCAGGAATTGAAAGATTTTTGACAAGCCTATAACTAATAATACTTATAGTGAATTAATCTGCTGTTTACATTTCTTGACACATTTAGTGTGACTCGCAACTGCTCGCAGTAAAGCAACAATGAGAGACTTTATTGCTGCAATTTTAACGGGAATCTAAAAGTTTGCCTACTTTATTTATACTTTTTTTGTGTACAACAAAAAATGTATATAAATAAAATTATAGAAAACAAACGATACGACTCACTTTTAAGATTTTTAGCTATATAGAACAATTAATCTTTAATATGATGAAGTTAAGATATATTAATAATTATTTTTACACTTGATTGTGATTATTGAACTCATCAAATTGAAGACTGCTGTTTTTGATGCGTAATGATAGGGACCATCGTGCTTTTTAATAGCAGGCATTGAAATAAATAATATTGAGCTCGAGCTATTACGAAAAAAATATACGTAGTTATTTTATTAGTTCGTGCTGTTTTGCCGTACTTAAAGAATTCATCACTTAGACTGTCAAATAAAATCATTCAAGTATAATACTGATAGCTCAAGCACAGTTTTTGTGCACATTAATAGTATAGCCTTTATATATTTTACTTTTTATATACTTTAATATTACGGCTCTTCTCTGAAACTGCCGGTAATCTTGATACAAGAAAAAAAATTTATATTTCACAATTATGAACTGCGGTACAATCATTGTCAATAAAGATAATTAATTTTCCTTATTGATTGAACCCCCATGAGCATAATTATTCCACGTCAAAAGTCAAATGAATTATCAATCTTATCTCGCTTTCAACCGTTAAGGAAACTATGAGTTTTTATCTAAAAATTCAATATCACAAAGCAATGTAGAATAAAAATAGCTACTCCATTTGTAAACAATTTACTATATCGAATGGCGAACAAGGAAAAGTTTTATATTTTCTGGGTAAATCCATAAATATATTTCCCGTCATCGGCGAAGTCTCAAAGCTATATAAACCAGCCGATTAATAAATAACATCGGTCAGTGTTACTTATTAATTGACTCGATTAACGCGTGAAAAACATGAAGCTATTGTGGTCGTTGCTGATGCTGTGTGCCCTTGTGGGCCTCAGCCGTGCTCACGAACCTCACGTTTGGACGTCCCTTGGTGAAATCAAGGGATCCGTTATGTATACCAGAACGAACAAGACTATTCTTGCATTCCGAGGTGTGAGATACGGCAAGTCTACCGAGGGAGAACGTCGGTTCAAGGTCAGTTTCAGTATTTCGTTAACCACTAGTGTTTGACTTTTCTCCAGTGCTGCGGCTGCAGCTGCTGAGAAGGTAACGAGCATAAATAATTAGCTGTTTTATTACTGAACGATGTGTTATTATTATTATTGAAGACTCTTTTTTATAAATATGAGCCGGCAGACTACTTGACTCACATTTTCTTTCATTAAGCAAAGACTGATAATTTTTCTGGCGCGCAGAGAGACGTATAAATACACACAATCGACGTCATAATGCAAAGTCCGATAAAAGATTAATCCTAATTACAGTAGTAACCAAATCTTGCGTGAAAATCGAAAGTTTAACATAAAAACATTCCAATTTGATGAAATGTAGAGCGTAAAACAATGCCGCTCTCGCGTAGTTTTCGAGGTGAATTGAATAATGATGCTTGTGATATCAACGGTAATGTCGTCATTGCACGTAGCTAAACGGGTCTCGAGCGTGAGAACGCATTTGCCGTGAAATTGCCTCCAATTGTTGCGGTCCTTGTTACAGATCGCTGAACCCATCGAGTCGTGGGCTGGAGTTTTGGACGCTTCGAAAGAGGGACCATCATGTCCTCTAATCGCTGCTCCTGAATTGGCTAGTGAAGATTGCTTGAGACTAAATATCTATGCAGGCAGGGTAAGTTTTTTTTTTTAATTACAGTACTTTCAGACGTATAATATATATGACAATATACACGAAAAACTAGCTAATTATGGTGATTTTCATTCGACTTTAGTTACCAAATGGACCAAATCAAGAGGCTAATCCTAACCGCCCAGTTGTTGTCTGGTTCCATCCAGGTGGTTTCTACGGCTTTTCAGCTCAAAGTTACGTCTTTGGACCTGAATATTTCTTGGACCAAGATATCGTATTAGTAACGGTTGAATATAGAATGGGAACTTTTGGTAAATACACTTTGTCTTTTAATAATAACTGTCAATACTAACGATATCATTTAAAATTTTTAATTCTACCATCGTAGGTTTCATGAGCACTGGAGATGCTCGTGCACCAGGCAACCTGGGACTAAAGGATCAAGTCGAGGCTTTACGTTTCGTTCAAAAGCACATTTCAGCTTTCGGTGGTAATCCTAATTCCGTGACCATCGCTGGTAATAGTGCTGGTTCTTGGAGCTGCATTTACCACATGATGTCGCCAATGTCAAAAGGTCTCTTTCACCGAGTGATCGCTTCCAGTGGTTCACCCACGACTCCCGATCTCGTACCTACGAATCAGACTGATATCCTAATGAGACAAGCTAGCTTTGTCAATTGTCCTAGCAACAACGTCGACGCTGCCATCGAATGCTTGAAGAAATTACCGCACCAGCAAATCAGTGACACTTTGCCTAAATTTTACGTATGTTTTTCATTTTTAATAGTTCAGATTTGTCTTTTATTTCAGCTACTATAATTCAGCTAATTTTACGTTTAGGAATGGTACAATGACCCAACTCTGATCTGGAGTCCAGTCGTCGAACCCGTTGTACCTGGCGTCGAGAGGTTCATCGTCGATCAACCACTCAATCTGATCCGTCAGGGCAAATTCGAACATGTTCCTCTTATTACAGGCATTACTAAGGACGAATTAGGTGGTATCGCTGCTCGTGAGTATACATTCATACTATTCTCTGATTACGCTTATATCGACCAGGTACTACTAACATTACGTTGTTTCAGCTTTTTATGAGGCTGCTTTGAAAGGCGACGAGTCGGTTTACAAAAATTTCACTGACAACTGGGAACACGCAGCCCCAATAAGTTTCCAATATGAGCGTGACACCGAACATTCCCGGCATGTCAGCAGAGCGCTCAAAAAGTTTTACTTCAACGACAAGCCCATTACCGTTACGAATGGCCTGCAACTTAATTTGGTAAGCTGTTCTTTTGGGGAGGTATAAGAAATGGTGAGAGTTTATTAAATGGCTAAATATAATTTTCTAGATTTACACTGATGCTATCATCGGTTGGCCAACTCAACGTTTTGCTCAGCTGATGGCTCAATACTCCAAAGCACCAGTGTACAACTACCAATTCATCTATCAAGGACGTTACAGTTTTGTTACGTGGTCTGACACTAAGAAACCTTTCGGTATACATTTTTTGAAACAGAAAAAAATGACTTAGCTCCCCGAGATAACATACTTATATTTCAGGCGTTCTACATCAAGACGACTTACTGTACTTTCTCACACTCTCCTTCGGTTTCCCATTGCTGACACCTGCCGACCCCGAATGGCCAATGATACAGAAGATGACGAGTATGTGGGCGAACTTTGCCAAAACCGGTGAACCCATCCCGAAAAACAATCATTTGTTCAAGGATGTCACCTGGAAGAGTCTTAATCCAAAAGAACAAAATTACCTCGAAATCGGCGAAACCTTCACAGTTAAGAATAGGATGTTCTCGGAGAGATACGCTCTGTGGAATATGCTTTTCCCTATGCCACCTCTCAGCCAATAAACTCGCCTAGCTACGTAGATACGTTAAGAAAAATAAATATTTATTACGGTTTTTATGCAGTATATGACACTTTTTCCTTGATACCTCAAATTTTTCCATGCGGACATACGCTTATACCACACCTTGAGTTAAATGTCGTCGTCGCAAAAAGTAGAGATGCGCTCTGCCGACCTCTTACATGAATTCATTTCTCCTAGCCGCAGTGTCAAATGACTCACAGATCTGTTTGAAGGTTGCCGTTGAGCGTTACGTGTGGATACCAGAGTGTGCGATAAAAAAATACTTTAATTATTAACTGAATTAAGATTTTGCTCCATCTAAAAAAATATAGTATTAAATTTTCAGTGCCTTACTTCTTTAGTTATCTTTAGTATTTTGTGAAATGAAACTGAACAACTGCACCTAAACTATAAAACACATCGCCAAAACAACGTAGTTTCTTTAGTCTACTAGTTTAGTATTCACTACACGCAACGTGCACGACGAACGTCAATTGAAAAAAAAAAACAAGCAGCTGCCAACTGAATACGGCAATTGTCTAATCAACCGAACAGAAAAAAAAACGAACGAACGTTATATCGCGCGATCTCATTGATAGGCAAAACGCAGAGACGGGAAATTTAAGTACATGTAAGTCGCAAAACTGTTTGGTTATAAAAACGCGTATAAGCATTATAAATCTAATCTCGCGCGCGCGAATCGTAAAAGCAGATGACTCGTGCACTAACGAGGAAAGTATCCGCAGGCAGTGCAAAATTCGTGGGTAAATGATCTGCATTGATTTGCATTACGTTACAGGCATTATTTTTCACGAGCACGATTACAGTTAAAAGCGTATCAATAATAAAAAGCGAGTTGGCAATTAGCATAGCACAAGCATATCGTTCGTCTCGGTCGAGCGGCACAGGTAATTGCCATTCCCACGCCGGTCGTGGGTGTATAAAGCACAAGCAGAGACGCCGGCGGCTCAGTGCTCGCGATGAGTTCGACGCTGTCGCTGCTAGTCGTCGCGTGCTTGGCGGTGATTGCCGTCGTCGCCGAAGACGAGGTTGCCGACGAGCTTGTCGTGCAAGCGCCGTCGGGCAAGTTGAAAGGGTCGCTTCTTGAGACGAGGTTGGGCAGAAAGATCTTTGCATACAGAGGAGTGAGATATGCCGAGCCACCGATCGGGCAACAGAGGTTTCAGGTTGGTGCCGATGGTGCGAAAGGTTCCACGCGCGTGACATTAAAGTATAACGAAGGGTGCTCGACAGACACGAGGACGAAACTTTTGCGACGTATGCAAATTGTGAAATTGTTGTCAGTAATTGTCTCGCGTGGCTACGTTTTGTGAATTTTCACACAACTTAAAGCACTGTTACGAGGTATAATTAGAATATCGTCGGTCAAATTTCGAAAACACTTTGCAACTCTTTGTGCTAAAAAAATTATCGCGTCACGTGCGTACCTCGAAATCGAGTCAGCGACGATTATCACGTAGCTACTATTATTTAACTTTCGATTGAAACTTTCGGTTAGACTGCTCTCACCGCGGAATGTTTATTCAACGATTTGTGAAAAAAGAAAACTTTCCTGCTTGCAAATGCAGCTCTAATCGCTAAAAAGTTCATCGTCAGCGCAGATTCAATCGCTTATTTAATGAAACATTAAGCGAGAGAAATTGCAGCTAGACGGTCTAGCGCTAATCAAAACTATTCTGCAATCAAATGCCTTATCGAATGTTTTCCAAAATCGCTTGCGCAGGCACAATGAGTAATGTTTCTTAAGCCGCGCATGATTCACGCTTCAATATTGGCACGTTCTGTGCTTTTTCGTTTTGGTAACAATTAATCGCTAGATTAAGAAAATTGATAGCATGGCGGATTCGATTCACTTAATTCTTTTAGTTGCATAAATTTAATTTAAGTATACCTAACAACGTGCATTGATATCTGTAACTGTGAATTAATTCTATTTCAATTGGCCTTCTAAAAGTTCGAAAAAAATATCAAAAGACCAATTATTCATTACCTCGTTGTACGTAATTAAGCCTATCTCGTTAAATCACTCAACGAGCCAAGTACATTCTGTCTCTGGCCGGGCAATTGTTCTTCTCAGCTCGCGGCTCGGTTTTCGGATTCGCACGATCTGAATTTTCGCGTTGCATTCAGACTCGAGTTTCCGGTTTTCACGCTCCGCCAAGTCAATTATCACAGGAGAACACGGTACCGCGGATTATGCAATGCTTCGTTTTTCCAAGAACCGAGCTTCTAGTTTTAGATCTGTTTTGCTCGTCGCTCTGATTCTCGCGAATGGACTTAATTTTTATTGTGCGCCGAGAGCACGCAAATGACAACAGGTATTACGGAAATAACCTTTTGTTTCCTTTAGCCACCTGCACCAGTTCATCCGTGGGACAACGTTTACGATGCCTCGGAAGAAGGACCAGCGTGTCCGCAAGGTGGTACCGAATACGAGTCCGAGGATTGTCTTCGTTTGAACATATACACCACCAAGGTAAATTTTGAAAATACAACATTGGTATTCTCCATGCGACTTTTCGTTTAGATTTCCAGTGCTGAAGACATTACCAGAAGGCCTGTGATAGTATACTTCCATCCTGGTGGATTTTACTCATCGTCCGCTCAAAGTTTCATCGACGGACCACAGTTCCTGTTAGATCATGATATCGTATTAGTCACTGTGAACTATCGTCTCTCATCTTTAGGTCCCTAGTAACCATCCAATCGAATAAACTCAACAGTTTACAATTATTCAATGCTAAACAAATTTATTTATTACAGGTTTCATGAGCACAGGCGATTCACTCCTGCCCGGTAACTTAGGACTAAAAGACCAAGTAGAAGCCCTTCGTTGGGTGAAGAAGAACATCGCAGCGTTTGGCGGCGATCCGAATTGCGTAACCATCACTGGTTACAGTGCTGGCTCCTGGAGCATCTCACTTCACTTGGTATCACCGATGTCCAAGGGTCTTTTCCATCGTGCCATCGCTTCCAGTGGCTCGGCCATTTACCAAGAACTACTACCCACCAACCAAACTGATCTCGCTAAGAAACAGGCCGAGCTTCTCGGTTGCCCCACTGACACCGTTGGCAACATGCTCGTTTGTCTCAATACCAAAACCGCCGAGGAGTTCGGCGGCACTGTTGGCCAGTTTTTCGTGAGCGTCCGCTTTTACCTTTCTTGTGTTTGATTACCTTATGATGAGTGATTAAATTATTGAGGAGGATTGCTTTGAAATACGAAGATTTTGAAAAGTTTTTTTTATCTTTCGAGCCAATTTTATTCAGATAAAAATTGAATAAAAGTTGCCTTCCATCACTGATATTTCTTAAAAGACACATTGTAATTTCGTTACAAGTACTCTTGAAAAAGTCAATGTCACAGTACTAAGCGATAAAACCAATGTTAACAGGAGTGGTACGGTAACCCGATCCTCCAGTGGTTGCCAGTAGTCGAGCCAGAAGTGCGAGGAATCGAACGTTTCCTTCCAGCGCAGCCACTTGACCTCATTAAAGAAGGAAAGTTCCACAAAGTTCCTTTCATCACCGGTGTGACCAAGGACGAATTTGGCGGACGTATCGTTCGTAAGTGCATCATCCGAATCCTCATGTTTATCCATCTACAATCATAATTTAATAATATATTTATACAGCAATGATCGAACAAGCGAAAAGTGGTAACGACTCAATGTTTCGCGATCTAAACGAACAGTGGGAGCGATTGTCTCCGATAAATTTCCTTTACGAGCGTGGTACTGATCGCTCGAAGGAAATCAGCAAGAAACTCAAAGACTTTTACTTGGATGGCAAAAACGTCAGCGTGGAAAATTCCGAGGGCCTCGCACGCGTAAGTATCGAGTATTCGCGATTAACTTTTTAATCGAAAAACTTCTTCAGGGTTATTTGCGACGGGGGAGAGGGAGGGGAAAATAACAAATAAAAAATAAAAAAGTACAAATTTTTATTTTAATAGCTTTTCGCTGATGGCGTCATTGGCTACTCCGTGCACAAGCTCGTCAACTTAGTCGCGCAAGCTTCCGATCAGCCGGTTTACTACTACAAGTTCACTTTCCAGGGACCTTACAGCCACGTCACTTGGAATGACACGAAGAAGCCTTACGGTAGGATTATGTCTATCCAGTTGCTTCGAATGTCGAGGCTGACAAATGCTGTGCTCCCTTTTAGGCGTGGTTCATCACGACGACCTGCTCTACATATTCCGCGTGAGCTTTTTCCCGGAATTTGACAAAAACTCAGCGGAGATAAGGACAGTCGAACGCATGACGGCGATATGGTCGAACTTTGCGAAAACAGGCGAACCCATACCCAAGGATAGCGAACTCTTCGCCAACGTTACGTGGGAGAAATTCACTTGCAACAATCAAAAGTACTTGAACATCGGTAAAGATCTCGCGATGGAAACTGCACTGTACCAGGAGAGAATGGATTTCTGGGACAAACTATTTCCCGTTGATTATAATAAGCAATGATGTGCTTTTTATCGAGTGACATGTAACATTTTTTACGAGTAACGCCCCACAAACGTCATTTAAAGCAGACACATTTTTCTTCTTTCACACACGAGAGGCGAGAAAGAAGAAAATCTCCAGTGATACACGAGGAAAAGTACGAAGTCACATGCGATTTTCTTAGTCATTGTTCTTACGTTACAGTATAGTCGAGAGAGCTTTTCCGTCGCGCAATAATTATGTAAATATATGAGTGAATAAACTTTGAGTATCGATTTGTTACGCAGTCCCTTTCTCATTTTCCTACACTCGGCAAACCGATTAGCAATCGAGGATCAACGCGAAAATTGTTCTTGTACTGCAGATTAACGAATCGTTGACTTTCGGGCATCGTACCAGTTTGGATGAATAATGCATTGTTGCATCGTGCTTTGCGGCGTAACGACTGCGCACTGAGAGGAGGCGCGCAACGTTATTACACCGTCAACAGGTCGTTAATCATTTACGATTTGTCCTTGGCTTGCAGGAAACGGATAACTCCAAATAGTTTTCTGAAGTACTTTTCAGCCTCGTTGATTCGACACTGCGATGAGCTATTTTCATGACTCACCGTGTTTTCATTCACGCCTAATTCAAGGACTTGTTCGATTACAATCGATCTTGCACAAATTGAGGGTAACATTTTCTTTTCTCGACAGAGAGAGAGAGAGAGAGAGAGAGAGGGGGGTAGAGAGGGAGGGAGGAAAAGAGAAAAAGATCAGATCTACCATGAAGCTGTCGTCGTCAATTATTTCTCGAATACGCCAAATGGTTTTTTTTCCGACAATTTCATTGCAGTTCGAGAAAAAAACACAATAAAAATCAAACGCAGCGATCGCAATTCAAGCAAAAACTCGCGCGCGTTCAGAAAGCACATTGCGAGCTGCGCGCGCACAGCTGACCCTTTGCGTTTGCCATCCTCAACGCGAGCGTGAATATAGTCGTATCGTGACGACGAACGGTAGGGTGGTTAGACAGTCTCGCGGTGGCGCCCGCGTCGTCGCCATCGCCAGAAGCTGGAGCCCGTTGATGAAAAGACGAAAAAGGAAAAAGAAAAAAAAAAAAAAAAAGGAAAACAAGACCGAAAGATGGGTCGAACGTGCGAGGTGGCCTAGTTGCCGTGGAGGGACAGCATCCTGGAGGGTGTCGCTCAGTAGGGACACCACTGCACCCTCTGTCTCCGATGTTGGTATTGTGTGCAAGAGCGTGGATGAGCAACAAATCACTTCGTCGATAGCGCGATTCTCTCAGCCGTGTGTGCGTTTGCGTGTGGGCGCGGAAGTGTGCATTTTTCGGAGCAGAAGGTTGTTGTTGTGATGTGTGACGTTGGGGGTTATACGACACTGCAAAGGAGTGGGGAGCGGGGATCTTGCAGTAAAATTCAATTCGTCGTCGTCGCTCGTGAGAGTTCGCGTATCAAGGACAATTACGTTAATCAGCATTAGAGTTCATTTATGAAGGTGCACGTACTTGACTCGACGGTGGTCGTTGGGGCACGCAGCGCCGAGGAAAGTATATAACCCTAAAACTCATCCGTCGACAACGTGTGCTGTGCTCACGCGCTCTTCCTCTTACAATATAGTTTTTCCAAGACAATATTGATGGATTCAATTCCGCTCAAGCTTTTACGGTTACGTGCTCTCCAATTGATTCTTATGTATCGTCGTAATTTCGAATGTTACCAGTCGATTTAATCCGATCGAAGAAAGATAGCTTTCGCCCTCGTCCGTAAAAAGCAAATCACGACAAATTTACTCACCAATTATTGCAATCAATCGTGTTCGTCACCAACCCATCACTCTTATCCCGACGCCACTGGAAACTGTAACAAGGCCGTCGCGTCGGTTAGTCGACTGTGTATACCGCAGGTTTAATCGGCATAATAACCGGCAGCGCGTCGAATTGATCGAGCGCGCTTTCTATTACCGTCGCGCGACTACCACTGAAAAAAGCTCGGATACACTTGCGACAAGTGTATTTTCGTACAACCGAGTAAAGCTGTTTTGATTGGGGCGAATGAACTACCGCGGGAACTCTGTTCTCCTTCGTTTGTTATATTTTGTGTCCTGGAGTCGTGGTAATGAGCGAGATCAACTCGATTCTGCGAGTGACGTTCATCGATGCTGCGCTTTATCAGACGAATTATGGGCGACATTATTAAATGAACACACGCACGCCCGATCGGAGATATCACACGAAGCCTTCAGGGACACAGAGCGCCGAACTCTAATTTTGCCGAAGCGACAGTCAAATTTGACATCCTCCGCCGTGGGAGGATTTCGTCGGAGATCGTCGATCAACTCGATCGCTGGTTGCAGGATGTACAACATGGCGTCGGCGAAGACGCCGGAGATGAACTACACGTGCGAGATATGCGGCCGAGAGGGTTTCAACGACGAGGAGATGCGCTCCCACATGGCGCTCTACCACCTGAAAGGCGCGGCCAATTGTCCGTTCTGCGACCTCGACGAGGTCTCACCCGCGGAGATGCTGTTGCACGTCAATAGCGCCCATCTCGATTACCTCACACCCAGGTGAGTCCTTCTACTCGCTATGGTCATACGGGGCATTTTTTCTTTTGGACTTACCAAAGCGCTCGTTTCTCTTTACTCTCGCTGCTTGAATGCTTATGCCATTTTTTTTTTCATTTTTAGTTGTTCCGCTAAGTGGGTGTTTTTTTGTTCGCTAGAGGCAATTAAAAATAAAAGTGACGAAATGTTGGTTATCGGATATGGAAGAGTATGCCTTCATAAGAGAGTATTACAGATATTTGCATCTCGATATTCATGCAAAGTGTAGATTAATTCGCGCGGGAAGTACATATAAACGGTTTATTAGAAAAATAATCCAAACCGAATTTTGATTGTTTGCTCTAAACTCATTTCGTTACGCTAATCAGCACCGAGTAATTAACGCGTCTTTCATATCGCGCAAACCCTCTGGCAAACTACAACTTTCCAGAATTACGATCGGACGTAGTGCAATATGAAACGCGTATAGTGCGAGGGTGAGAGTGAGAGAGAGAGAGAAAGTTATACAACTCAAAATGAGTTATAAAGTCGTGAAGCTGAGGTCGCGGGGTAATGGTCGCACCGTAAAAGAGCTTGAAAAGTTGCCAAGACGCGTAGCCTTGGGGGCTTCTGCGCTGCAAAGCGCAAACTGATAATTCTTGAATTCTTGCCGCGGCTATCTACAATAAACGATAAACACTCGTTTCTGGACATTCGAGAAATAAACTATTGCATCGTCAAATTTATAAATAGGCAGAGGAAAATCGCGAATGTTGGGTTGAGCAATTATGTGAAAAGGATTTATTTCAAGTGAGGTGGCAGGTGGCGCCAGCTTCTGAAAAATCGCCGCGCGCTAAAAAGCGCGCGAGATCGTCTGTCAGCTGTTGCTACACTTTACTCTGTTTCCCTTTGTGTCTCGTGCGCGTTCAAATCCCAACGGCGCTGTTCGCCCTTTATCATTCGCGATTTATATCATCAAGGAATACAAACAAAATGTTGAGGACAAATTTCGTGAAAGTAAATTCTCGTTGGAAAAAACGTCGTAAATCGTAAGTCATCTTGCCTGCAATACACGTTATCTTGATAGAAAAACAATGACAACAAAAGAGAAGTCACATAACTAGGGTGCCTGAGTGTTTCCAGCACGCCAGACGAGTCAGACATGATGGCTTTCATCGACGACGACAGCATCCAAGACCATCATCATCATTATCACCAACATCATCGAGGAAAATCAAGGTTGCAAGGCGAATCGTCCAAAGGATCGACTTACTTCCAACAAAACGGTTGGTCCACTCCACCTTGTTCCTCAACGATGAAGGATGAGGCTGCAGCATCTGCTAGTGGCTCGTTGGTTAATAATAACAATAACAACAACAATGCTAGTCATGTAAATAATGGTGAGTTGATTGTGTTTAGTGTAATTTATTTAATGTGGAGGTTAAATAACTATTGTAACAGGGGAAGCTAAACTTACTTGCAAATAATTTTTTATTTAACAAAAGAAGAGAAATAGTTGAGAAAATAATTTTGAGGTCATTTATTGAACATAAGAAACCATTAGTTCCAGAAAGCACAGCAGGTCATGGTTCTCCATTACGCTCCAGCCTGAATCTGCAACTGCGCACTCATGCAACTCCCAAGCTTCCAGTACAAGAATGTCCAATGTGCCCTTATAGTTCAGACAGTCCTTCAAAACTGGAAGAACATATCAACCGCCAACATTTTGATCTAACATCACCATCAATACCCCCAGGCTCTCCTCCAACCAGAGATAGTACTTTCAATTGCCCGTTCTGTGTCACCTCGTTTCCTAATTCATCTGATTTAGAACTACATGTGAACATAGAACACAAAGATATATTAAGGTAATATACTTTTTTAGTTTCAGTGGTAGCAATTGTAACATACAGCATTTAACATTTACAGTCCAGCTAAAGCAGCAGTATCTCCTTATTCTGACATAGCAACTAGCGGTGGAGAGACTCCCTCATGTCCAGTTTGCCTGAGTACTTTGTTTAAAAACAATGAAGAGCTCACTGCACACATAGAAGAGCATTTCAGCAAAAAGAGCACGCCCTCGCCAATAACTCCCGACGCATCAACCGACAGACTTCTTGCGCGCGATATGGAAAGGCGAGAGAAAGAAGTGAGAAAGCTGAGAGAACAAAGAGAATTTGCTATGCTTCAGGCGCAATATGGCATGGACAATCAGGGTAATTTTAGAGAACAAAGCGTCACCAATATGCAGCGGGCTGTGTATGCTGGCGAAATGTCTGTAGCGGATTACTACGAAAAGCAAATCGAGTTGAGAGCTGCAGAGAGTAGTGGTATTGACGACGGTAGTTCTTGTACGAGAGGTAATCTACAAAATCTTGGTCACTAGTGTAGTTGCATCCCTTTCTTTCTTTTTTTTGTTTGTTATTTTGTTGCACAATATTAATAATCGAATCTACCTTATTTTGGCTAAACAGTCAAAAAATTTTCAGGGCTGGTCCCTAAAGTACGAGCAGTTAGTCAAGGCAGCAGTAATGTATTGAATACCTGGATGTGTTCAACAGTAGACCATTATGCAGTGACTTATGGTGATAAAGGTTGGGGTTGTGGATATAGAAATATGCAAATGATGCTGTCGTCGCTTCTCCAACATACAGGATACAATGAGTTAATCTACAGAGCCTGGAGCTCTGGAGTAGGTAATAATAGTCAAAGTGAAAATCCTCAACGAAGTTCAATGCCTTCAATATCTAGACTTCAGAAGATGATTGAGTGGGCCTGGGCACAAGGTTTTGATATTCAAGGTGCTGAACAGCTCGGAGCCAAATTAGTTAATACTAGAAAATGGATTGGTGCTACTGAGGTTGTAACGCTTTTATCAAGTTTAAGAATTAGGTAATTAAAATACTGTATTACCTCTTGTTTTCCTTTAATTGTATTTTTAATTTAAATTCAAATTTTTACAGATGCCAGCTTGTGGATTTTCACAGACCTACGAGTTCTGATGGCAGTCATCCAGAGATGTTTAAGTGGGTATTACGATATTTTCAACGAGATGATGATTTTAAACCACCCCTTTATCTCCAGCATCAAGGTATATACATCATTTTCTTCATATATTTCGCTCTTTGAATTATAATTTTGAATACATTGAATGTCTTACAGGTCACAGTCGAACTATAATGGGAGTGGAACAACTGAGGGATGGCTCAATAATAATGTTAGTACTAGATCCAAGTCACAGTCCAGCTCAAATGGCACAATTCAATAATACCAGTACTGCATCAAGTGCAATGAGACTTGTCAGAATATCTACTGCTGCAATGAAAGCTAGACAATATCAGATAGTTGCAGTATTAGGTACTATTGATACAGAAATACAATATCAGGTTAAAAATCGAATTATTTTAAGTTTCTCTTTTTTAGATTAACTTTACTAATTTACCATATTGTACCTTTTTTATATAGCAAAGTAAGATGCTAGAATCCCTAAGGATCCCTCTAGATAGGTGAGATTTATTAACGGAAACGACAGATTTTACCTGGAGAGAGAACTATTTTCAACTTATTTCTATTCCTCCCATAGTACTCAAAGTTATATGAATATAAAATAATTTTAGTTAAAACAAAGAAGCCTTGCGCTACAATAGCGTTAATAAATGTTATTCTTACATTGCAAACCATCTTATTAATATAAAGATTTAAAAAAACATTGACATTGGAGGGTAACTCAATACGTGAAAGTTAATCTGCGACACCAATGTTATAATCGTAAGTTCTTAAAGTTAAGGCGACGAATTTATCGAATTTAATTCTTAAGCTCGTGATATATGTGAATTACAGAGGGACTCAAAAAGAAAAGGGAAAGCTCAAGACTAAAATAAAAGATGTAAAATATATTGTGTAACTTGAGCTTGAATATATAATTTTGTTCATCAATAGTCCCTCTAAAATTCTAAAGCTTTTGAGTATTTGTCACTTAAAACGACTGTGCTCTCAAGGCCATCATTTTAATCCAAATAATTATGCTGGAGTTTTCATCGAATGTACCAATCAACAAATCCATTTGTCAACTCTTTAACTAAATCTCTGCATTAGGATTGGAAATGTGAATAAAAATTATGCAATTGTGAATATGCAATCAGTTTTTACAAAATGAAAATGAATAAGATGTCACAAAAAGCATCTAGTCAACTAGTCAATTTTTCGTCAATTTAGTGATTCGATAGGAATAAGTATAGCTTATACATATGCATTTTACTTCTTTAAATGTTTTTATTGATTTTATAAGAGTAGTGCCTCATATTTCCACACCTAATGCAAATAGATATGCCTGCACTACTTCATTAAATCTTAAATACCACTGGAAGATATATAAATATATAAAGTACAACTACTTTCATACTATTAAAAACAAATAAACATATTTACTTACTGAATTGACTTAAGGCTAAAAAGCCTAGCACGTAAGTACTAATAAAACTGAAAAAAAAGTCCATTTATTTATTGTTTCATTGATTTTCTTATAAACTCTATGAGAAAATAAGATGAACTAATTATACAATATTCCTATGTTCATTACAATAGCAAAGTATTCTTGTAACAAAACTAAATAACAGTGAGTAGTAATAAAGGTAATATTATAACAAAAATCGTGTTAAGTTTAATGCTTTGGAATATATGATGCACAGCTGTAAACAAAGGAATTGTTGCTGCATATTTCAGGAGAAGCGTTTTGTTATCTAATGACAAATTTTTGAATTGTACTAAGCGCTACAAACATTATACATCTATTGAAATGAAATATAAGCTTTGTTAGAAATCCTATTGTAGCATTGAATTTTTTGATCAAAATAATTTTTTTCTTATTTTGTCTCATTAAATGGAAATTTAATAAAATAATATCTTATTTAAGTAATTATCAATTTTATTTTTGGCTAAAAAACACTTGATATAAACATCTTTTATTCATCTTGGAGCAAAAATGATAAATACATATTCAATAGCTTAATCATTTATTTATTTACATTTTCTAACGTAAAAAGGTGAACTTAATAGTAATTAAGGTACTGAGCTCATATTAATTCTTTTTTTCAAGTATTCACATTTAACTCATGACATACCATTTTGAGATCCATCATTTTTTCGTCTAAATATTAAATCCTAAGTATCTCATACATGCTTTGTGAGCTTCTATAAGATGCCCACACTCAGCTTCACCTTTATTGACTATACTGGAATTAGAAATATTTGACCTTGAAATTTAACTCACCATCATAATAAATAATAAATAAATAGAAATAACAAATAAAAATTTTAAGATAATCGAAAGTGTTTTACTTTAATATTAAATAAAACTCATAAAAATATCAGAAAAACTCATTCAAAACAATAATTTTAGTTCAGATTGTGCAATAATTGAGCGATATAGTCGTACTGTTTTTTTGGAATTTATAAAAATGAAAACTTGAAACAACATTTATCTCATAACTATCAGATCATGATTTGCTCTATTTTTTTCTGAAAAATGACAAACATAGTTGACAAACAAACAATAACTCAATATTTGCAATATTAACATTGGGTATAACCTCAAAATATAATCAAACATACCACTCGTCTCGAACTTTCTTTGTTTCGAGACAAGCACAGCAGGGCTTCAAGGGTTTTTTCTCCGTTTTCTCTGGAGCCGGCTTGGCCTCCACTTTATCCGCGCTGTTTCCCATTGTTTTTGTGTAAAAACAACTTACAAAGCAAAAGGAGACGTGTTTGGAGTTTGCTGCTGGCTTGCTTGTGCTGGATTAAGTAAGGAAACCAAAAACCGTCTCTGCAAAGTACAAGGCACTGTACTGCGCATACGCAAGCATGAAATAATAGTTAACTTTTGATAGATCAAGATTTTTATTTAATATCATAATTAGATAATTAGACTTACAAGCTGGCAAGCATAGCGATATCAAAAAATATTTGTTCGCTATTAAATATATTGATTGTATCATATCATAAAAAAGAGGGATATTATTTTATAAGCGAAAGTGTAAAAAATAAAATACACGTAAAATGGCTAAGAAGAAAATAATATAATAGCAAAAAGCTCGTAAAGTATCTACGAGCTGTTCAGTCAATTCCGAAATACTTCGTGAATTTTTCATAATATGTTTTATCATCGCAAGCAGTTTACTGTCTATGATAATAAAACCAATAAAATATAAAGAAACTCATAAAATTCAGTTAACATATTGTTCAGCAACACTATTCCAACTTTGTCGCGAACGTACATAAGTTCGCAGAGAGAAGACTTTGTGTTCTTTATTTTCTGCGCTTGCAAAATCCACCAATTGTTACTTGAATATTACCTTATTTTATTCAAGCATTGCTTTTTTAAAAACAATATAAATTTTAACAAATTGCTCTTTATTCTTAATGGTGTCCCATATTTTTGGTTATTACAACAAAAGATCACTGTACCAAGTAAAAACATTCTTAAAAAAATACGGTTTCAAGAGGAACATACAAGGGGTGTAATTAAAATAGAGAAACAAATGATTATCTAACATTTATGATAACGTTTTATTTGATTTGTTTGTTTGTTTTATTTTTCATAGCCACCGCTGGTTCTACAGATCGAGCACACCGCTTCAAGTTCATACATAAATATTCATATACTCAAAATTCCCGTATACGCTGCGCCACTTAAGTTTTCTGTTTTGCTTAATGAGTTTATTGAAACAAAACTACTGGAAAATGGTAAATTAGCTCGATTTTAATGCCATTTTTCGATATTCTAGGTCTATATCACGCACTGTTGCAATACACAATCGAGACAAAAGAAAAAACTACAACGTATGAGCGTCTAACGCAAAATAATTGCATTACCTTTTGACATTCTTCATTTTCTTCTTCTCTGAAAGTTTTGCCTGTATATATAATTGTCTAATAGAAGCTTGCGTAGAAAATGAACAAAGCTACTCGTCATTGTTCCTACGGTCTTTTCCCGCTAAATAGTTATCGCACTACGAATTTTCGTTTTTTTCTTTTAGCTCTCGTGTAACGTGATTTATTATACACGTGTGTATGCTTTTGTTCTTTCATCTTTTTCACGGCTGATTACGTCGTACTGTGGAGGGGGAGGGGGCAACTCGCCGTTCTTCGCTCGAGCGACGCGAGCGAAGTGAAAAAGCGCAGTGTCGAAAATATGTACCTGCTGCAAAGAAACCAGGAGTAATGTAAAAACTATAAAAATCTTGCTTCGGCGAATGAACTTGATTGATTTTAAGATTGCTACATGTATCACCAACGTCTTTTAAATTTTTCGCTCTTATTTCTCAGTGCATCGCATTTTCGTGCCGGTTCATTATTGTTTTTCTGTCTTCGAGGGGATCATAATAAAAAAGTTTTTCTTTATTCTAAAACTATCTATTAATTGGCACAGTATTTTTCTTCCCTTGTAATAAGATGATCAGTGAAATTGTCACTAACCTTTGTCTCGACTAAGCTACGTCTCATGGTCTACAAACTAAATGACAATATAGGCAATGACTTCACGGTAATACAGCTTGTGTGTCAATTCTGTATAGATGCGTGTGTATGAAGCTACGAAAACAATCGGGTAGTACTACAAGTATGAATCGTAGATTTGTTTACGTTACTTGCCTCGCGAACGTGTCTCTTGGACAGAAATCCTAAGATCTACGAAACACATAACGATTTGTATAATATTTTTTCATCATTTTTGTTTTCAAATAAAAACGTACAAAAGTCAGCTATAAAAAGTCTAAACTAATAATCAAATTTGTACATACAATTATTCTGCTTCGTGTGACCGATTATTTCTAAACGCAAAACAATAAATAATACTGAGGATCATTATAAAATATATACGCGATCGTATACACGAAATTCCCTTTAAAAAGACTTCTCTTCTTCTCTTCAAAATGTTCATCTACACGATCGCGTAGAAGACATTACGTATCTTCGTACCAAACGCATCACGTATATCCAGACAACATACGATATACAAAATATCCGCGTGAAACTTCGCACAACAATTTGCAACACAAACGAAATATCCAACGTTATTTATCACAACATCGTAGTCGAACATCGAAACACGTGTGTCGTAATGTATATATATATATATATTTTTTTTTTATTTCAACCATTACCTCTCGAACCTGCATAAAAGACAACGAAAAGTTCTTCCTGTTATTTTTTATTGATCTTGCGTGTCGATACGTATGCCGCTGTGGCGTGAACGATAATATATGGGTGTGTGTGTGTGTGTGTGTGTGTGTGTGTGTGTGTGTGTTGAATCCTTACGAAGAAATTTAACAAACTAGGTCGGATCGCCTGCGGATAGGACAATTATTAAGGTAACGATTAATTAGCGCCAGGATTCGCGGCGACCCAATCGTTAGCTAATTGATTTTTTAAAAATTAGCCCTCCGGGTAATATATATTAATGTATATCTGTGTGCCTTTTTACTCAGCTCGCTAATGTCTTTTTAATAATTAGTCTATTAATTGTAAATAACTCCTACGAACCCTTTACACCTTTTTTTTATTCGTCAACATTATACGAATTATACAAACGCGATGAGGTTTCTTCGGGGTTTGTATTTAAATGCATTTCAATTGAAGTACTGGCGACTGCGATAATGGTCGAATCGACGCGAGTGCTTCGAGTGGCTGCACATACGTGAGATTCTGTTTTAAGTCATCGCGTTTTAATTACCATGCAAACTCACACTCATTCCTTCGAGTTTTAAAATTATTGCCAACATCGTGTGTTCGGGTATATTTATATATGTATACGTAATTCTTTTTGTCTGTGTACCTGTGCGCGTCGTTTTCGTATTTCATATGTTCGCCAACGTCAGCGTTGCGCGACGTTGATACTTTTTTATTTGTTATTTTCACGCGTTTTGGCCACCCGCGACTATCGCGTCATTTTTTTTTCTCCATCGCTAGATAGAGTAGTTTAATCGTATCGTATTCAGATCGTTTTCCTGCGAGTCGACTCACGGAATAGCGACTGGCGCATATATATCTTCATTAACGAAATCGATATACATAACTATTTACATGACTTTCATTGTCATTCGTTGGATCGCACCTTTTCCAATTTTTGGGCGCGTTGTTTTTTTTTTATAAATTCATATAATTGACTATATTCTCATGACTATACAACGAATTCAGCGATGGAAAGAACGACACAAATTATTTACGATTAATTATTTCATTACGTAAATTGATGATATGTGCATATATCGAGCATTAAAATACGACTAATATTCCGCAAGAGGGGTCGCTATTCCGAGAATCGACGGTGTATATTACGAGAAAAAAGTGCGCAATACGAGCGGGTGGGTCGAAACCGAAAAATTGCTTTTGATTTGTCGCCGATTCACATGAGGAAGCGTCGCTTCTTCTCTTTTTAGGCTGAAAACAGTTTACGCTTATATAAGTCGATACATCTTTTTTTTTAAATAAGTGTAAGAAAACTGCGCTGGTTTTTATTTCTTTTAAAATTCAACGTTACATGTTAATTTTTTTTGTTGCTTAATTGTTTTTATTGTAACTTTTCAAATGCTTTTAGTTATTCTACAGTTAGTTTTTTGTTGGAGTTTTTGTTAGTTTCGGACTAATAATTTTCATTCATTAGCTCCGAAATGAATCTTATTATTTAGAGTTTAGTTTATAGTTGTTCTTTTAATAGTAAAAGAGAATTTTCATATTGTAAATTAGGCTTACATAGCGACTGCATGTGATACTCGCGAAAATAGAAAGCTGCTACACTGCGCCAAACAATTATTTGGAAAAACGTATTCTTTGTTGAATTGATTTTCGTTTGCAAATAACATATTGCAAATTCTACAGGCTTGTGTATAATTATTATATCGCGTCCAACAAATAGACTTACTCAAAGTGATTTTCCAAAACAATTTTTCAGGCGCAATGAATAGTGAAAACCATTACGTAAAAGTGTTTAATCAAACGAAAAAAATAATAATAAAGGAAGAACTCCCTTTGCTAAATAATTATTATTGGCAGCTTTCCCGCGAGAATCATCTAAAGTTCATCTACAATTATTTACATAGTATCTACACGTATAGTAGGGAGTCAGGGGACTGACAAACGATATTTATATATCCAGTTAGTTTTGATTATCCGCTGTCGATGTGTACGTGTTGTAAAGTGTAATAGAATTGACGGAAAGCGCGCTCACGCGAAAGCAAATGAAACAGATCTGTTTTTGTTTTATTTTTTTTTTCGTGTTTTTTTTCTTTTTTCTGATATGGGAAATTTCGAACTTTTCCGTTCACTCGACTGCTCACTTATCCCTGAGTAGAGCTTCCTCGGCTTCACGCTTGCGCGCTTTAGCTTCCTTTTTGGCGCGTTTTTTCTCCTCTTTCGCAAGCTTCTTCGCCTCCTTCTGTCTCGCTTTCTCCGCTTTCTCCTCCTCCTTCAGTCTGGCCTTTTCCGCTTTCTCCAGCTCTTTCGCTCGTTCCTTCTCCTTCTTTGTCTTCTGTACCTCTTGTGCGGCGGTCAATGGCTTCGGAGTTGTGCCTGTGCGTTTTGTCGTCGTGCCGTTCGACGTCGACGTCGTCGCCGAGGTGGATACCGATTTGCTGGGATTCGTCGATGCCGCCGACGACGGTTTCACCGAGAGCTTCGACGTGCTTGGTTGTGGGGCTCGAGGCGGCGATTTTTCCAGTTGTGTGACGATTTTCTGTGCGCATCTATAATTTTTCAAAACGAATTAGTCGAAGGACTTGTCTGACTAGGCGTTCTGCTGTACTACTCACGTTCAGGGGTGGAATTAAAAAAAACTCTAGCAGAATCTACAAAGCGTTTCTTTTGAAAAATAGAAAACAAAAAAAAATTGTATTTAATATTCCTTACCGTAACCTAGTCGAAGCCTTTCCAATTTTGTAATCCCTCTGAAACTCCTTGATCGGCGGCAGTCTTCGGTTATCCCTCGACACCTCCTCCTCCTCTGGCGCCGGCTGTATCGGATCTTGGTATTCCTGCGCAGCAAAAGAAAAATATAGCAATCCCGGTCAATTTAATATTGCCTTCGCCTAGTCCGCAGCCAATCTTTATGCATAACGCGCACATTCGTACTTTTTTATCCAGCGAGAAAATGAACTTTCTTGTCTCTTTTCCAGCGAGAATATTGTCTGTTTTTTTACTCCGGCGTTAACTGTATTAACGAAAGTAGGTGGAGAATATCGGAACAAAATCGTTACCTGGATGCGCAATTTCATCGATTGAGTCTGGGTTTTCCGAAAAGACGCGCCAGCTGGCTGCCGCACTTTTGATGGTTTGCCCAGACTCGAGCTGCTACTTGAACTGCTACCGCTGCTATTCGTCGACGAGGATGTTGCCGACGATACGGAAGACACGCCTAGAATATTTCAAATTTGTATTTAGTCGTGTATGTTCACATGCTTCTGTTTTTACAAATTGTTGTTTGGTTGTTTTCACTGATGTCTGCTCGGACACGGATTTTTCTACTTGAAATAAAAAAAATTAGAAGTCAATATTTTACCGTTACTATTATCTGATATAATAAAACTTTGACTATTTTGCTGTCTTAAAACGGACGAAATTAAACCACAATGGAGTTGGCTGAAAATTTGTGTCGCACTAGACTCGATTTTTTCTACTGACACCTATACTTATCAAATCGCAAATCACTTACATTTAAAAAAACAGAATACCAACCGGATATAGAGGAGGATCCACTAGTCATAGAATAAAGCGACGCCGAGGCTGGCACATTGCCAGAGGTCCACCTGCCACCAGGCCCAGCAATGCCAACAGGTACACCCGCGCCCATGTTGTATTCCGAAGCACTCTGTGGCAACATCCACGACTTGCCCGACATCGAGTACTGCGTCGACAGTCGTTTATTTAAATAAAAAAAGCATTCTCCTTCTTATACAAGCAAGGGATAGATAATACATTACGTACGTCTCGTGGGATTAAAGTCTGTTTCAGTCGTAAGATCTTTGCCCTGCATATGACACATCTGAGGGGCAGCAGTCGTTGCGACACGGCCATCTGAATGGTTTTTACAAAGCAGCGTCTAGTGGGAATTCGAGCGTCATTTAATGAAATGGAGTTTTGCTTTTTTTTCTTAAAAATGGAAGAGGAGCTCGTGCTATCCTTACCTGCAGACGACTCGATGGCCACAAGGCGCTGTCTGCATCGTAGCCCGCGCATTCACGCAGATTACGCACTAAAAGTACAGAATTGTTTACATTAGCGCATACAAAGGGTGTTTCGATTTTTACGATTACATTGTGTTGTTAATCGGGCGTTTGAGCATCAACGAATGACAATTAAATCATCTTCTATTATCTGTTAGAATTATCGATTTAAACGATTTAACTTGCGTTAGAATAAAACTAATAGTAATGCATTTCTAAAGCGGAACACGGCGAAACTATTCTGGATGCGAATACGTAAGTAAACTTATGAAACTGTTACAAGCTATTCTCAGTTTCCGCTCGAATTATGAAACTCGCTGTTCTCCAGTTTTCTCGAAAACATCGCAAACAGATCCAAATTTCATTTATTTGCGCCTTCCTGCAGCAGCGAAAGTCCAGAAACGCTTTGATCGTTCGTTTCACGGCTCGTTTTTGTTAACACTGCAAACTGAAAAATCAGCCGCACTGACTCCGCGTATTTCTGCTCCGTAGCGGGCCACGCGGCGAGTGCGCGAAGAGGAATGCCAAGGGGGAAATCCAATAGCGATTTGTGTACTCTCGTGGTCAGAGCGGAGCAAACAGAGCTTGGCTTGGCGCGCGCGTTCTTCGGGGAAATCTGACACACTGCAAACTCTTCCGCGCGGGGGTATCTTTATGGATTTATTGGCGCGAGAGTCTCGCTCGCCCATCCCGATGGTAAACAGCTCTATGAGGTGCGCCGCCTGAATATATTGCTGATTATATTTCGGCCATTCTTAAATGTTCGACGAACGTGGAATTATCCTGATACGCGATACTTGTGCGAGGTATAACGTTTATTAGGTGTCATCGATATTGCGATGAATGATAGTCATGCGTTTTGAGGTAGTAGGTAAATAAAATTGAGGCGAGCAATGTTCTGCAATAATAATATAATTTACAATAAACCCGAAGATTTAGACTACAGTAGAACGACGCATTAAATGCAGCAACATCCAATCGACTTAGACTTCTTAGACCAAGCCTCCACCTTATCACTTCTTCAACTGAAATACACGAATGCTCTATTAAAAAATAAATCAGCACTCCGAACATTACCGCCAACAACATATCAAAGATATAAGACCTAATAGCGATCCTCAGATAAGATATTGACGATCATCAGATTTACTGGATTCTTCGCTGGACTCTTCATTGGATTGCGGTTTATGATGTGGTGGTCGCTGGCCATGACCATGTGGTGGTCTCTGCCCGTGATAAGGCGATGGCGGCGGTGGTCGCTCAGCAACCTCTGGTGGACAATTCGGACGGTGCGCGGTGGCAGCTTGCTGTGAATGTTTCGTTATCTCCTCTCCCACGTTCCCTTCGGGCTTGGATCGGACGTGGTGTGCGTCCGCGTCCGCATTCTCAATCTCGCTTCGCGCTGACGCCTTTCGACGCATGTAAATTTAGAATTAACTCGGCTGGATCGTAGCGACTCGTTGCAAGAGTAAAAATATTTTGGCCGTGAGCGTTGGAGCGAAGCAAGCTCAAAGCGAAACTGCACTGCAATGATACTCTCGTATCGAGAGTGTTGCTAACTTTGCGAAAGCCAAGCGGGTGGCAAAAAGGCATCGGGGACGGGCTTGGGAAATCAAAGCCGGCTTGCACGGTAATCAAACGCTGCACGGCCCGTCGACCGTGAAACTCGCCGGTCAGAGAGGGCCGAGAGATACAAAGCCGCGTTACGCGCGCTTCGACTGTTAAGCGTACCTCGAAGACGAGCAGCAGCAGGACGAGCTGGAACGCCGGCAGGTACGCAAACTTCATGACGATGCTCGTGAATGAAGACGACGCCACGACGACGTCGAGCCGCTTTTATCCGAAACGAACGAGCGCGAGAAAAAGAGCGCGCGCGTCTCGTCTCCGTTGTTTTCGTAGCCGCAGCTGTGTCTTTTGTACTCGCGCACACACGGTCACGCGGCGCTATTGGCGTTGCTGTGTCGGCGCAATTCCATCATTCGCCGTTTCATCGCAAATCGAAAAGCTGCGACGAGCGAGGTCATATGCAGCCAGTCGATTAGGCAAAGTCCCGGCGGCAGAACAATCAATTTTCTCGTGCACCGAAATGTCAGGAAATGCTGTGCGCGACAGCCAGTAATGAAGTCCTTCGACTCTAACACCTCTCGCTCCCTCTCATACACACACCCTCTCTCTGGCAATCGCGTTATTAATGGACGAATGGACGCTCGTGCTCGTTTCCCTCCCATTACCCGACCTTTTTCATCCGCGTGCCAAAGTGTTTCTCGAGATATCCGCCTGTCTGTCGCTCGCGGCAGCCAGCGCAAATACCCTCGGCGTGTTTGTTTTCAGCGGTTATTGTTTGATTGTTTCAGGCTTCGAGTGGCGAGTCGTTGTTCTGCGGAATGGAAATCGCATTTCAATTGCGATACTAAACAAGTTCAATGACGTCAGCTGGCAATCCCCTTTGCTTTCCCGATCCGTTTGACAATTCCCGGCAAAATACGCGACATTGAATGTTCATTAAAATTAGCGAATTTCTCGTCGTAATTGACGCGATTATATAAAACTCATTCGAGGGTAAATTTCATTTCGAGCAGAGTTGTTTTCATAATTAACATCCCGTCGTTACCGAAAAGAAGTTCAAAATTACATTTCAAACGCAACGCTGGGTAAAAAAAACAAAGTCAAAGAAAGTACACTGAGAATTCTCATCTCCGAGAACAATACAATCGACGGAGCGTGTGGATACAGCGAAAACAAAGCAAAGGGTCGGCCAGTAGTTAATATATCGACGCGCAATCGGTCGTAGACGATGTCGCGAGCGTGCTAAATTGCTCTCTCTGCTGTCGCTTTGAGTCTCAATATGGTCAGCTGTCGACTATTGTCGAGATTGGATGGATTTCCTTACACACGGCAGCTAATGAAGCTTTTTCCAATCTTTATTAGCGCCAAAGAAACGCGCAACGAGGTAGATATTTCTTTTTACGTGGATTGTTGGTACAAGTCATATTCGTCAAGTAAATAATTCTACATGGGTCATTGCTCAAACTTTATTCATGTGCTGAAAGTGCATAATATAATAGTGGTTTAATAACATAAGGGCGTGATCATTTTGACGGAGATGGAAATTTAGGCATTTGTGGCATTTGCGGCATATCCGGCATTTTTGGCATTTGAGGTACTTCTCGGGCTGAAAAAGAAAATGAACAATCGTGAAATGTCAACTTTGAAAGATTTATTCCCCGAGAGAGAGAAAATTTACTTTGACGAACGAAGCTGGAACTGGTTTCGTTGCCACTGCCGCCCATTCCCCCCATTGATGGAGGTCCGCCGTGATTTCCTCCTGGTGATCCTCCCATTGGCGGTGGTCCCATTGGAGGCCCATGATGCTATTTTTTTTATCAATAATGACATTTTAAATATTAAAATTGCAAGACAATTTTGTATTCTCAATATCGTCCGAATATTGTTCAAGCGTATTTATAAATGATAATTGGAAAAGTATGTTAAATCAATAAATCTTGCACTAGGACAACATTCGCCTGACGCGCGTATAACTTTTCGCCGAGCCCCTAATTTCGCGGAGAATTTCAATTCATTATTATTTCGATTTTATACATTAGCTTTCTTTTCATTATCCATTAAATTCAAAACTTTCTTATAAAAAAATTATTCACTCTAAAGCCGAATTACACGACGGCTGCTATGAAGAAATTCTCGTTAGCCTTTTTGAAAGCAAACAAAAATACTTACCGCCAATGTAGTAGCAACGAATGCTGTGATAACAAATACAGCTAGAAGGAACTTCATGTTTCAACTGATAAATTCTCGACAATTCTGTCTCTTATTTATAGTGAAAAACAATCGAGATTCTTCCGCTCGTTGATGCTATAATCACCAAGAAAAATCGCGTAAACGCTTTATGCTTTAGCATATCATAATAATCGCAGTCAACTTGGAAAATATTTCTGAATCTATGTGAATGCTTCCGGCCTTATTGTTATGCTTGAAACGTTACGTAGTTGGAACAATGGCGTGAATCAAGTTAGAGATGGAGTAATTTTCTTTGACATTGCGGTTAATATGTAAATAATTGTCGCTAAACTGAGTATGGATAATCAGGCATGAAATGAGTATAGATTTTTCTCGTGCATGCAGCCATTTATTTATTTATTGACTGCTATGTGTAACAATTCTTAAAAGTTAATGCGGTACAAAATTCAACAGGTTATGCAGCGCCGGAAAAGTGTCAGCGGTTGGCAAGTGCATACTTGAAGTGTGCATGCCGTGACTAGACATCAGAATGGAGATTGAAATCATTTAGAATATTCATTCGTGGAAATCATTAATGGATTTTTTAGCATAACATTGTAACTGAATGACCAAGTATAATGTACTTTTTAGCAATGAATCTGCTGATAAAGATCCAGATCCACTTCCACTGGATGCTTTATTACCTGAAGGTGATAACGGTGTTCTTTACTGCCGAAAAATATCGAATGTTAATTAGCCATCATTTCGCAATTATAATAATTTCACAAGAATAATTACCATGATAACTGGATCTTAAATATGCTACAACATATCCAATATTCTATCGGAATAATGCAAATAAATAAACTTTTACGAGATTCTCATTTTCAATTTTAGTAAATAACAAACTGTACTTACGATTAAGGTGCCTACGATGAATATACAGCAGCAACGAGAAAAATCAAAAAGAACAACTTCATGTTCGCGGATGCTACGCCTCGACTCTGAACTTGACTTTATATTAGACAAAGCTACAAAAACTAAAATAATTTTTGCGCGAATATTTGTTCGCGAAAATTCGTAGAAACAAAATTATCGAAAGGATTTCCGACTATTCATAAATTTGACATTGTGTAATAACGCGTCCGTAAGACTAGTTGATCTCTGTGGTCGATAAGCTGTAATTGAGCGTCACACTGCGATAATTAGCGTGTCCGTCGGCGCCGTTGCCGCTTCGCGTTACAGATGTTGAAATTCGCAGCTGCTGAATTTATTTTTTAATATTTTTAGTGTTTAAGGGGAGCTTGTGCATCAAATTCACATTCCAATTTCGAAGATAATAATAATATAAAGATCTGCAGGCGCTAGGGACGCGTGATGCGTTAACATTTCTTAATAAAGATGGTTCGTGTATTAGTCGCAGAAAATTTTCTAATTAATCGGATACAAATGGAATTAATTTAAAATTTTATTCCATGATGGATTCAGCTCACAAAACAAAATAAGCTAATGCAATTCCAGATAAAATTAAAGCTCATTTAGCGATTCGAAAGTAGAGATAAAGTTCGTAATTTATTGATTTTATTAAATATTAAAAACTAGCTTTCATGTTATAAAATGCATCGTTATACTTTCATTCGTGATTAAATATCGACGATAATTTTCATATTGTATTCTTATCAATAAAATTTATTCGCCGACCGAACATTAAAAATTAAAACAAAATAATTGATATTCCGAAATTAACCTTCTCGTCGTTTAAACACTCCCATTCTCAGAAAAATTGCGACTACCAATGAGTTCAGTAATAAGCGCTGTTAGCGCACGAACAACACGTTAATCATCGGACGCTTGAACCGCAATGCAAGTAGACGCGATGCATTCATTGAATTATCGACTCGCGTTTTTTTATCTTTTACTTGCGCTCATAAAGACAGTGCCGTAAAGCACATGAATTATGTCTCGCGTGTGTAATATAAGCTACCGCATTTTGCAATTATTCATTGCGTGTTCGTGTTGACTTTTCATTTTGATGCTTGAGAAAATGTTTTCTAGTGGTCGGCAATTTACTGAAGCACGTAGCAGTGTTTTCTTACATTTTACTGTTTGCTTATAAGGTTTTATTAGTTAAACGATACGTCGATTACTTCTAATTTGCTTTTTGCAAGAGTCAACGTGTCATGGCACTTAGGAAGCGTGAAAACCCATGATAAATCTCCAATTTTATGTAAGTTAAAGTTCATTCAGCAAATCCAAGTAGTTGAAAAAGTGAATAAATCTGAAGTCCTTAATATCACACGACATGCATGCTATCGTATACACAAAAGCTCGCTGTATGATTCAATTTTGATTATAGCGACCTATAGAACGAGCCCAAGGGAGGCTTTATTTTGCTACCGTCGTCGGGTTGAAAATTAGGCTCTCGCCGTCGCCAAGGCAGAGTTAACCTCGTTAGGCTGGCAAAGCAAATTGAAAGGGATAGTTCTGGCGGGTACGCGAGAGACGCGCCTTTTCTCTTCCTGCCTACCTCATTGTCAGCGCGGAGTTTCGACTCTATCTATTGTCATTCGTTGATGCTCGTACGTCGAAAGGAATTGTATTTTCTTCGAGTACGTCAATCCAGGGAATCGCTCAAACGTACGCTCTCTCGTTCCATTTTTTATTCCGCACTCCACTCGTTTTTTTTCTGTTTTTTTTTTTTTCTTTCCTTTACACCAGATGCAGGCCAACGAGAAAAGCGGTACGACGCGCGTGGCGCCAGGTTTATTGGTCTCGTGTGTCGGGAAGATCTTCTATACAAATGTTAATAAATCACGGGAAAAAGTCTGGCGCAAGTTCTGGATTTTGTTTTACGACCGGGAACTTACGTGGTTCCGCGCGGGTATTCGAACACTTGTACAAGTTTTCATTGTTTTCTTTTTTAGCTTACCTCGTCTTCTTGGGATGAAGCCATTTCTGGCTCGTTCTCCTCGAGCTTGTTCAACAGTTTGTCCTGGAACAAATGATTTGGAGTCAGTGGGCGTACGTTTTGTTGTATTCAAATTTGTAGACAGGATGAATAGTACATTTCGATACGAGTGGGAGAAAGAGGCCACACGAGGCTGAAATCACTTTCTTGCGCGCGTATCCAACTTTACTTTTCAATATGTCGCGTCGAGACGAGATTTAAAGCAGGCTTGCTGTCCCGAGCCTTCGTAAATCAAGTCTTCGCGCACGGAGCCTTGTTACAGCCACATGTTGGAATCAATATGTGACTATGTTCAATTAATTATTTTGAATATTGCACTTAGTTGAAAAAAGCATGTTTATTAAACTAAGAAAAATTATCACATACACACATTTTGAACGCGCGTACATTCTGAAGAATTATTATTCTATCTAGCGACGAGTTCTTATACAGTCGAGCACACGTTAAAAAACAAATTATAGCTCTAGATTACCATAAACAGTTTTATTCAAAGATCAATTTTTCACCTTGGTACTTGAATTTTTCGTAAGATAAAATAGATAAAAAATATCCATCTCTATAACAACGAAAAATCAATACAGACGCAGATAAAATTCCACGGATATCCAAAGCCACTAAAAACTCTTTCACTTTCGTCTTCCGTTCATTGCGCCTATTTATTATTCGCTCATAAGCAATGAAGGCGACTCGCTTAGAACACTTAGAACGCTTTGATGTTTCATTCGCAAGATGAATAGGCTAGGGTGCAGAAAGTCTTGTGAAAAACTATTTAATTTTCAAAGATCAAAGATTGAAGGTCCTTTTATTTTATTAATACACCGTCAGATACCCAGTTGAAAAATAAACTTGAGAGAAGCATCGATTTTCCAGTGGAAAAACAAGATATTAATTTTGCACGATGGCGACATCCAATCTCCAAGAGATAATACCGTCTAGCCGGTAGTACGTATATCAAAAGGCTATATATATATATATACACGCGCGGGTACCAAGCGCGTGAGTAAACCAAGCCGGACGCTGTACAGCGAATCAATTCTCTCTTCCTGGCTACACTTTTCCGACGTACAAGCGATAAGATTTCCTTTTCTCTCTCTCTCTCTTTTCGGCACGTGGCAATTAAAGCGTTTTTCGTTGGGAAAATCGAAGTCGACAGTGTACGTGTGCGCGGCGCTGCTGGACCACGCCAGAGATATAGGTCAGGGTGGCTCGCGAGGATATTAGGGGGATGATGCGCAAAATATCCCCACTACCCGAAAACTCTCTCTCTCTCTCGCGCGCGCGAGCGCGAATTCTCGCTTTCTTTTTTTGTTTCCTCTCTTTACTTTCGTCCGGGTGACTTTGAGCTACGGCCTCTTTCGTGGAATTTATCGCGGTTACCGAGTGATTAGTTTGACTTTTTTTCTGTGTTGGAAGGAGGAAGAGCGGACTTATTCTCTTGGCCTGATGCTTCGGGTTTAGTGATTTCTTATTTCCTCTTTATCTGTGGACATGTTAATGGATTCTCGTGCGGATAAAATTCGTTTTCAGACGAGGTCCAACCATTCGTCTTCATCCTCCGTACATTTTGACAAATAGAGTTTATAGAGTAGCACTAAAAAGGAAGTTTTATCATCCGCATGTTGTAATGCTACTCGCGGTACTTGTCGAACCGACCAGTGCAATCATGAAGTGCCTCACGAACGACGACGCCGGTGCTTTTTTCTTTCTCTTCGCCCCGTAATGCAATACTCTGGCGGCGCGGAGCGCGCGAACAAGCGAGGGAGGGGAAACCTTCGAAGCCACAGCACGTGCAGAAAGCCGCTTACGCTGATTTGTTCGAAGCCGCGCGCGACAACTGCTGCTGAATTGATAAGCTGGAAGTAGGGTTGAATAGAGTTCCGAATAGAGTTTGGAGAGAGTGCAATTTTTGAAAAAGTCTGCTTGTTTAGAAATTTCATTTTTCGGTACGTGTCACCTTGGAAGGCATTCTCACGAAAGGTACACGAGATCGACGCTTACGTACATTTCCGAAAGTTCTTTTTGGTTAGGGCGAAGCGTACTCTTGAAGTATAATCATGCGGCATCTCATCGTCGCGCACCAAACTACTGTAATCCTCTCTGAAGAACGAAGAACAATCGCGCAAGTCCAAAAGTCTCGTAAAACAATAATCACGCGAGGCAAGGCATCAAAGAGCATCAATTTGCCGGGCGATAAATTACGATGCGTTAGAGACAAAGGGAGAAAGTTAGACCAATAAAGGGCACCAAGTGAGGGTATGTGTGTGTGTATGTGCGCGCTCGTATAGATAAAGCAATTACGGAGCGCTCGATCATAATAAAGCTCTTGCGCTCGGCTTAACATCTTCAAGGAATATTCTTATCATAGTAAATTAGTTTTTTCTGGTGATACTTTGCTAATATTTTTATGCTGATTATTTGAATTCAGTCATTATTCTATCGACGCATTTGAATAATATTTAAAAGTTCAACGACCTGTTACGTAATCTAATTATATCGTGACGTTCATTTTTTCGTGATTTTTTTCGAGCTTTCTTTCTTTCGAGTAGCAGCTTTAATTTACTTTTTATCACGAGCTTAGTCTTGATTGTACATTATTAATGATATTTCTATAATTACTAAATACTTGAAGCGTAAAATGTAATTTGTCTGGATAATCGGACTTAAAATGAAATAGTTACTGCATGTGGTAATAAGCTATTTATTGACCAATCCGAAATTGATTAGTTGTAATTTACACGTGAAAATTTATCACAGACCGAAAACCACATTTCGCAAATCGATATCCTAGTAATGATATTCTCCTTAGAATTACCATACAATATTATCTCAAACAAATAACTCTTTCAAGGAAATTTCGTATCAATCTCATAATTCGATTGCCAAACAAAGGCGGACGTCCTTTCAAGTCGAAGGGTAAAGAAATTAACTTCGAGATAGCAGGGAGTAAAAAAAAAGTGTCGAAAAGTTAAGTATTATCTTGGCAATGAAATTCGACATATTTTATCCTCAGAAATTTCCACCTTTCTTTTTCACCGTTACAGGACCGTCGGTGAATTCAAGAGTGAGACGGAGACGGTAATCTCTAATTTACGTGACATGTCTTTTCGCGGGGCAGTGCCATTATGCAGATCCTCCTGTGCGCCAAAATTATCGTACGAACCCACGCACTTGCTTTTGTTTCGTTTCTCGTCTCGCGAGATGCCACGTTTGCCGAGGTGAATAATCATTCGCTCGCAAAATTCACTGCGGGACATGAATATTTACGTCCGCCGGTGTTTGCCGCTTTTGTTAGCGTAAAAATTGCTCGCGCGCGCCCGCAACTGTTCAAGCAGCTGGTAATTAAGGGAACCACCGACGAGATGCAACATTGTCAGTCTCCTGTTTGCAAATTTCTCAAAGAATAACTGTCGCGTTGCTACAGCGGCGTGAGTATGCACAAAGTTATAAAAAAAACACCGTAGCCGCAACAGTTCTTTTCACGCGAATTCCCTCGTGCATCCCAGCTTTTTCTGGAAAAAAAACCACGAGATCGAGCAATCGTTTTAACGAGCTACCAAAATTATCCAACTGATCAGAGCGATCGCTTGGCTGGTTAAAGCGATTGCTTGATTGCTCGTGTGCTTGCCGATTACACGAAAGTATCAAACGAGTTATAACGAGAGGGACAAACTTAAGCTCGGCATTACCGCAGGTAATCCAGTTCCGCGTCGCGTAATCCAGTGAGTCCAACTCTCTCTCTCTCTCTCTCTCTCTCTCTCTCTCTCTCTCTCTCTCTCTCTCTCTCTCTCTCTCTCTCTCTTTATCTGGACCCCACCTGTGCGCGGCGAAACTCCCGAGTGCGTGCGTGCGAAGGGGCAGTCATTACCGCGCGCAGCAGCAGCTCCTCCTTTCTCTCGCGACGCTCTCTTGCTCGCCCCACTTTTTCATCGTGCTCTCTTTCTATGCCCGGCCTTGATCGGTCAGTCGCTCGCTCGCGACCGATTCGCCTTGCGATGATTGATAAGAGGACGATCGAATATTTAACCGCAGAAAGGATGTTGAACTATTCTTGAGCAGTTCTTCACTTAGCCATACAAATGGTTTGGTCAGTGGGAGCTGTGGAGATAAGAAATGGATGACGATTGATGTTTGATTAGACGTTGCGTAAAAAAGCTGAGATATTTGAAGCTCGCTGAAAGAAATAGCTGTAAATTACGAGTTTACGATTACTTTACTACTTTGATGAGTGACGGATACGCTTGTCAACGATAGTGAAATCTCTATAGTTCACTCTCCTTGTCCAACTCGTGCGCATTTTCTACTATGCAAGTATCGTAAATTTTTTAGTTGTCATCAAAAGCCAATGAAAGCAGTCCAATTAGCTTCCATTTGGCGGATAATAGAAAAATTAAATTCAACGAAATGATCGATGGCTAATGCAACTGGAACGTCGTAGAACTCGGTGACAACGACCATCAAGTAATCTATATTACTAAATTCAACGAAATGATCGATGGCTAATGCAACTGGAACGTCGTAGAACTCGGTGACAACGACCATCAAGTAAGATTATATGAAACATCGATCTCGCACTGGATGGAAACGAAACAAAACAAAACAAAAAAAAATGTGCGACTTTCCTACGGCAAAACAGGTCTTGCCGGCTTTAGCACTAGGTCAAGCGATTCGCGCGGATAGCGCGTGCTGCAAACCGGACTCATTCATTAAATCCGTGCGCGCGCCCGAGTCCGCGCGCACACGTGCGTTTCCGCGATCGCGTCGCGCGCGCGTGGCCGCGTTTTCGCCGCGCCGGATAGAAATTGATACGATATGTTCTGCGCTCGAGCGCGAGAGTCCGTACGAATACGCGCGAATTAATCGCTCGTCGCCGCCGCGATTTCTCCGCTTAAGCCGAATGCCGGTTTACGCCGAGCGTAAAACGGCACCGCCGACGCTCGCTTTCTATATATCTTTTATACATGCAACGGGTGCGCGCTCTTCTGCTTCTTCTTTGGTTGCGTGAGCAGACTCATCGGGGAATTTACGTTTGCGGCTAAATGGCTCGTCGATGAGATTCCGTGGGCTTCTTTTGGAACGGGTCGACATTTCCGCGAGTATTTTCAATTTTTACGTAATTCATAGATCAACGCATCGACAACAGCAAAGGCAAGCCTAAAATTCCGAGCTTCAGACTGCGTTTACTAGTAATCGAACAGGAAATTCAAGATGCAACGATTCAAACGCACGTTAATCGCAGCCGAACGACTGTTCCATTTCAGCAAAATAAAGAATTTCCAATTACCATCTAGCGGCTGAAGTTAGAAGCTAATACCGTGAGATGCCGAGGAGCCCGGGAATCCACCGGAGCATACTACCCGACCAATTAAAACACTGGCGCGCAGCACAACAATCATACGTATGTTTACGCATCTCGATCATCTGGTCGTTTTTAACGTGCTTTCCCTTTCCGCGGATCGTTCTCGCGCGACTCTTTCGCGCCGTTGCCGCGTTTCTCTCCCCCCTCCCTTCATTTTTTCTTTTTTATTTTTCTTTTAATTTTCATTCGCCACTGCCAAGTGTAAGTGCAGTGGGAGAGCCGCGCGAGATCGAGATTACACCGGACGCAGTCGCCGCTTGAAACCTCGGTCGGACGGAGCTAGGCATGCCTGCTCGCCGACATGATACCCGGCTTCATCACGCCGCTACTCTGTCGGCTCTTTTTAATGTACAAAGGTAATGTTTCGATATTTCGGACCCTCGTTGCCGTGCAGTGATCTGTCCTTTATTGTTGTGAAGTGCCATTTGTCTTGCAGTCTTGTGTGCGTGCGATCGATTCCGGTGTCTTGAAAAAATTTGACAATTTCGTCTGTGACGAAACTAAGCGTTGCACGCGACATCCTTGAAACAAACAAGTGGTTCCCAAGTATGGTCTAAACAAGTGTGTGAAATCGATAGCATAAGCAGCTGCAATAATTATCCTCGGCCTACAATTGACGATTCAGTCAGTTCGTTGAGAAACGATGCGCGATCATCGTAATGCAGTTGCTTTGATATTTTCATTCTTTTCATTGAGCTACAATGATTTTTTTTTTATAAAGACATTTCTCAACGCTAAATACGGCGCAGAAGCTGTAAAATAATTTGCCGTGGGTAAAAACGTTATTAGTAACGCAACAAAAATCAAATCAATAAAAATCGCACCCGAGCGCCAATCTCATTGCCGTAAAATTTACGGCTCCGTTTCTTTTTTTCCCAAGTCAATTATAATACAACGACCCGGCTTAAATCACGGTACAATGCTCCTAACGTTAAACAAACTCTCAGTCTCGAGCGCACCTGCTCACCTAATTTCTTAATCGGATCGCGGCAGATCAGCAGAAAAGAAAACAGAACGCAGCAGCTTTCAACGCTTTCGACCAAGTCGACTGCGTTAAAGTGCGTATAGCTCGCGTGTGTCCGATCTCTCGGAGGGACGAGGAAAGAGTAAGACCGAGCGCTGTATTCGAAAGGGGTATCGGTTGACAAGAGTGCCGTAAAAACGAAAGCGACGAGATGCATTTTCGCGTGTGGCCGAATTTTTCAATGCCTTTCGTTATTTCGCGCGGCACATTCCCGCTCGCGCGAGAGAGAATCTGCAATTTAGCGTGCGTTCGACTTTAGTGTTTTCTTTTTTTTTTTTATTGAGCAGTATGCTGCCGAACGATTTCGTGCGACGTCAAGGTTGAATTACTAGCAAGCGAGTGTAATTATTTATTTGAAAAAATTGTTTCGCTGACTTAAGTGTCAATTTTATGATAAAGTTTCATAACGAAAACATCGGTACGCGAGATAATACAATCGCGACAGTAATAATTTTTATCTATTTTCTTCTTATCGCAGACTGCTTATGAGCATACCCAAGTAATACAAGAGAAATTAGCATTTTCTTAACAAACTCGTCTAGACTCCACTTATGCTCGGTGGAGATTCAATTGCAACTGCATATGTATGTCGAATCGTAACGCTATCAAATCGAAAGCACTAGAAAGTAATTTATTCGTTCGACTCAAAGCGAAATCATCTCACTTTCGATAATGAAGGCGTGTTAAACTGGCAAAAATTAATCGATTTGCCGGTTCTTGGTCAAGCGCTGGAGTATCTGGAGCGTGAAGCTGCACTTCTCTTGCGTTTTCTCATGCGATTTTTTCCTTTTGAGGAACAGCGAACATGATCGGTCATTATTATCAAGCGATTGAAATTACTTTTCGCAAAATGTTTGTCAATTTTATTGCTGTGTTATTTTTCACATTAAATGGATAAAAATCTAAAATACGCACAGAAAAAGAGACAGACAGCGAGAGAGAGAGAGAGATTATCAAAACATGTTGATTCAACATAAAACTAAATTAATTTGATATAAACTGGAAAAGGCGTTTATACCTTGGTAATAATGTAAAGTGATTTCGACTATGCGAAATAAATATTAAAGCCATCTAGCTTCACCTAGCGGCAAACAACTTCGACATATCTTCAATAACGTCGAGTCAAACGAAATTCCGAATCGCATACATTATTTCCAGCTCGATCTAGCTGTCGCGCAAATCCGGCCAATTAAAAAATTAACAAGGAACGTTAATCATCGAGCACTCGACCGTTATTTTCTTTAACGATCTCGTCTACAAATAACCGAGCATAAAAAGAAACTCCATTGTACGCCATAAAAATAAAAACGCGCTCTTCGCCGTAGTTCAACAGATTGAGCGATCAATCGCTCGACCTTTTTTTCACTTCTCGTATACTCACCGCAGAAATATGTGTCGCTGCTTATACGAGCGAGGCACGCGAGTTGCCGTGTCGCAAGTTCAATGCTGACTCGTTTTTTTTCCTCTCGCGAAGCCGGAACATGTCAATCGTCGAATGACGAGGTAAAAATAAGGACTATCGGACGCGAATATCTGCCGCGGATAATTAGCCGGAGAAACGTTTCGCTTCTATTTTCGTCGGCGAAAATGTAAAAAAAAAAAAAAAAAAAATCAAGTGAAAAAAAGAAAAAGAAGCGAGGAGACAATCGACATTGTTGCATATCGACTTTTCCTCTCGAGTAGAGAGCGCGCGACTGGCGTTCCGCTCGAGGTGTATTGCAGGCCGCGCATAAAGCCACGTTTTCTCGTTTTGCTCAACAGGCGACGCACCGGTGAACTTCGCGCTGTTCCCCTCGGGCACGTGCCTGCTGTGCTGCCCCGTCAATCTCGACCGCGACATACTTTACCAGCTGTACACCAGGTAAAATGCCTCTTGCCATTATGCGCACCGGAAATTACGGGCGGCGCACTTACCGCGCGGGATTCACGTGTCGCAGGCGAAACCCGACGATACCGCAAACCATACAGCCCGGCAACCCGTGCAGCCTTAGGAGAAGCAACTTCAACGCCAGCCATCCGACTGTCGTCTACATTCACGGGTACAGCGAGCGCTCGCCCGGCCTCAGCGGGACTACCGTCAGAAATGGTGAGTGTCATCGGCGTCGAGCGTGAGAACCGCGCGGCTTCGGTTCCGGCGAGTCAACGCTGTTTGATTTTGCTTTTCTTTTCTCGACGAACGTGCAATGCATCCGACCGCCACGAATACGAATGCGATAATCAACGCATTAAACGATTTCGGTCGATTAAATGTCGTGCTAACTCGAAACCTCCTAGAGTCGGAAAGAGACAAAATAATTTGGGAATATTTGATTACCCTTGAAAAACTAAGCACTTCCCAAAGCATGAAAGTCGCATTTTCACTCGAATTTCTCCCTCGACACGCATATAGCCCTCCAAAAAAGAGAACGTTCTCGCCCAAATCGCTAAATTCATTGTCTTGTCACGCAGCCTATCTGTTCCGTAACAACTTTAACGTCATCCTCGTGGACTGGAGTAAAATGGCTACGATGCCGTGGTACGTCAAAGCCGTGTGGAACACGAGAATCGTCGGACCTCACATCGCTCAAACGATGAGGTGGTTGGAGTCTCTCGGTGCGTTCGATTTGCGACGGCTGCACGTTGTTGGATTTAGTCTTGGCGCCGAAGTGGCTGGGTTCATGGGCAAAGCGCTGTTTCCTCAAAGGGTAATTCTCAAAAAAGATTGCCTTCTTTCGAGTCCATCGAAAAGAAGACGCGCATTCGAGATGAAAATGCATGCAACATCGCAGGTAGGTCGGATAACAGGATTAGACGCCGCGTATCCCCTGTACATGGACACGGGAATGGAGGGTCACCTGACAGCGAACGACGCCAACTTCGTCGACGTCATTCACACGGACGGCGGCAGACTTGGCTTCCCCGTGCCACTCGGCCACGCGGACTTTTATCCCAACGGCGGCCGAGGCCGTCAGCCTGGTTGCGATCTTCCCAACATTCTCATGATGGGCGTCAACAGTCTCCTCAATAGAATTAGTAAGTGCGATGCTTTGCTCGTTCGTCATCCGGCATGGGTTATCGACGTCCCATGCCCTTCGTATCATCGCCCTCGTGTATTTAATTCTCGAAATTGGCAATTTCAGTAACATGCAGTCACCAGCGCGCCTGGCGTTTCTACGCGGAATCAGTGACAAACCCATTGGGCTTCCCGGCGAGCCGCTGCCCCAAGTGGCGACCAGAAATGCGAACGCCCTGCCAGTGGCGACCCGAGACACTCATGGGCTACGCGGCAAATCCGCGTAGACGAGGACTCTTTTACTTGAGAACCAACGCGAATGCGCCTTTCGCGACGAACATTACCGGTTATTGTTGATTCGATGCATGAGTGTACTTGCATGTGAAAAAATTTAGTTAATTTATTCGTCTATAATTTAGCACGAACTTTCGCATTTTTTTTACTTTTGTATTGATTAAATTTTTTTCTTAATGTTACGAGTGATTCTTGTCGCTAAGTGTGGAATAGGACAATAGAACAATTCATTTTACAGTTGTCGTTGTGAAAAACCAAGTCAACTTTGGAAAAAAAAAATAGTTCTTCAATTATTAAAAACACATTCGTCCGCGCAAAGAAAATGTACAGATGTCAAATTCAATTTGCGAATTTCTATGAAAAGTTTGTTAACTTGAATGAAAAAAGAGACAAACATCACTTTACTAATATATCAATAAAACAGCCGTTACCATAATCATTTGAATGTGCTCGTATTAAAAAAATTACTCGACCGTTTCACGCCTAAAAGAAGATGAATCTCTTTGTTCGCGTCTTTTTCGCGAGAGAAAGTAGAGCGAAGTCAGTAGACACTTTCTACGTCAAACGGACGATGAAAATGTCGATTTGCAAAAAAAAAAAAAGAAGATCGACAGTGAATCTCCCAGCGGAGCTAAAAGAGTTTTGCTGATTCTTGTTGTCTGTAGAGAAACGTAGTTTGCGGAATGTAAAGATAGTGCAAGTTTGTAACTTTTATATCACGTGACTGAACGTTCGTTGTAACTATAGCGCTGGTGTTTCTTATTATAGAGAAGCAAACTTCTGCAATGATGCAACCGTGCGCTATCATCGATTTTCCACGCCGTTTCGCGTCATATTGTTGTACAAAAGAGAACGACTATAAACATCTTTTACCCCTAAAATTCTTTCATTCCTTTGCCTTTCACCAGGAACAAAATGCGGCCCTACTCTTTCGACCGACGAAATCTTACGTCACCAGCTTCGTGTCGCCCACGTGCGACTAAAAAGCTAGCGCGCGCGAACCGCGAGTCAAATCGCGAATATGTTTCTGTTTTTTTCTTATTCTTCTGCGGTGTATGCGATGAAAGATGCATTTTGAGATAGCGCGAGTAATTACTTCTGGTAGAGCTGCCTGAATCAGCTTTTGTTTGGTCGAAAAAAGTGGAATGCGAAATTCAATTGGCAAAGACTTTTTTTTCTCAACCTAGCCGTTAATGAATAAAATAAAATATCCCCGAGCTTTTTATTGCTGCATTAGCGCGATTACGAATTGTTGGGGATTTCAATTCAAACTCGCTAGAACGCTCTCCGATTACTTCATTAATTTTTCATTATTACATTAAGACATTAAAAAACTGGCACAAGTTATTTTCTTTTAATGAAATGAAATCCAATTCGCGAAAAGCCTCCGGCACGTGCATACGTATTTCTTTACGACATGTGTGTGGAAACGAGAACTTTACGTGTCGTCAAAAAAAAAAAATGCACGACTAAAATGTTGATTCTCGTGAATCCGAAAAATTGATTTTTTTTTATGTACATTCACGAACGTATACAAGAAAATCTAGTATATTTGGTGAGGACGGTGAGAACCGGAGTGCTCTTTTCCATTAGACTATATGCTGCGACGTTATTCTATAAATATTTTTTTATTGTATCCTACGTGTCTTATATTTCGCAAAAAAGTATGACTTGAATTAAAATAAAATATTTCAATCGAAGTAGTAGGCAAAGGCAAGTATCGATCGTTTACGAATAAATTTCTCATGAGAAATTCTTTTTAGACGCGCGTTATTCTTGGATGCCGTACGAGCTTCGTTATTTCATAGAGCTTTTGTTGAAATATTAGACCATATTGCTTTATGGCAATAATTCTGAGGTATTAAATTAGTGGCTATATATTTTTTGAATATTATTTTGTGCATAGAGTAAAAGCTGATTTAATTCATTTTGCTAGTGAGAAACGACAAAAGAATAGATAATATAAGACATTCGCAGGCTTTATTCATTAAATTAAAAACGATATATTATTGTGGATAAATAGAGTGCCCGTGGATTAACCCATAAATACCGGTATATCGGTTACTGAGTTTATAGTCTATTAAAAGCTTCTCCATTACTCAGCTAATCAATGCTGGCTATTCATAGTTTTTAAACCTACTTGAATGAAACCTTTATTTTTTTGACAATTTAAAACGAATCTGCGATAAATCGATCCCTGAAAATTGAAAATTGCAAAATGAATTGAAGAACTTAAAATAAAAAGTAATCAAATCTATAAAACAGAGTCGTAAATCCATCTAAGAGAGGACACAGCAACTAATTTAGAAATTTTATTCGATTTTATACGCTAAAATTTCTCTTTTATCAACGCAGAAGTTGATGTATAACATGGACATACATTCAACATCATTTTGATATTCTACTGAGGTAAATGTAAGATATTTGGTCATCAAGAGTTCTTACTGAGTTACAGCTCTGACAGTTACTCAGTGCCCTACCGAACAACTGCATTATTCCAAAGAGTTCCTCTATTTTCAAAAATTAAAAATATATCTCTTGCATCGACTATGAATCTTAGCGAAGCGAGAAATGGAATTATCGAAAGAGATAGAAAAGAGCGATTGTCGTGTATGCACGTGAAAACCGCCACGAGCAGATAGACTAAAATGCCTCGATGCAACTTTTTTCCTCCATTGTTCGTGCTCTCCGTATATCCATCGCGTGCTTTGTGTTTTTTTTTTACTTTCTCCGGAGAACTGCATTGTCCGGATGTTTATTCGCGATTAAACGCAATCGGGGCGGTGGAGTATTGTTCTCCGTTACTCTACGGTAGGGCGGACGGCTTTTAGGATTCCGCGTCAAGTACCGCGACAGTGCTTTTCTACCGACGGATAGTTGCTGAACCACATTTTTTTCCGGAAGCGGCGCGTGAGATGCGGGCAATTTCAATCGTAACGCGAATACAGAATCACCATGCCAACGTGACTTTCGTTTTAGTTTTCGAATTTCGATCGCAGCCCCGTGGGAAAAAAACTAATTCCAATCTAAATACCCACGGATGCGAAAAGAAACCAGCCCCATCGCCACGCAAAACTTTTCCCGTTGCTCGTCCCTCCTCCCTCCCTCTCTCTCTCTCTCTCTCTCTCTTTCTCGGATCCGATTAATATTCTCGGCGCGCGAATGCTAATGCGATTTTTTCCCATTCCTATCTCGTCGACGATCTCTCTCCAACTTTTCTTCCGCACTGTCGAAGAAAATACACCGAGCCATCGCGGCGATATCCGAGATTGATGGTTATCTCATGTCCTTTCGAAACCCAAACGTTGTGTATGAAGCACGCACGTCGATCGTTACGAGAAGTCGAGAATAAGCGTTGTTATTGCGCGGCTATAAAAATATCGATCGCGATGTGCAAGCAAGCCATACACGCATTCCCGGGCTCGATCCATCGCTTAGCTTCGATTTCTCATCGCGACCAATTCGCTCAATGATACGCGCGACACTCGGGCTCGCGTCGTTTTTCTTCCGGGCGAACACCTATCGCCTAATCGCCTCGAACAATCCGCAAGTCAGCGCGAGGGTGCGATAGGTATCGAGTGCGAGTCTAGTCTGACGTTAATACAGCCATTTGCATTTGGCTTGCCAGGCCGATAAGGCATAGCCGCTACGCACGCGATATCGTCTTTGACAAACGAGCAGCGATGCGCCACTTACTAAATTATCGTCGAGAATTTGTATATCGTCGCGATCGCAAATTAAAAGCACCGTCGAGTGTTTCGAGTGTTTTTTTCTTCCTTTCTTTCTTTTTATTTTTGTGCCTCTAATTTCGATCTGTCCGAGAAAGCATAAGTCGATGCGTTTACGTAAGAGCCGTTGCGACGTAGAAGAACAAGAAGAAGGGAGAAAAAGAAGGCATAGAAAATATAGAACAGAGTGCGATGGTCAGTCAACTCGTGGAACTCGTCAAACATTCATGCGCTCGTGTGTGTCGATGATCGATCAAGACCGGCAGAGCATATAACTTATATGCGCCGCTTCACTTTTTTTTCCGTTCGTGATTACTAAACTAAAGTTGACCCTTCGCTCGACGCTCGCGAAATCTATTTATACGCGAAAGTCTGTTTGATTCGTTCCTCCTCTCTATTCGTCTGACCTTTTTCCTCTTTTTCTTATCAAGATGAAAAATGGAAATTAATCAAAGATTTTTTTCAAGTTTTTACCTTTAGTCAAAAAAAATGTCAGCTTAGACACAAAAAAAATAGTCATAGAAAAACAGAGAATTTTCATATACAGGAAAGAATAGTTTTTCAAAAGACAGCATCACCATCTAGTGTCCATCTGTGAAAAACCAGCAAGAACTAGTTAGAAAATATCGCAAGTACATCTAAATCTAATAACAATGACAATTGAAAATATTGCCGTCCGACATTCGAATAAGATATAATGAATAATAAAACCCACCCACTAATCCAGGCGCAACGTAAGTCAGACCTGCCAACAGCGACTACTGCAAAGAAAGAACGGAGCGAGTTAATCAAAGACGACAAGCGAACGGAACAGCAGCGAGCGCAAAAACAGATTATCACCGGAGGCATCCATAACCGTTATAAATGAGGAGCTGCATCGCGCTCGATAAACGGACTGCGAGAGTGCCGCGTCCCAGCCTGCGCATTTCCGTCGAGCGGTCCGTTTGTTATACCTCCGGTCGCCAGAACTGCTTGCCCGCCTGCGTCTCCGAGCGATGCCGAACGAGGCCGGCGATCGGCGGTCAGGGGAGAGCACGCGACTCGCGCGACGCGGAGCGTTTCTTTCTCGACGGGCGTTCGCGACTTCGGCCATAATTGCACGTTACGCCTAATTGCCGAGCGACGCCCGCGGCGTAATTGCGACGAGCGATAAATCGCGCCGGCGGCGGCGCAAGGACAATGGGCTGCGCCGGCGAGAAACTTTTAGCGCTCGCATATTATCACAAAACGACGCGCTGCATTATTAAAGCCAGCCGTGGACTGGCGGACGGGAGAAGACGATCGATCGGCCAGGAGCGGAGTGCACACCTCTACGTGTGTGACGACCACGACGACGACGACGCTGAATGGCGATCGATCGCCGCGCGGCAGACGTTCTCTCTCTCTCTCTCTCCCTCGCCATGTGCGCTCCTTGCGTTGTTTTCTTTTTTGCGCGCCTGGAGGAGCGCGAGAGATTTTGCGACGAACGGCGAGCATCGCGAAAGGCATCACGGAATCTCGAGTGCCGTTTTCATTTGTTCCTTTTGCTGCTTATTTCTCACTAGATTGAAGAATCAACAACGCGACAATTCGAAGAATGGCGCGAAAATAAACGTCGTGGTTCGCACGCACGACTATCGAGCGTCAGTGCGCACGTACGTTTATTACCTACCGTGGAGTGTCTGACGTCAGTGTTTACCACTTTGACACGCGCTCAGCGTGTGTAATTATCGGGTTTATCTAGATGAAAAAACAGGAAACGAAGGTACCGCATTAATAGATCGTTCTTCTTTTCTGTTTGTCAACTTGAGGCGGTCTTGTATACGGCCGACCGAACGCCGACCCTTTTCACTGTATGTGTGTTAGGATCGTCAGTTAAGAGTGTAATTGGTGGAAATGGATGAGTGCTCTTACCGCCTCTCTGTCGGAGAGGCGTTCTAGTGAATTTAATTACGCGTCTATATTTCAACGCGATATTTCCAGCCTTGAAATATATACGCGGCAACAGCGATACAAAATACTATACTACGGCATCGTATCGCGTTTCAAGTCGCATCAATGTCGATCAATCGCACAAACGTGCACGCGTCTTCGTACGCCATACCGAATTGACGCTTCTCCTTCGCCGGAGAAATTTTTCGCGTCGGCGTAAATTTGCCCGCTGCGGTCGTGTACGCGCTGCCCAGGCATTTTTCATGCATTCCGAGGCGGCGCGCGCGGAAAAATGGCTTGCCGAGCCGATAAAGAATGCGGCTCCGGGGGCGTTTTGTCGCGCAAATCGCTCGCTACACTTTTATCGCGTCATGAATTATGCGAGCTCTCCATTTCCGAAGCCTGGAATATTTATCAGCTTGCGCGGCGAGCGACGTTTCTCACGGCTCCGAATAGATCGAACGGAAAGCCAGTTGGCGAGCTCTCAAGGTTCTCGCCGCGACATCTTCGCGTCGGCGAGCGAGAAGAAGCAGATTGCGATCCCTGGCTCAATTGGCTCTACCGCGGACCGAAGCGTCCGGGTGCTCGTGTTTCACCTCCCCGCAGCTGCGTAGTAGTTTACACCGATCGGTGGCAGCCTCAACGGACCTCGTATTCATCTCGTCCTCGTTCGCAAACAAACAGAATCTCGAGGGCCACGCCGCGCTGCTTTTAAGACTAACAACCGCGAGACTCTATGCGCCGTGCAAGCATAGCTTCTGGGATTGTTTTTTTGGATTTGATCGTCGAGTACAATTTCTGTTATTTTTTATTTTAATTTTGGAATATTTTTTATTTATTCCATCAAAAATAGATATTACTGACGTTCTTTTTTACAGAAAAAACAAAATTTTTTATCGTCAGATTTTTCATTTGTTAACATTGAAAAAGAAGTTAGCAGTTACAATGTATTTTGCTTATATTGAGTAAACAAAATGGGTTAAGCACTTACTTGTAAAGAGAGATTTCCAAAACGGACCCGAAATGTCAATAAAAGAATTTCGAATTGATTTCAGTAAATTTCCATTTATACAATACTTAATCCATTTTACTTGAAGTAATTAGTTCAAATCATGTTATTCAACAGTATAACAGTATCACAATGCGACTATAGATAATTTCATGTAAGAACAATGCCGTCATGCTATAATGAATGCTGACTACAATCTACCTAGAGATTTTAATAGTAACTAAAAGCAAATCGACAAATAAACATTAGAAGTTCATCAAAGTATTTTAATATCATAAAAACATTTGAATACAATTTTCCTTCGAAAGAGTTACTATTGAAAATATTTAATGAATCATGAGACACATGAATCAATAAAAAATAGGAGTTCCCGCGAAACCTTCCAAGAAATATATAGAAGAAAAAAAAGATTGTAATACTCAAGCAATCATACATACTACGGGTTCATTTCAGATTCAGCAAAACAAACCGAGTGGAATAAAAAGAATACGAAGAATGTACCACCACCGCACGAATAAAAATGAAAGAAGAGGAAGCACGAGGATGGATGGATATCGAAAGGCATGGGCGTGACACGACCGAGCCATTCGACGAGGAGGGTGAACCCCTGAGGCAGCTTATTAAATTTGCCAAGCGGATTTCGCCGAAAGCCAGGGCGGGGCACAAGGAAAAAATAGGCTAATTGGATTTTTCGTCCTGTCTCTGCCGCGCGGCGCGTCAACTATCGGCGCTGAAATGCCAATCGGAGCCGTTGATTTGCTTTCTGCGCATCTTGCTTGTGCGTATTTTTGGTGTCTAATGAAAGTCGAGCACGGCGCTAATGAAATTGAAAGATAATCACAACTTTATTTCGACACGATTAGGCTTCCGTCAATACGCAAATTACCATGTCTCGTCAAATGATAATCTAATCCGATAAAGTATTAACAGTCGTACGTCCATATCCGGTAAATCTAAAAATAATAACATGCTAATCAAAAAATCTTTGTCAATTGGATAGCCGTGGGCATGGGTAATTAATGGGCAGCTTTTAAACAGCAAAGGATAAGGGATGAAGTTCGTGTTTTTTTATTTATTTTTTTTTTGCAAGAGAAATGCTTTACTCACGCTAGACAACTGTTACGAAGTGGTATGTCTATCACACGAAAAAGCCACTAGAATCTTCGATAACATGCTCAATAATTCAAGCCAGAGGAAAAAACAGGTGTCGCGCACTCTCGTTGTCTAGTCGATCAATCGGACAGCTTGAATGGTAAAAGCAATTTCTTTTGGTTACGTCTCGACCTGCGATTGCTATCGAAATATGGTTATAGCTTTTTGGGGATCGCGCTCGTAGAATATCAAGTTTAGTAGAGTAATATTTATTTTCTTCTTTTGTACCGTGTAAATCAGATAATTTTTCTTTTCCACGTGTTCGTAATGGTGCTGCACGTAGTATGATATGTAAACATGTAGGAAAGTAAATCAGACTCTCAAATATATGTTGCATATTCACTTTGTCAAAATTGATATAGTGGTAAAATACCGGAGGCACAGTTTGTCAAGTAAAGAGCAACTTTCACCGATATTCATCTAGTGACGAAAAACTGAAGTGAGCTCCAAATATGAACGTTATACTCATACTTGCGTAATGCATTTTCGCCCAACGATAACAATAGTATAATATATAATAAAAAAATTACTTTTTTAGTATCGCAATTCAGCAACGATACAAAAACTTCATAATTTTCTAAAGCAAATCTTATCTAAAGCTCGCAGCCATTAAGTAATCATCACGATCGAGGTATATCAGTCTTCGATCGCGGCTATCCGCGCAAAGAATCAGAAGAGAGCCGCTTGAAAAACACGATTATTTTTGTTTCGCGGCACCCGAAACCGCGAGAGGGTCCTTCACTTTTAACGAGACTTCGATGTTTATCTTTGCTCGGCGGGATACTCGACGACGAGAAGCAAAGACGCGGTCTGCGAGCTTAATTTCGTTATCGCGCGGCAATTTCGGTTTTCGCGCACCGGGGCCAATTTGTCGCGACACCGCGCAAAAAGATAACACACTATGTTTATTAACGCGTTCGTCGAGACAGATGGATCGACTTCACCATCTAAAGCCCCCAAGGTCACCCTGTACCTATATACGTTCAAGGTCTGACAGTGAGTTTGCCATTTCTTTTTGGCTTCGGTTTGGAGCGAATCGATACACACGAAAGAGTGTCGCTATCCAAAACACATTGTTATTCGTAATGGTAAATTATCGCGCTTAAAAGCAGCTGGCGCATCCCGATATAATCGACTCACGCCGCCCGTTCTTTCGTTTGAACTCCGCTCGATCTACATTTTGACGTTCCTTTGTTAGCGCGAGTTTACATAAGCGCTCAAATAACGCGTTTGACTGGATGTCAGCCGCGCGTGCAGTTTCGAATTTGACGCTTGGATAATGGATACGTCGCTTTCAGTCTCATCTCGTTAGACAGAATCGAAGGGAGCAACCAATAACGCTTCTCGCGTTTCGCTTCCGGAAAGGGTGAACCATCATCCGGCTGCATTAATCGCTCGTTCGAAACTCAATTCTCCACTCCGTTGGGCTTGACGTACCGAGACGTTGATGCGCGTTTACCGGCAGCTTTGACATTAAAGCTCAAAGCAAGGCGAATCTCGCCTCGCAAAAAATCAATCCGCGCACGCGTGAGATGCGGTAGTTTGCATAATAGGCGCGCTGCGCTGCGTTTGGAAGGTGACATTGGCCAGCCTCCAGGGCACCTCGCCAAACATCCTCGAGCTCCGACGTGTGGCTCCGCGTGCATCTCTTACGTAAGATAGTTTCGTAATAATTGAGTCGGGGGACGCTACATCGCTTGCGAGGGAAATTCGGCAGGGAAGGAAAAAGCTTCTACCTCGTTTGTTTTCTCCCTCGCTTTATCGTCCGACCCGCACGCGAGCACTAACTGAGAGAAGCATTTCTCACCTGTCCTTCTTTTTTCCTCAAGGTCGTCAGAGATTCTTTCTCGTCTCTAGTTCTCTTTTGTTGGATGGGATATATCTGTAATGTCTTAGATTTGTCTGTCTTTTGATACTGGATTTGAGGATAATAGCAACGAAATGTTGAAATTAAGACGAGAAGTTTCACCGTTTTCCTCAGTAAATTTATCACACTCGTCAGTTTCAAGAAGACGAATGAAGAATTTCGATATTTTAAATTGATCATTTCAACGACTTTCAATTGTTACTTCAAATTACATTTTTCAAGTATTTTATTGACATTATAATATTTATTATTGTTATAATTATTAACAAAATGTGCTATTTTAATAACTGTGAAAATCATAAAAAATCATTAATGGTCACGCTAGTCAATTGATCATGAAAATAATATTGCATGATAATAGAACACATTATATGAGGCTGAAAGTAGCAAACCTTAAAGGGTATATTTCCGAAGGCAATCCACCTAGTAGCAATCACTAGCAACTAATGACAGACAATTCACTCGCAACTTGTTATTACATGAAATAGTACATTATGATACAAGTGCCGGAAAGTAGATTCTCGTCTCGTGTGACTTTTACGTCCGAGCGAAGCGAGAATCTCTTTTTCGAACATGTGTCATATAGTATTTTTCGATACGACGTATGAAAAGTTTGTTTTCGAACGCACGTTTTTGGCCGAATATGCGAAAAATACGTGCTTTCCGTACAGAGCGTTCAAAAAATAATATTTTCACCCTTGAAAAGTTTTAGCACAAGAATGAATTTTATAAAAGAAGTACACAGAAGAAAAACCAATACATCACATTTATTACAATCACTAACGTCCTTCTCGAAAGATTGAGAACTGTTTGAATATTTCGTTTCAATAAGCCCAAAATATTGAGATTTTTCTTTTCGCAACTGGCTATTTCTTACGCGAAAAAAATCATTCTACGTCATCAATAAGTTTCCGCACGCATACGGCTGATTATATAGCTTTATAAGCAAAACTTGACATACAGTTCAAGGAAATAATGTTACTCACGATTTTGTGATGAAGATGCTGCAGCTCTCTTTCGGTAACGCGTCTCCTCGACGCTTCACGTTGCTCGCGTCTATATTGGCTGTACTTGTAGAATAGGTACATGCCTGGTAGCGCGAGTACGACGAAAGGCTTCATGAGGCCGTTTCTCGATGAGCCGCGACGATTAGGTTCAGGTGGTTCGTCAAGGCCGTCATCCTCGTCTCTTATTATCGGTGCGTCGGCTATCGCTGGCTCAGGCGGCGCAGCTGCCGCTGATGCCGCTGCTGCCGCTGCGGCTGGCATTTTTGTCTTTTCTCAACTGAACCTATCGAATCGAAAAATATATTTTTAATTATGCGACGATGCATTCTTTTTTAACAACGTTGATGTGTGAGAGTTCTAGTTTTCGAAGCGTGGCCAAGTTTGTTCGGGTTAAAAGACACTTTAATTGTGCCAGTTCATTAGGCTGGCGAAAATCCAACTTCTTTTTCGTTCAAGTTTTCGCGAAGAAACGCATAATTTTTCAACAATGGCTATTATCAGCAATGTCGAGGTTTTTCGCGCATGCAAGAAGAGCGATAACTAGAAAAAGACAAATAGTCAGTCGACACTCGGTATTTTATTAGTCGCGGGAGCAAACTTTCGACTGGCAACACGACTATTATCCATCGAATTAGGTATCCCAATAAAATCCGCTTGGAAAAGAGAAAAGAGAGACGGGGTGTCGCGACTGCAGTCTCAAGTCGAAAGCCAAAACACCGCACTCCGATCGATGTAACTCTGGCATCGAGAGCTGCAAAAAGAGTCGAGAAGCTAAATAAATCAAGCGCGAGTAGGTATACCACGAACAAGCGCGCGTACGTACACACACGTCCACGATATCTTATCTCGAGGCGGGGAGCGGGAAGCCGAATGGAGATGCGACTACAGTTTTGCGTCCGACCGCTCGCCGACTCGTTCCACTGCCGCGCGTATCGACGATCGATCACGCGGCTTCGCCTGTGGGCTCTTCGTGCGCTGACTCATTCGCAACTCTCTCCTCCGTCGAGTTTCGCGGATCGCGCGCAGTTTTCGAGCAGTGACTTCATCGCAAGTCCAAGCTCGCCCGCCTTCTCGAACGTTCTGCTGCCAGCTCGTTAATTCAAAGATGCTCATCTGCAGTACGAATATTTTCAGTGGCCAATGAATTAACCCACTGACGTCAATGTTTTCGAAAAATCGAGCAAAGTAGCCAAATCCAATTCTCGTTCGATGCAAACAAATCCGCTCGAAAGAAACGGACCAGTTATGCTACACTTCGATTGTAGCTTTACGTAACAAGCTTACGAGTCGCTTTCTCTCTGTTCTTCTTCTCATTAGTATATATATATATATATATATATATATATAAGGATGGACGTCGCTAGCAACACTGAGGCGTTGCGCAAGTCGTCTCTGCGTCCCCGAGATTGCGCCCGATTCTCATGCAAATAACGCTGAAACAAAATTAAAGCTGACGGAGCCCGAGTCTCCGTCTCTTGCTCGCGCGGAGCGCTCGAGAAATTCCATAAACCCTTTCTTTCGAGTTTCGAGGGGAACGACTGGGAAGTGTCGTGCTTTCTGCTGCTCGGTGATTAATTGGACGAGCGACCGAAGCCAAGCTAACGAGCGATCGGTCGGCCCGCCGGCCAAAGCTCTTCGCCCGAGGAAAGAGAGGGAAAACCGTCACGACGGTCGAAAGAGCGGCCGCTTTGACAATCAAACAGCCGCGCGCGGACGAGCGGCGACCAATTGAAGTTCGTTGCACCGCAAAATCTATATTTAGCCCCGTCTGGCCTATTCTTAACCGGCCGGCTTCGCGCTCTAGAAATACACATGTGGCTGTATAGTCGCGTGGCCGCGCGAGCGAGGAGGGAGGGTGGCCGGTGCTCGAGCGCGCTTGGCGATATCGCGTGCACGAGAGGCGGAGCGCAGCGCCTCTTGTGTTCATGGGGAGCGAGAGCTTGCGATTTCGCGAATCCCGCGACTGACGTCGGATCTCAGCCGGGCAGGTCAGGTTCGACGGCGAGCTTCGAATTTCCGCGTTGACTGCGAGAAATTATCCAACTGGCTATTGTAAGCTGATCCGAATATGCGTTCGTGCGGCTCCATTGTTTCGGGGAGTCACCTGCACCACGCTCCGTGAGTCAACGATAGCCAATGTTGAACTTTCAGAGTTCACTTGCTACTTTGCGTTCGCGTGACCCAGTAGTTTTTATCATTACAAATTTTACCTAGGTAACAAGAGTACCGTTATTGTAATGAGTATACGAACCATTGTTGATATAAAAGAAACCAAAGTTAATTTCATTTTTGTATCGATCGCACGTTTGCATTTTAATGGTTTCTCTTGGAAACGTGAACCGATTTAGCCAAACCATCTGCTAATATTAGTTGACGAAAGTACGTTAATACAAATATTTTCACCTTTTCAACTGTAACATTATAAAGCTCATCAAAGATGGTATCTCGTGCAACGGGCCGAAGCTTTCATAAGAAACGATAATTTAACGATTGCTACACTTTACGATTTTACGCGAATTTAGAGATTCGACCGCGCGGCGTATGATGAAAATTTATTGGCACGCGAGCAGCGATAAACCAAACGAGTTTCAACGGCGTTGGATCTGTGAGCAATCACGACAATGGAAAAACAAAATGGACAACTGAAGAAAAGTTCCGCGGGACTGCGTATTCGAAATTCTTCCACGGTTCGCCATGTGACTTCGGGAGAGCATTTGATCGAGGTCAGAAATTGATCGCGCGCAGTGGTGATGCTTTGTGCGGGGAACGGTATTTAGCGCGAAAATTCATGCGAGCGACGATACCAGGCAGCGCGGAGCAAGGCTGATTATCAATCGGGCGCTCGTCGAGCACTCGCAGCAGCATACGAAATTCCGCGTCGTGTCGAGCGCGAATAATCCCAGCGATCGCCGCTGGCCGTTCGACTTGTGTACTCGTAAATTTTTCACGCGTCCTCCCTTCATTGGTGCGACGACGATAACGTAACAGAACATGTTGTTTTTCGCTCGCGCGCGATGGCCTCGATAGGCTGTATACCAGACCTATTACTCCTAATCGGCGAGATTTAAAACGCGGTAAAAATAGACGCGTGCGACTTTTAGCCTTCGCTTGTCCGCGCCCTTACTCTCAACGTGTCCGTGAATTTTCGCGGCCGAAGGGAAGGTTTTCTTTCGCTTGCGAGGAGATGGGCTTGTGCTCGAGTAGATGATTGAGGAACGATTAGCGGCGAAGCGTAATTTTCAGGAGTTTATAAATGGCTTTCAACTTCTTCTCTTCGAGGATTGACAGGTTTGCCATAGAGCGGACGTGATTGGCGCCGATGGTGAAATACTTTTGGAAAGAATTTCGATTCTCGGCGTTATTCGACGATGATTCAAGATCACGAACGAACAATCGTAGCAAACGAAAATGACAAATCGCGAAGTATCATCCCCATTACGTATATACGCCGCGGCGAAAGAAAAATGCAGCCGCGAGCGTGCGTCTAGTTTCACAAGTCTATTCGCACTATAGCAACTATAAGATCTCTTATCCTTCACATATATCCCCATCGATTCAGTCAATCAATTGGCTTAATATAGTTTCCGATCCCACACACCGGTGGATATCCCGTCTTGCCGCCTTGACACGTCGACGAAGGACGTGCAAATTTCGCGTGTGCGCTAAGAAAACTTTCACTTAAAAAAAATGAAAAAAAAAAAAAAAAAAATCAGCCGCGTGCGACAGGACAATTACTTAGGCTCTCCTTTTCTACTGACGTCAGGTGCCATGCTACGCGGTATTCAATCTGCTCGAGTATATCGCGGCATATCGAGTGCTATTGTTTATTGGCGTGTGCTGGATGTGCCTCTGAAGCTTAAAATAGAATCACGTGATTTTTTTTTCTCAGGCAACGGTTATGTATGTTGCCAGAAGTTCGTTCGCGGTGACGTTTCGTGCGAAGATTTGCTGCTTTCTTTTTATCGCGGAAGGCACTTTCGAACAGGGCCAATTCACACACCGAGGGGCTGAAATGAAATGCCATTTGAATGTTTGAACAGAAAGTCTAACTTTGCGGGATGGAAAACATTTGCGGTTCTTGAGAATGAATACGATTAGCTGCGAGGCGGAGCAGCTTATCTCACGAAACCAATCGTCGCGAATGCAATGGCAACGCATAAACTCACGAGAGTGCCGAGTTATTTCTCGCAAAAAAGAAAATATCGCGGCAATTATGAACCTTCATCCTGTCTATGTACGTGCGTAATTGTCAAAATCTGCCCCAGTGGCGTGGAAATAACCAAGTGGCCTTTGACGTCGTTTGACAAGAGCGGGGCGCATCTCGCCGACGCATTAATTTTATCCTTTCCACCCGAAAAAATTTAATTAAAATCCCTCGTCCGAGGGCGCTTACGGGATTTTCTTCTGTTTCCGCAAGCGTGCACCTGTGAACGCGCGGCGTCGAAAAGACGATGACGACGTCGACAACAAAGCGCCGAGGATAATTGCAACGCTTCCGCGTACAAAGAGAGTGAGAGTGCATTTTCATTATCGACTGCTCGAGATGATGCGAGCTTTGTCGCGAGGTCGAGCCACTCGCATAGATTAGACCGACGCGGGATGTTGTTTTCTTTTTCCAAGATGCACACCACGTGCGAGAACGATGATGGATGACGCGTATTTTTTTTTTTTTTCATCCCTTTCCACTTCGATTATTCGCACTTTTTTCGTCACCGTGGCCCTCGAATCGGCCTTTCTCTGCTCACCACAATAGCCTCTTCCTTGTTCGCAATTCGGTGCGTGCGTTTGTCCAGTCTTTCACGGTAAATTAGCTGCGACTGTGACGCAGCGTGTTTTCTTTGTCTACTCGCGGAAGCTCGTTATCACGCGATGTATCCCCTCCTTTTCCGGATACCCGCGCGGTTCGCGTTCGTTCTTCGTAGCGCGTTCGATTCAACGAAGATTTTCGACTCGACAGTGTCCGCAGAGGAAATCACTTCCGCGACACGAGATCCGATGCCTTTAGCCGAAGACTCGAAATCGTAGCAGGGGCATGATTGCGTCAATAATTTGCACTCGCCATCGCCGCGTTTTTGCAATGTTTTCATTGATGAACTCGAGAACGAAGGTGACTTGTCGCGAGTGTTATTCGAACGTAGCCTTTGTACCGTGGTCGAGCTACGATGGCCGAGTCGCGACGAACTGGACTCCGCGAAAAAAAAGCGAAGATAACGCGAAGAACAAAGCCACGAACAGAACTACGACTAGCAATAGTCAGCGCAGCGACGCCTCAACTTGTCAACCATTCCCCGGTCGCGGACCAACGGCAATAGACATTAAGAGAACTCACGGTGTAGCGGAGCGGCCGCAGATTGCAGACGTAGCAGTGGCAGCACACAACAATGGGAAGGACGAAAGAAAAGAAAAAAAGGCAGAGTGCGGGAGAAGAGCGAGAGCGCGGGCAGTCGTGCCGGCGTGGTGGCCGGGCAGCCACTGATGCCCACGGGTGGGAGCGGAGAGCGAGTGAAGACCGGTGCGAGGGAGAACGAAAGCTCTCCCTGTGGGAGGGGGGGGGGGGCGCACGCGGCGGTGGCGGCGGCGCCCAATCGATAAGCCAGAACGCCAAGCACGACTCCGGCGGCAGAGTAGGGGCGGCCTTACTATCGCGAGGGAGGCCAGGCGCAACGGGGGAGGAAAAAAAATGAAATTCCTCTCTTCGAAGAGGTGAGCGATTGAGCGAAAGGAGGGTGGGATGTAGGGGGGAGGGCTGATCAGAGGGGCGGATTTTTCGTGAGAAGTTCTTTGTGCTGCAGATCGAAAGGGACGCCGAGGCTTGGAAGAGGCGATCGATCGTAGTACACGTTGCGTTTCGCGCGAGCTTTCGATACGACGTCCTGGGGTATCGTTCCCAAAGTCAGCCGTCGGATAGCTTTACGATCTACGACGCGTGCATTGGGATTCGATCGTTATCTCTCGGCCGCTCGACTCGGTCGAAGAGAAATCGTTTACAAGCGCAAGCCAGCCGAGAATTTCACGTGATCCGGCGGCCGAAGCGTCTATATAAGCGCATCGCGTGTAACAAATTTCCGCGAGAGGCCTGCCCGGCGCAAAACGCCGATCGCCCTTTAAAGAACAGGGTAACGAGGCAAATATCCCAGAGGCAAAGTACAGCGTAAATCTTGACAGGCATGAAAGAGGCATCGTCGAAGGCAACTTTTCCCGAGCTCATGAAATAGGCAAAAGAGTAAAGGGAGCCAATGTTCGCGGCGTCGGCTTTCCAAGCTTGAAATATATTGGCCTTTTACTCTCGCGCTGCTGTATGCCTGTACTTTACGCGTCTACCTGCCCTCTCCGAGGCATTTCCTTTTCTTAATTTATGCACGCAGTGACAGGCGGCGTAGGCGGGCGCGTAACGAAACTAGACAAATTCTTTGGCACGCTCGCGCGACAAATGTGAGTGAGAACGGTTTTTCTTTCTCCGTTGGCGATCGGCGATTTTGGTGATCGCTCCCGGGCGAAATTCTCGCCGCAGATCGCCAGAGTCGCCGACGCCGATCGGGAAAGACATCCGTAAGTAGCCCGAGCAGCGAAGGCAATGGATCCGGGGCTCGGGCTGATGAAAGTGTCAATGCCAGTTAGAAAATCGAGCGCACATCGAACGGGGCGAGCAGCCGCCGCCGTGCGCTCTCGTTCAATGCACTCGCTCGAATGGCAGTTCCGCACGCGAGCTCCTCCTCCCGGCGTCGGCCGCTCGTAAATTACTTTTTGACGCGCGAGAAGCGCCCGCTGTATGTGTGCGTGTGTGTGATGCACCTCCGGAGAGTTCCCCGAAGATTACAGCCGACGGCGCGTCTAAGGAGACCCGCGAGAGGCTCTTCTCCCCCTTCGGTATATAGTTCGAGATTACGAATGTTTACCGCGCCCGACAGCGGATATCGCGTATAAGATTCAGTTTGCGGGGTGTATGTTTTCCTTTTCGTTCTTTTATTCGTTCGCCATCGAGGAACGAAGCGACGACGATCAATCGAGTTTTCCACGGCGATCAGCGAATAGTAACGAGGGACGCGAGTGGGTATAATGAGATCGCGGGTCGATCTTTTCTAGCTTTGATTATTCACCGTGCAAAGCTCGCAAATCGTTCGGAGACGAGGCAAGTTCAAGTTCAGACTGTTAATTTCGCTGGACTGTTGCCGGTAATGCGTGGCATCGTATTTATTGCGGATCAATTACATGAGACCTTTCAAGTTCGATCGCGAAATCTTCTCGAGCTTTTTCACGCTCTGTATACATTTGCACCTTCAAGCGGGCAATCCAAACGCGCGGGAGGACCTCTCGACCAAACAGGTCTCGAGACCCTCTTCTTTTTCTTTTTCTTTAAAGGTAGCTTGTAAAGTAAACAAAAACGACAGCGTGAAAATGCGCTTTTGCAAATTTCAATTATATATTTTCAAAGGACATTTGAATCGTTAAAAACAAACTTGAAGTAGGGTTTAAATTGCTAATGTAATTATCGTAATACGAATGCACGAATGCTCGAGCTGTAACTGCAGAAAGCGATCGATATACCTCTCCACAAGTTCATCGACAGAATGGAAATTAATGATATTTTCATCGTCCGATACGAGCAACGAAGAACTAAGTAGATATTTAAAAAAACGAAGAAGAAGAAATATCAAGTAACGGTCGAAGTGCGGCGGGCGACCTCGTCGAGAAACTAGGCCTGACGCTTTCCACTATCTGAAGACGACAGCAACAGCAGCAGCAGCAGCGCAGTTGTCATAGAGAAAAGCCGCATCCGCAACATCATCATCTCGACACGATCTCGCGAACCCGGCGGTCCGATTGCAATCGCGGTCGTCGCGCGGCGGCCATTTTTCATGACGTCTGACCCGCTTCTCTGCCTGCAGGATTTTCAGCGGCGCGCCGCTGGTCCACCAAGTGACGTCACGCTAAAGAATCGATGCGCAGCTCTCTCGCTCTTCGCCGAAACTGCGCTTTGGTGCAATGCTCCGCGTTCGCTTCTCCGCGAGCGTCGTTTGCGCTATTTCACGCTCGCGTACGATTCGTTGCTGTTGTTGGTATTTTTTAATAATACGCGCAGAACGTCGACAGCTTAAAAATCGTGATGTACGTGCCGGAACGGGGAGAGCCGTGCTTTTTTCTTCCTTTTTTTTTGGCGTAGTTTCTATTTTGAGAGCTGAAAAAATATTCACCGTCGCGCGAAGGCTGAAATAAAATGTCTTTGTCCTTCTTTTTCACTGAAAATCCCTTTGGCAGGGATTCCCGCGTTAGTTCCGAGAGAGAAATTTTGAAGATCTTCTCATTTCCAACAAACGGAGAAAATAAAAATCGCGAACCAGAGAGCGGCAAGAAATTTGACATCCGTCGCTTTTCATTAGCGCGTCATTCCAAGTCACTCATCCGTTGTTCTGTAAAACCGCGAGAACCAGCGACAGCCGTATTCCACGCCGACAAGTGAATCCCCCTCGTCAAAGCGCCTTCGCAGCATCAGGTCGTCCACTTGCGTCCGCGCGTGAAACGACAGTACGGAGCGTGCACAAAGCACCGAGAGCAGCTCCGCCCCCGTCGAAAAATCGTCGGCCTTGGGCTGCGCAATGCGGCGAGCGAGAGACGAGTGAATCTCGCCGTGGTCGTGGTGGTCGTCGTCGTCGCATCGAGATCGATGCAGCCGCCGGCTCTCCTCGCACTGTATTTCTCCCCTGTGCGCGCGTGACGTCACGGCTGACGTCACCGCCAGCCAGGCTGCGCGCGCCCCCGTCGACGAGTCAGCGCTGCGTTTCCCCCCGCCAGGCCGCGCTCTCCCACTCTGTCTTTCTCTCCTGCGCTTCTTTCTCTTCTTAATTGATCGGACACGTCGATTGACGGTTCGGATAAAGTTTGAGAGCTTTGTCTTCGAGCAACTAAGCAGCTTCGGCACCAGTTTGCGATGGGATAAGGGGCTCTCATTTCTTTTATCGGCTGGTCGGGATCGAAAGAGCTCTATCCTTACTTTTCTTTTTTCTTTTGCCTCGCCGCGCGCGAACGTCTCCAAAACGGAGAAACTACCCTCTCGAAATTACCCGGCATCCCGTTAAAACTATAAAACTAGGGTGCTTCTCGTTGCGCCACGTGGCGCAACGCTCATTGCTCGACGTCAACTTGCCGGCCGGGAATCGCGACCCGACGGGGATGAGACTTCGCGCGAGGCTCTTGTAAAGAAGAAGAAGAAGAAGAAGTAAAATCAGAGACGTCGCTTTATCGACTGTGCGGGGGCTTTTGAAAGTTGCAAAGCGCCCTAGCGAGCCCCGAGCACGTGCTCCCATTTCTCACCCGCGGAGAAAAGGTGCTGAAAAGAAGTCGAGTAGGATGGTCGTCGGGGCTTCTTTTCTCTCCTCCTTTCGCGCCCAATTCCAAAGCTCTCGCGCGAAGACGCCGCGTTGCTCGATAATTTTACAGCAAGTTCCCTTCTAACGAAGATGAATTTCGCGCACGCGACTGGCCGTCCGAAAGAATTTTCCGATTTTCCGAGCTGTGTCGAACTGCGCGCTCCGGCATGTCGGCGATTATGTTAGCAAAAAAATTTTACGCTCGCCGATGCAACGGAACTTTGCTCGTTAATGACTTTAATAATGCCAAAATCCAGTTAAAATTTCTGAAAGATTAACTTTTTGAAATACATTTTTCACTATTGATTTAATTTTAGCTTCGATTTCGGTTAAAATTCACATGGGTTCGTCTTTTCGAAATTATTAATTAACATTATTATTTAAAATTATTATTTAACATTAATTTTTGAAATTATTATTTAAGGGAATTGATTTAACTTCAAAAGAACGTTCAGCACCCGACATTTCATTTAAATTCAACATTTACATCGTTCAATTGTTTATCGCATTATTGAGAAAAAAGAATAATCAAACCAATAATTACCACTCAGTGCCTTTAGTGTCGCGCCAATATTCAAATTTCAAGAGAGAAATCGACCCTCGAGTCTCGAAAAAAAGGTCGCATCGCGCATGCGATGCGATACCGGCAAAAGTGGGAGAGCGAGAGCGAGAGCGAGCGTCTACTCTAGCGCGGCGGCGGCATTGTGCGGAGAGCAGCTCTTAAGTGTGTAGAGAAATAATCGGCTCGTCCGACAAGAAGAGAGGCAAAGTCCAAGAAGAAATAATCTCAAACCGCAAACATTCCGCGCAAGAGCACGATGAAGAAGAAGGACGTGTCCGAGGAGGAAGAGTTTTCGGCCGACGAGCCTGACGAGCCTGAAGAAGCCAACAGCGGCGACGATTGGACTCCGAACCAGGAGGTACGTAAACGTGCTTACTTTTTTTCATGCCTTCCACTCGCGCGCGTCAAAAATGGCTACTTCCTCTCTCGCTCGGCATTTAGCTAGACGGTAGCAGTTTTTTTAGCTGTTGTCGGAGAAAGTGATGGTAACGATGAAAATGTCGGAAATTAGGTTTTTCCCAGCTACAGAGACGCTGCGTCTCTTACGGGCGCCATTGGGCCACCGGCCGGCTCTTCAGTGACGACCGTTGTAATCGCGTTCTCGCTCTCTCTCTCTCTCTCTGTCTCTCTGTCTCTCTCTCTCTCTGCTCTCTCTCTCTCTCTCTCTCTGTGCAGTAAGCGTCTTTGTTTTGTGCCAGGGCATATGATCTTGTGAACCGCCTTATCTCGAACTAACTTTCGAGGCCTGATATTTTAGACTTTCCGAAGAAGAGAGAACATGGTAGGGATAGAGATACATTGCATCGCTATTTGCGATTCGTAGAGATCTGATTTTCATTTTCAGGTTGTCGTTCACCGCATGTCAATGTCGAAAGTAGAATTTTTGTGAATTAGTTTTTCTACGAGTCAATTTTCATGACGGTTTGATTTTTTTAGAGTACCTTTTGTTGGGCCATGTTCTTAAAAAGTTATCAACAAAAAATTTTTTACCAATGTTCGTACCTACTGTATCGGAAAATTATTTTCTTGTTTTTTTAAGTATCAAAATTTATTTCACAGGGTGGTGCAACAAAAAAAAGACCACAGAGAACATCAGCTGGCAAAAAACGTCATCATTCAGAAGAAGAGGAAGAAGAGGAAGACGAAGAAGAGGAGGAGGAAGAAGAAGAGGAAGATGATGAATCTGACTCTGACTCTGGAAGGAAGACAAAAAGGAAGCGAAGATCAAGGAAAGAGGATGATGAGGAAGAAGAGGAGGAGGAAGACTCTGATGATAACAACTTCAATGATACATCTGGAGTACCTCCCAAAGATTTCACTGTAATCAAAGCTTCATTTAGTACTTTTTATTAATTTGATGAAAATTTTCTAATTCATGAATTATGTTTCTATTTCAGTCTGGAGCATTTGTTGTCGCAAAAGCTGACATCACTGGAGACAAGGACCCGACGCTGTGGAGGATAGATGGAAAAGCTCTGTTACAAAAATATCTGCCATACAAAGAGGAAGGAAAGACCCTTTACAAGAGCACATCTACTGTACTGTTATAAAATTATTTGATAAAATTTTAATGATGAATAAATAAACACTGAAATAAATATCTGATTAATGATTTCAGTACTCTGGATGGTCAGTAAACAACAAGGACAAATATGTTGCAGCAAAAGTCACTTTTAAAGTACAAAGTAGACAAGAAACAGTTGTCGAGCTGCATTTGGAGGAGTCTCAAAAGCAAGCGGAAGTGAAGTGAATTACAAATTTCATTATTTTACTGTAATAGTCCCAATTAGATCAATGCTAATTTCAAAATTACTTTCAGGGATGAAAAGGCAGAGTAAATATAGCTCCTTATTTTGTTTTTATATCACTAAGATAAAACTGCTGATGAAACCAAACTTTGAAGCGCATCCAAGATACGTGCGAGTGTAAAAATTAAGATATACATTTTTATTAAGTGAACTTCAAAAGTTTGGGAAACTGTTTCTAATACATTTTATACTAACATTGTTCAGCTTTAGATACAGATGTAATTTTTGTGGATTGAATTATTTAAGATACTATTTGCATTAAGTAAACAATCATTTCATTTCTATCCTTATGTAATGTAAAATGCTATTTTTCGAGACTTATTTTTCATAGATTATAATGTAAAACTGTACTAGAAACGGTGATCTCAGTACTATTGAATTTGAATGTAAAATTTTCTTAAACTCTAGACACAAATGTAAGTGTTTTTCATTGTGTAGATGATAAAACCATTCGACTAACCTTATTTTTTACCTTTTTTTTTATTTTTAAAACACTTTTCCACAAAAATGAAACAAGTTGATGTGAGATTTTCAAAAAAAAAGTAATTGTTTGAATATCAAATTACCTTCAAAACGAATAATAATGTATTTAACTATAAAATTTGTGAAATTAATTATTTCTTTTTATCTAATTCCTAGCCGAACCAAACAGTTATATTAAATGAAAAAAAAAATTATTTTGAAAGGTGAAACCATAGATAAAATGATTTATTTATGTAAGATTAAATACATATATAGACTAATATATACATGTTCATACAACACAGTTGAAAATTTTCACGACAATGAAGGAACTGTATTAAATTAAATTTGTGTATATAGGCATAGTATTTAGAAGAGTTGTATAATTTGTACTGTTTCACAAGTTATGTGAAATGATGGATTGTTGGCAACATTTATAAAACGATTGATTCCTATAATCAAATTACAGGTCATACGATACGAAATTTTTGTCGTGTAAAATACGAGGTTATAAAAGTTAATCTAAATATTAATCTACCAAGGCCATGTTTGGAATCTAGAATATTAAAATATTCTAAACTAATTGGGTTTTACCCTGATTCGATCACAATTAAAAAAGTTTTTGCATATCGTTTAAAAATTGCGCGTTAAACACTACTATTTTCTTTCTACAGAATGTGACGAAGCAAAATTACAAAATATGTTAGAAAAAAAAGATTTTCAAGTAATGCGCGGATAGAAAACGAATGAACATTAATAAATCTGTACGATAGAATTATTCATTAAAATTGTGCATTACTGTAACAAACAATTTTGAGCATACTAAATTACGGGCTTAAAAATACAAAGTTGACTCATTCCTACATATGATTATTATATAGTGAAAAACATTACTAATTAGGCCAGGTGTTTCTAAATTCGATTCGCAGTTTTAAAATTTTTCGCTTAATCCAAGAAATTCATGGCCAGAAATCTTGCAGTACGACTAAAAAAACATTATAAGCTATATACTACATAAAATCTAAAATCCAGGTTCCATCCTGACGGATAATACACTACTTAAGATATTCCGTAACTCAGCGACTTCAACACGACTACGATTGACGACATCTTCTAGTTTCTTATTCCTTTGTAGTACTTTTTCCATCTCGCGCCAGCAATTTTGCTTGACACTCTTGTAACAACACGACATGTCTTCCTCAGTATCGCAAGTTTTTCCGCAATGTGCACAAACATCTTGTTTATCCTCATCGTTGTTAAGTTTCGTTTGTCGTTTAAGATTCTTCTTTCGCAAGTTGGTTGCCTCTTTCTTCTTGATATCGTCGACAACGCTATCACTGTATCGACGACTCTCATCTTGTTCCAACGACAAAGAAGATTTTTCTTGAGAAGATCCTTCACTAGCACGACGAGGCTCACCGTTATGATTGTGATTCCTGTCAAGAGATTCATTTCGACGAACTGAAATTACAGTTTCGGTCGAGTCTTTATTAAGGATAGGTGAGGATGCACTTTCGGTTGTAATGCTACTACTACTGCAACTACTGCTAGAAGCATTTTCGTGGGTTATTATTGGTGGTCCTAGGTTTGATGTAGTTTGCGTTTCTTTGTCTAGTTCGAATACTTCGTCGCTCTCTTGTGACGACTGCTTACTCTGCGTCTTTATCTCTATTAGGTCGCCGTCGTGACCGAAGGCAAATGACTTTTGGCCTGTGTAAAAAAAAATTTAGCGCGTCAATAATCACTGAAATAAATATTTTGTGAGAGAATTCAATATACACAACAAATATAAAACTTTGAAAACAAACGTGCTCTATTGATGTTAAATATTAACTGTTCATTGCAATGATATTGACAGTTGTCAAGTGACACTTATTTAAGAACAATTGTAATTGCATCCTTTACTGTCAAATCAGTTATCAATTTTCCATTTTCTGGCAGCATGATAAGCATAAGTTCTCTTCTAGACAAGTAAAAAAAATCGAAAGCGTACCAATGATCATGCGTTTATTGCGCATATCAGGACTCTTAGATCTAGGCCTCTCAAGGTAGAGTCGATTATCAGGCGAAAGTACGGATAATTTTCCAGGCTCCGGCACGGAACTGCCGTTGACGTAGACGTCCAATTCGTGGCTTTCGTGCTCGCGGAGTCGCTGCATGATCTTCTGCACGATCTCCGATGGCGCTACATACGGCGAACCTGTTGGTAAAATAGGTCTTTATTTGCACGTTGAATTGTAAATGAACAGTGACGAATTTACTAAGACAAAATCAAACATGTTTGCAGTTACTTCAAAACGCCATTTATCTACAAATTTTTTTCATTACAACGTTAACCTTTGTTTTGAATTGTTTGAAATACTGCAGTTGTTAAAAATATAAAGTATAATAAAACAGGTGCCAATACGTTTAATATATCAATAATTTATAAAACAGTTACCTACAACTGTAACATATACAATGTGGTAGACTTTGAATTTTGAAAGAAAGCCTAATATATATGATTAGGTATATAATAATTGTGGAAATAATATATTTCATTTAAAATCTACCTTCAAAAATATAAAATAATCATCTACATCAATAACAATCGCCAAATAAATATCTATCCTTCGTAATCAAAAACAACCACCACGACAACGCAACGCATGAGTGTCAGATCTTGCTAAAATCAAGTGTCTACATGGAAAGAATAAAAAAACAACAGTTTGTGAGAACAGTGTGTATCACTGCGCTTTCATGATATAGTGGGTGGCATGCAGAAAAGATTTTCCAGGTGCGCGCAGAAACGCGTCAGAGATAAGACTCGATATCTCGAGCGAGCGTGCCGTTGCGAGTGAACGTAAAACTGTAACTCTTTTTGCGGAAAAAAAGAATACGAACTACATCATACAACACACATATGACGACGAACTTACGAAGCTGGGTCCCGAGTGTCGACGATTCCGTGGGATTCGCCTCACGATCGGCGCGTTCACTTCGCTTCCTACAAAAATTATTGTTCATGTTCCTTTTTCTCTCGAATGATTGCTTGCTGCGGGATTTTTTTTCGGAAAATTTCTTTTAGAACGACAGTTTCATGCATGACTCAGCGGCGAATATTGTTTGTACTTTACAGATCAAGCTTCAAAAACTTGTGTTATTTGCTGTTTACAAGAAAAGAGTTTCATGATAAATTAGTCACGTTTCTTTTTTCATTGGTTTTGACATTTTCATGATATTTTTCCAAGTTAGGGGTTGAATTTGCTTCATAGCTTTATTCAACGCATGATTTTTTTGAAGAATACAAAGCCATGTATGTTGAAATATATTGCATGAAAACCACACATAATTTTGTTTATTTAACTCACTTTTTCACATATCGAGTACGGTAAAAACATTTAGCCATAAAAATGCATCAGTAAGAGATAGCTATAATTGTTTAATCACACATATGATTAGTGAATTCCATAGATGTGCCGGCACACACTCTTATAAGAGTACTTTCAATTTACTTGCCAATCTAAATATTTTTGATATAACTGAGAAGTCACAGTCTTCGCCTGTTCGCTGTTCGACATCATTTTGGCATAGCAAAGCATCAGTGTACGCAGATGCGTCCTGTTTCCCTTGATAATTACTTGAATCATACAATTGAAGAGGAATAAGCTATTTGTTTTAAAAACGCATTACACTTTTTTAAACGTAAAGGCGATACTTTTTCAATATTTAAAATAATCCTCTTTTGAAACGCTTTATTTCTCTTTATTCCTCTTCAAAGCCAACCCATCTATTATTCCCCTCAGCCCATACCTGTGAGTCCTCGATATCCCAGCGACGTGGAATCAAGGCTTTCATTAGCTTCCTGCTGGTGTTTCACAAAATCATCGATGGCAATTCCTTTGAGTCTCGACGGTTGTATAAAACGTTTGGGTATGCGAGCGAGCGGTCCAACATCTTGGGGACTACTTGCACCACCGCCGAATCCTAAGTTCAATAATACAGCTTCCGGATCGGCGCGGCGAAGCTCCAGGAGACTTTCGACGCTGCTGCAGTGACTGCTGTCCGATTGAAAGCTTGGATCGCGCGCCAGCCTAAAGAATTAAATGAATTCAATGCATTTGTCCTATTGAGAATTTAAATTCGAAAAATATCATTGATCATGATTTATTTAAAGAAATAAATCCGTGAGAGTATAAACAACTCTGTTGAGTAATTTTAATAGTACGCAGATGGAAATATTTCAGGTAATACTTTGAACGCCTTCTCATCTCAATAGTCGGCGTACCAAACAACTGTCGTGTAATAAATTTCAATACTACATCTAGTTTTCGCAGATTTTGAGATTGGTAGCGCAATATAACATAATTTTTCCTTACATGAATTCCTTTCTTTCCTCGTTCTGCGAGATATATGTGACTGTGTACTGATTAAATAGCATTTGCAAGCGCGAGATCGTAAAGCACGGTAAACGTTGACAAGCTGCTTCGTTTATTACTTTTATCTTTGAAGAAAAACAAAGTGAAGCTTCACTCTCATGCGCATGGAAAGCTTTGGCGTACCGTGTGTGCTGTTCTATATGGGTCGCAGCAACAAACTATATGAACACATCAGTCGAACGCCTCGTTTGACGAACGTGTACGCGAACTGACGTTAAATTTAGGCGATTCACATTGGACTTTGTTTAGCTTGCGTTTTTCTTCTCTATACCGAAATGCGATGCGATTGTTACACTGTAACTATCAATACAGCGAAGCAAGAGAATTTGCAAATATTAACGTGCGATTTTACGACTTGTATGCTCTGATATGGAAATGGCTTTATTTATCAAACAATAAAGAATATGAAATTGTTTTTAATTGATTTTGTAACAATTATTAGTCAACGAATTCGGGTAATTAAAATGTCATACCTTGTAATTCCAGGGCATACTATTGCAGGTGAATTAGGAACTGATATAGGAGTTGAAACAGTCATATTTGAATGTTTAATGTAGTTCTCTTTCTCACTGTATATATGCTCAACTGAGCATTCTGGAATAGAAGCTGATTCTGAATCAACTGACACACTTTGTTGCCTGACAATTGATCCAATGCTTGAAGTTGATGACTTGGCTGGCGATGGTAAAGAATCAACCCATTGCTGAACTGGATTTGTCCTACGTCGCATTTCCCAGAGCCCTCGCAACCAGTAGGACACTCTGAGTACTGCTTCTTTCTTAACGTTCTCTGTTGATCATAAGAATGGTTTTAGATCAATTACTATAGATCAAATAAACTGACATGCACTCTGCACATTTATTATATTTATGTAACTTCGGTAAGCACTAATTTTATCAATGTACAAATCTTGTAGGAATTTAAAAATATATTTATACCTATTATTGCATTCATGTAGCTTAATAGAGAATTGTGTTTGCCATTCATTTTGAAAAGCACTTTAATCTTGATGATTGTGAGTTTTGGTAAAAGATGTCAAGGACAAATTTGAATGAAACTACTTTGACTTAATTGGTATATTATTTTCATAGAAGGCAGCCATAAGATTCTAAATTATTTTCAAAAACTTGTATCGATAATTAGCTTATCTTTTTGTGATAAAAGTAAAAGTGTAATCAATTGTGCATAATATCATGCATCTCATGCATATAAACTAATGTAAAAGTGATCCAGTGCCCTGCAATTACCTGGATCCATCATTTCCATGATGTATATTGCTGCATGTACAAGTAATAAAACTAGAATTAAATTTTCTCTAAAGATTTCTGGTAAATATAAGTAATATAAGTTGAAAGTGAGTTTGAAAATCTTGTAATCATCAAGTTAAGAATAAGTTGTATAACTAAAGAAAATTCCAGAAAACATCTAGTTATCTCAAATACAAAATTACTTCCTCAATCATTATTCTAAGTTATCCTTATCACAACTGAATTTCATAAGCTAATGAATGTATGATGAAAAAATGAACTTGACCCCAAGAATACATTTTAAGTTACCAAAAATATAATAAATACAATGTACTGCTTCTCCTTTTCTACACAAACAATTCCAAAAATCATTAGCATCTGCTGACTTACAGTCAAAACGAAACGGGTAAAGCACTCAAAAACGAACACATGTTTTTCGTAACACTCTAAGATGACTTTTTAATCAAGATCAAAAGAAAAAACTCACCGTCACGAAAAAGTTACGAAATTGTCAAACATCACCAGTATCCGCCAGGACGATCCTCGCGCGAGCTCGCGAAGCGATAGACTGAAAGAGAGAAGATTAAAAAAAGAAACTGCGGCAAACGAGAAAGAGACAGACACTTGTTAAACGCCTCTCCAACACACTTAAATACACACACATCGACGAAGCGGATCGTTTTGCGTGTTCTGCTGCTCTGCTGTCTCGTTGCTGTTGATGTTGTTACACACGAATACAGTGCCGTCAACGTCGTTCAAGGAACCCACGTGGTAACATTGTTGTTACAAAATGATGTGAACGTCGGCTGCTGCCATGCCAATACATAATATGCTGCTATAACTTCTACTTCCGCTGACTAACATAAATGGAATTTTTATTTTTGGATTATAGCACGGGTTTAATAGTTTTACTAGTTTTAGATTAATTGTCAAAAATTTGTTGTAGACGAATAATTGTTATTTAACAAATATTCATGCTTAAAAAAATGTTTTTAATGAACAAATGAGTTTGAGAATTAATTGAATGAAATAATTGAAGAAGATATATATGGATAACGAAAGCTCTTATTTTTATTATAAACTTCACGTAAATGTATAGAATTTAGGAATTACCAAGTAAAAATAAAAAGTGTTTTATTTTTACGGTTGTTATTACTCAAAGTCGTTTAGTACGTTATATATGTATTTATATATGTACATATGTATGATGTATACATATCTATTTGAATACGCTGAGCTCCACGAGAAAAGAAACAGTTTTCCATTCTATTTATTGTGTAAGTATCATTAACATTAATTACGATGTACCAAAGTATAAGATTTCATTCCTATGTATATTGTTTTACGAATTTGTTTATGAAAAAATTCTGTATTGCTTTCGGTGTTAAATATTCACTGTTCAATCTGTATTAATCTATATTTATAACCTCAAAATTGGCATCACAATTTTTTTCTTATAAACTAATCATTTCAAACTATTTATTAAAATAAAACGTTTTTCAAGCTTTGATTATCATTTCAGGTCGATCGTTGTGGTGTCACCTACGAAAAATCAAATTTCTCGCGATTGTTATGTGCTTTGAATCACGTAACATGTAAAACTATAAGCACAACACTTAGGAAACAATAATGAGGTAAAAGTCTTATCGACAGCATGTTTACGAAAGGAAATCAACAAGACGAATTAGGCAGAAGAACAGTGTGTGACACCAAATAAACTTTTGGAGCATTCAGCAAGGGTAACCTTCAAATTAGAAAGGCAGTTAGCCTTAGAGTGTACAGCAATTGAGAAGGATTGTATCTAGGAGTAGCATAATTTGGTGCAATACAATTTTAGAACTCAACTACATATATACACACAATGTCATCAAAAGGCAAGAATAAAAATAGATTGTCCAATTGGCGTAAGAGACGTGTTGTTGGGAAGGAAGAGAAGTATCGACAAGAGAGAGACAAATCTGACAAATCAGAATCTGGTAAGTTTCTGATTTAGAATACATTTGTTATTGTATCATACACATTCCTTTTATAAAAGAAATGTTACTTTAATTTTAGAACAGGAAGAAGAATGGCCATTGACTTTCCCAGTGGCAATGTGGGATTTGAAGCAATGTGATCCTAAGAAATGCTCTGGTAGAAAACTCGCAAGGCATAATTTAATAAAAACCCTGAGACTTGGTGCACGGTTTCCTGGCCTAGTCTTAACTCCTGTGGGTACAAAGGTTGGTATATCATCAGTTATTGAAGCCTCATTTTACGTAATTTGTTCATCACGATTGAATATTTTTTTATTTTCGCAGTGTGTGAGTCCTCAAGACAAAGAAATAATTCTAGAAAATGGCTGTGCAGTAGTGGATTGTAGTTGGGCGCGACTGGACAACACTCCATTCAATCGAATGAAAACTCCACATCCACGACTATTACCGTTCCTTGTTGCTGCAAATCCCATTAACTATGGGAAACCTTGCCAACTTAGCTGCGTAGAAGCCATTGCCGCGACTCTAATAATCACCGGTTTTCCAGAGGAGGCCGACTTGTATCTAGGAAAGTTTTCTTGGGGACATTCGTTTCTTGAACTCAACGCGGATTTATTAGCAAATTACGCAGCTTGTACAAACAGCGAGGAGATCATCGCCGCACAAGACAAGTTCCTGGTAAAGACAAGACAGGAAAGAGAAGACCGATTAGGTATGTTGACAAGTTTGTTTTGTGTTCGCCTTGGGCGAGATGTTCAATGGCTTTTCTTGTTATTTCAGCAATGCCAGATTTCCCGCCGTCCGAAAGTGAGTCAGAGGAAGAGGAAGAGGAGGAAGTAGAGAAGAAGGAGACAAAAGAAGAACAGGAAAACGTCGAAAATAAAGAAGATAGTCAAGCTGACGAAGCTCATGGGTCAACGAACCAGGAGAATATAATTTCATGATAATTTTTGCGAAATTTATTTTTGACGTTGTAAATATTTTACGAGATAACGATTACGTTAGGGTGTATTTAAGTTTTTGAACATTAATTTGTAATGTATAAAATAGACATAATAATGTGAGATAAATGTTGGTAATCTATTGTTTGATTAGTCTCATCAATTATAATCTTTTATTATTTTTCTAAATTTCTCAGACAACCATTATAGATTTTATCTGATTGTTTAAAATTAACCGAATATGGACTCTATATAAGATGATTAATTTCATTAAATAATGAAAAAGAAATTCACAAAATAATTTATAATCAACTGGCTTCTGAATTATTTTCAACTTTCACACTGCCCTTCTTATTTTTATACATTGCAAGGTCGTCCGCTATTTCTTATCACGATTGCCTTACTTGTGCAATGTGCTACCAACGAAAGTACTTGCCTATCAAAAAAAAATATTAGTAAGGTATATAGATATAACTGAAAAATTAATAATTGAAAATTTATTTTACTTTTCAAGTATGATTAAAAAAAATTATGAAAACGACAACTTCGACTTTGGCAAGCTTTGAAAGCTGGTATGAGTGGCTAAATACAATCAAACATACCCCGTTTTATATAGGAGTAAAAATAAAATATACGTTACCATGCAAACTAATCTTATCACCAGCATAAAATAAAACAAACAAGTTACGTACAATCAATTAAGTTTCATCTAACCTTATCTGTGGTAAAGAAATGACATTAATAGGTTGTTAAAATATATGCTATGTAAATGATAATTCCTACGACCATCTTAGTTTATTAGTTTAAAGAAAATAGACATGTCATAATATATTTCATTCGTGCATATAATTCGAAATTGAACAATGATTGCATTGCATCAAAACATTGTGGACACTATTGAAACTTTCCGTTCTACCTTAGCGCCAAAGCAAAATATAAATTAAAAATATATCTATTTTTTTATACATATATTTACTTAAGCATATTTAATCAACATATACAATTCAAACATCCGTATAAGACAAAAATATCACTCAAAGTCAAACATAAAGAGCGCGGATTTCGAACGATTATAGTTCCAAAAGAGTTGTAAAGAGTAGAAAGTGATGTGGATCGCGAGAGCACGCGCATACACCTCTTGCGAAACGGCATTTTGCTGCTTGGTGAGAGATCACGCGCATATATATACGCGGTGCGAGCATATTGTCCGAGCGCGAAACGACTGAATAAGGTGCGATCGAGGTCGCCGCGCCGCCCACCCATTCGTGTTTCTCCGCGTTGACGATCGAAAAATCGGCACTTAGCCTCGCTTCTTTGCGGCATTTCCTTGCCAAGTTTATAAGTGTATAGGCCTATAGTCGCAGCAAAGCATCGCCTTATTTGCATCTTCAATGATTAATCGCTTCGACAACGAAGCGATCCACTTCCATTTCAATGCCTTTTTACTAGTATGTACTGTCATTACTGTCGTTAGAACAATTGCCGATCGGCCATCTGCAGGCGTCAAAAAGAGTTCGACGCCTGGGTGGACGGATATAACGTTTCTCACTAAATTGGACGGTCACGGAAAAATAAATGGCTCAAATTGGCCCTATTTCACAATTGTGAGTTTGTTTAATAGAATTTCTCTCGTCAAGTGGCTTCAAATTTAAGAAGGAGAAATTATCGCAGTAGTGGATTTGATAGATCACGGGAGTAAATGCAATATGTAAATGCAGAGGAAAAAGTGTAATAAATTGCGAAAGATAAAAAGATTTTGTTTAATTGACTACGAATGTTCTAATAGTTTTGCGTTAACGACTAGACGAAGAAAGTGCATAATATAATCATCTTGTATTTTAGATCTCATCTTACTCTCTTTACGATAATTCTCCGGGCTTGAACTTTGCAAGACATACTCTCGGTGTTCGCACCTCCGAAATCAATCGCTGCGGATTCTTTAGCTACATTTGCTCTCGCCAACGGCAGCGCATGCAATGCAACGAACGTAGATTAGGCTGCTTCCAGCGCTGGTAACAATCACCAGCACCTGAAAGTGCCATTATCTCGAACGGAGGGGATAACACAATCTACACAAAAGAGCTGCGTACCACGAGGCACCCACTCGTGTACGCATACAGGCTCACGGAACGTTCTCCTTGATCTCTCACACTGGCGCGCGGCGCGCACATCCGCCGCACAGACACGGCCAGCAAAGTACCGCTCGCGGAGAAGAAAGAGCGAGAAAGAGTGAACGAGAGAGAGAGAGAGAGAGAGAGAGAGAGAGAGAGAGAGAGAGAGAGAGAGAGAGAGAGAGAGAGAGAGGCACGTCGGTTCAGTCGAGCGGCGGACGGCGTCCAGCTAACAGCCAACGTGAACCGGAGCAGGACCATGAGTAAGTTGTCGTGCATTCCTCTCGCCTGGCCGCTTCTCTTGCGCGCATGCGATCGAAAACCCGACTTTGGTGCGCTCGCGACGCTGCGCTGCCCGTAAAACCGTCGCTCAGCTTCGGGCTCGGTGACGGCTGCGCGTCCGCTTGGAATGCCAGCGTCTCGCGCACCGTCGAGCGTAACACGGGATTTACATATGTGACGCAGCGATCCACGGGCGATCGAGAGGCACGCGCGCACGCCTCCTTTCGGCATCGGATCGGCGATTGCGCAACGACCAGTCGTTCTCCAATTTTCGAAGGTGCGAACCGCGGTGGCGCGCGCGCGCGCGGATATTCGTCCACGGCGCGGGGGCAGCCGTGAGAGCGAAGGTTTCCCCGTCACCGGCGACCAGTCGCGCGAGGCACCGAGCGATCGCGATCGTTTGATCGCGCGCGAGACGCAATGATCCTTCGCGTAGTCGTTACAATCGCACCCTCGGCTCGTTCTCGATTATCGCGCCCTCGTGCGTTTGCACAAAGCGTCCCGAACAATCGTCGGTCTGAATTGAACGCGAGCGATAATTTCTCCCGCGCCGTTTCTCGAATGAAGGCCGCCAATTGGAGGATGCGCCGCCGAGGAAATTGTCATCGCCGCTTGATACGATAATCGGCGCCTCCTCTCCTCCCCTGCCTCCTCGGCGCGCGGTATCCGTTCCAATTTCGTTCGCGCAAGGCGGTGCTCGTTTTTCGGGGATAGGCGTCTCTGTGACACGCAGACGAGAAACAGGAGACGGGCCTATCGGTGGCGCACTGGGACCAGTCGCAGAGCACGAGGAACCGAGTCGCGAGAGCGTCGATGCTCGTCTTCGACGACGAATCAGCTAATTTCGCTGGTCTGTGTTGCAGGAGGCTACTATTTCGTCGGCTTGGCGGTCGTCCTTGCGGTAAGTCATTATTCCACGTGATGGCTAGTCACTTTCACGCCAATCATCCACTGCGCGAACGAACCCAGATGTAGATGGATGCGCTGAGAACGTGTGCAATTTCACTGGCAACGTATGCAAGAGATTTCTCATCGCGATCCTTCTGCCGACGGTAATCGCGCGAACGAGCACCGACTTTCTTCGACATGGAAGCGCGCCGCTCGCTTCGCGCACACGCGATTGACCGCGAAATCTTTGAAGCTCTCCGCGATCTGGCTGCCAATTGGATTTTGGGAACGAGCTCGCTGACGTTCACTGACCTCTCGCGTCAATGTTCGCAGGCACTGCTGCTGACCGCGGATGCCGGGGACATGCTGCGCAAAAGCATCGTCTTCGACAAGAACACCCCGGACGTGTTCTACTGTCCGGTGCACAAGCCCACGGGCTTCGACAAGATGATTGTCAAGGCCAAGCCGCTGTCGCGACTTTGTCAGTTTGAGGGCGGACCCATTCCCAAGGACTACAAGAGCGACTGCTACAACGACGTCGACGAGAGCGACTACGCCTGCAAGGAGAAGTACAGGATCATGGTAAGGCTTGCTTGGTTTGTCGGAAGAGCTACGTGGCTGTAGTCGCAACCGGCATAACGTCTTAATTGCGCAAAGTACTGCTAATCTCCGCCTCTTGCCTGCAATCGCGAAAACTTACTTTCGACCGCATTTTATGACATGAAAGCCCAAGTTTTTCAAAATTAACCACCGCACGCAATTAAAATCGATCGAGGCGCAGAAGCAGTCGTGCATTGACCGATACGATAATCGAGCGAAAGGTGTTGGCATTGTCCGGTTAATTTCTCCATTGCAGAAACGACTGAGGAACGCGGACAGCGATCAGCAAGTGCCGTTGGACAACGAGTACACCGACAAGTAGGATGACTCAGCTGGACGCGCTTCTGATTAGCTTGTTAACTACATCGCATTAATCGCCCAAATTAATGGATTACACACTTGCGATTTTCTTTGTATATTATTCACACACTGTGTTCTCATCTTACGCACCTATCTCTTTCAGTATTTCGCTTTCTTTCGAGCGTACCGATGACGAGTATCTTTTTTAGTCTTTCCTCGTGTATTATTTTCGCGATTTTATTTCCGAGCTGGAAGATAAGATTGCTGAGAATCGACGGCGATTGGTGCATTAACGTCGTTAGAATTAATTAGTCGAAATTGAAGCCAACGAATTTTACATTTTTGTTGTTGTTTTTTCTGTTCTTTTTTTCTTATTTTTTTTCTTTTTTGTAAATAACAGATTTTCCAAAACCGAACTTTACAGCGCGTTAAGTATTAAGTTAGAAAGGCTAAATAAGTGGGACAACCGAATTCCTTTGCGTTAGATTCTCGTTATCGCCGGTTAAACACCTACAAATCGAAACTATGTAAGTGATTATCTGTAAAAGTACTATGTTACAGTGAAAGAAGAAAGGAGTCAATAAAATTGAATATTTTTCATAGTAATGTACATGAAAGTTTCATCGTGCTTTCTTTTTACAATTCTTCAAACTTTAACACTACACTAATCCTGGAGCTTTTTAACAATGTTAATAATCCATACAGTACAAAACTACGTTATCAGTTATGAAAATTGCGTCGAAGATATAAACACTCAGTCTTCTTATTCATAAAAAGGACGTTGGCGTTGGATCGATGAACAGCTCCAGTAAAACTTTGTCAATTTTCAAGATTCTAGATTGCTAAGATTAAGCCTTAGTTGCTTGCCACCTGTTACTAAAGACAGCTTAAACTAAAATGTTAAAAAACCTAGTACAAATCATCGAAAACATTCAAGAGGCGTTTAAGTGACGGCGATATAAAGTAAAGCATTAATCTTTTCATAATTCGTTTCATTGTCCGTTTTTTTAATTCTTATGTTGTCTACGTATCGCCGAGTCTTTTTAGAAACTACAATAACAATTCCAAAAGTTATATACTATTTTTGAATTACTGCTTTTTACTTCGAATTAAATCCAATATTATGAGAAAATATGAAATAATAGGTATGTAATTACACATTTTTAAGTAGACAAAAAAGGTCTTTTTAAATAATAAATCGCTTATGTCTTGCAACTTACATTGCTAATTGCTTTTATAAAATCTTGTTTCAGATGAGACTTCATCCTCCCGGCAGCAATATCCCGTACAACAGCACGCGATTAGTAAAATTCGCATCGGTCGACAAAGACTTTCCACTGAAGACGACAAAGAAAAATTCAGTCTGATCGTCATGCTAGCTTTCAATTTTGAAACTATGAAACGCTTCATCAACTACCTCCACGCTTATTAACATATAGTCAATGGCATCTGTGAAACTTTAGTATAAGAAACAGAAAGTACAAAGTAACCGAATTAACGAACACAGCGATCAGTTAACTGCACGAATTAGTGCAACGCGCGATATTCTTATTTTTAAGTCAACCGAAAATGCTCTTTCCTCCACATGATACTTTTTATATTAATATACATTTATGCAAATAAACAAGTATTTTTATATAAACATTCGTGTAACATACATACATTTTATTTGTTACTTTGTAGGAGGGTAAGCTTGAAGGCTTTACAATTCATTCATTCTTATTAAAAGTTTAATTGAGCTTTGTGTATATTAACTAAGCATTGAAATAATATCTATCTTCTGATTACGTTTTGTAAACAAAAAAATTAATCAGTTGAGTTGTAAAAACTATTGCATGTAAAACATCCGGAAGTACATACTTAATTGCGGCTTAGGAACGAAGAAAAATAAATGAACCCACTAATCGTAATAAACTCTCAACAATAGTAAACTATTAATATCCTACTTAAATTCACTCCTCGCAAAAAAGATAAGAACATCGCTAAGAGAAGAGATTTTATACAGTCTACCCTAAATATAGTCACATGCTTTATACATTAAAATATTATTACTTACGTAGGATATACTAATCACAATATTTTTCAGCTGAAAATCTTCTATTGCAGCCACAAATATTACGAAAATAATAGTTGTGTTCTTTTTTTATATAACAATATACAAATATTGCAATCCCAAAGAAATCGTTGAAATGTGCCAAATAAAACATTTAAAAAAATGATCATTCGTTAATTTACTATGAAAAATAAATTTAATTTGTTAAAATACTAATCTTTAGTATCAATATTATATTCTTATGAGATTTTAGAAATGAAAATGTTGAATTCCTAAACATAATTAATTTTCGTGAACACATTATCAACGAAGAACTGAAAAGCAAAATTAATTTTTTTTCTAAATAGTCATTAAAAATTAAGTCACTTGTTCATGCAGTAATATATACAATGACGCGATGTATCTCAGTTCAGAATCATAACCGGCCACACATAGCCGTCCTCGAAGCTTCATAATACCAACTTCCCGCCATTCGACGCTCGAATTTGTGCAACCTGCTCAGGCGTGAGTATCAATTTACTTCCGTTTGGCAGTGCAAGAGCGTAATGACTACCAGTCTCGTTCACAACGACGACAAGTTGAGTGTTTTGTGCAGGAGCTGGTTGCACAGATGGTTTAACCGGACTGATGGAGATGTTACCTTCGCTCATACGTTGCACTAATTCTGGTGGAAGAGCAGGTTTTTGTAGGTTTACCGGAGGTTTAGGTTTGATAGGACTGATGAGTGATGGAGGTTTGCTCGGAGTAGCGGATTTGTTTGGAATTATCATCTCGATCTCATCATCACTGTCGCTCAGAACAATGAGCGACGTTGACTTTGGCGTGTTTGTCGAGGCATTACATGTTTTATTCGGTATCTGCATTCTCGGAGTAACCTGATCAAAAATGTAAATTATAAATAATCCGATGAAATCTGCAAATAAATTTTCCCAAATAGCGCATCAATTCTCACCTGGCGCCTCGTACCACCTCTCAGTTGTGCAGACCTCTGTCCAGGTCTGAGCACATTCAGCGCCAAGGGTGCGCTTCTAATAACAGCCCCATTCGGATGTGGGAAAGGTGGTCTACCTAATGTAGGCATTCTGTTGGCAGTAATATTACCCGGTGCTCTCATTCTAACACCAGAAATTTGCCGTGGAGGTGTGAGGGTCATCGTATTGATGATCCTCGGTTGAGATGAAAGCGGAGATGATTGTGCAATTTGTTGCTGAGGTGCCGCGACATATTGAACGTATTGCATAGGCTGCTGATTCGATTGGTAAATTAACTGAGGATTCGTCGTGGTAATGAACGTTGGACGTGGAGCAGTGGCAATAAGACCTGGATGATTCTGAACGATATAGTTTTGTGGTTGTCCCGTTTGTACGTAATAACTTTGTGGTTGCGCTACCACTGTGGGAGAAACAAATGCAGTCGGTTGAATAAATGGGCTTGGCTGCATCACAGCTGTCACAGACGTATTCTGTTGCTGCATAACCACATAATTTGCGTGACCTGTAGTCACTACCAGTAGGTTCGGCTGTTGACTGCCGTCATAGATCGGACCTTCGTCCTTAATATCTAATACTGAATGAAGGTTCGTTTCTTGTTGCGGCTGTTGTGTTAATGGTTTTTCTGCTTTTACTTCTGGAGTTTCTACTGCGGGTGTCTGAATTTCTTCCGGTGTCTCGGCTGGACTTGGTTGACTTGAAGGAGTTTTACTTGGTGTCGAAGATCGCATTGTTGGTACTGGTTTAGTTTCCTTCTCTTTGTTGAGTGATGTCGCTTGGACGGCATTATCTTTGTCTGACTTGATGTTGCTGAGTTTTTGGTGGAATGTTTTTAAACGTCGATTTGCCGCTGTAAATAAAAAATAGAACACGTCGATTGCGTTTATTATTGAAATTTTACGAGCTTGCCGTTTCGCAACTTACAGGGACGCTTATTTCTCCTCTGACGAGAGCTAGGTAGAATCCATTCTTTGTCCGAGTCCTCTTCTTCGGTATCGTCTCCCGAATCTTGGGCTTTCGCAGTAGTGTCAGAAGTGGATGTATCGGCCTGTGTGCTGGGAGTCGCGTAGATTGCCTCAATGTCGGCCCACCCGTCCAGCTGGTCCTCTTCGCTTTCTTCGTCGTCGGAGAACAACTGCTCTGTGTACGAGCTGATGCCACGGGCGCGCAACACTCGCCTGCTTGCCTGTTCGGGTTCTGTTCGCGACAAAAAATAATTGCTTTTTTTTAGTTTCACATACATTTATTTTCTAGAACCAATAATATGTACAATACGTACCTCCTCCGTCATCATCTTTCTTATCTTCATCGGCTTCGCGTCTTCTTTTGTCACCCTCTTCTTTTTTCTTTTTAATGGTACCTTGGCCGATACCTTTCTTTCCCTGACATCCTTGATCCTTAACTTTTGCCGTTTGATCGGTCGTCGTTTGAGTAGTATCTGTATCGCCTGCGACCTCGTCTGCCGCCGTCGACTCACGAGTTCCGGATACGGAAGAATGCGATAACGTCGCGACAGACGGGAAGGCACAGCCCTGTGAATTGACCAGCCAGCGGTCAGCTCCAGCTTCCGTTTCCTCGTCAACCACGCTACGGAACAACCAGTAAAAATAACCGTTCGATGGTTGCAGGCATCGTTACAAAAGTTTTTTTTTTATTGACCAGTTCATGCGACTTTTATTGTATTTTTCTACTATTAAATTACCAACACCTAGAGATGCAACAATACATGCGATATTTCTTGTATAAATATAGATGGGAGTATGAGTTAGTGGGATGCTTTTATAACTATGCCTGAGACACCATTGAAAGAACTGATTTTTACAGATTGGTAGGTGGTGGTCATGAGGTTTGGAGCTTATATAATTAAGGAGAATGAAGGATGATTGATTTTGTGGATGATTACTACTTTACTGATAATCTAAATAAGATATAGAAGATTTCACTTCGTGCGTATAAATTCTAATTTATAGTACATTACTGCTACCAATAGAATACTAATACATAAACTAGTTTACTAAACACTACTTTAGAAAATGGAAGTATACAACTAAAATAAGTATAGATAAGAATGATTGCACGATTGATAAATGCATGCAAAATGCAAGAATAATTACCCATTTTCAAAGTTGTTCCATTCTCGTTGAAGCTTATTTCTGGCCTTTTTCGTTGATTCTTTTAGAATACTATCAACGTTTTCTAAAGATGCTAGTAGTACTTTCATTCGTTTTAGGAGCTTATCTTCGCAAGCAGGTCTAGTAAAATACTACAAACAAAAATAGAAAAAAAAATTAATTGCTATTTATGAATGTCATCGCTGAGATAAACAATACTTACATCTTTCTCCGTTATGAAATCCGGAACAGTCTTATCAGAAATAACATAGTCAGTCAAATCCTTAAGGCTATCTAAACTATCCGCAACGAGCTGAAAATTCGAGACACTTAGGTCACACAGTAATTTATTGAAGTCATACACGCTCCAGTCTTTCTCACAATAATTTGATTCGTCCATCTGTAAATTTATTAATATTTTTAACTTGCAGTAATTATTAGCATATTAAACATACGCGCGTTACTTACCTCTAACTCAGGCGACGAAACTCTACAAATCTTATCTCTTAAATCAATCGAACATAACTCTTCGCTTTCTGACACATTCAAGGCTGTCTCGGCATCTTCAACTTCCATTTTGATCTCCGTAAAGTGTTTTATTCGTGCACTGCGTCTTGTTGCAGAGTCATCGTCATGAGACTGTTCATTCTCTTCTTTCTCTTTTGTATTCGTCGATTTGCCAAGACTAGTATTCTCATTCACGCATTCATCATTAATTAAAGTATCACAGTTTTTACTTTCAGACAATTTTTCATCATCCGATTTGGATATATTTACATCCTTAGTTAGGTTTGAACATGCTTCTTCGGACTTTTCCGTCACTTTCAAAACGTTCATTTCCTCAAGCTTTTCGTCGTCAGTTTTTGAATTTGTTGATACTTCATCTGATATAAACGAAGTACATTCTTTGTTGAACGTTATATCGTCCACTGTCGACTGTATCTGTGAAACATGAACCTATTAATAATACAAACTACTTTTTTAATGGAAATAAAAATTTATTATGAAAACAAACCTCGTTGCTTTGATCACTACAGTTATCAATCGTTTCAATATCTTTTAAGTTTTCTTTTTCCAAAACAATATCATTTGAACTGTCTAACCCTACAATATCTATAAAACTTTCCTCTGATCCAATATCCTTTGAATCATCATGCCCTTCATATTCCTTTTCTTCTACCTCGATATCCTTTCCACTCGTATCCTTCTCACTTTCTTCAACTACAATTTCCCCGGAGACCATAGTCTCGTACCCACTGGATTTTGTACTTTCTACTTCGGAATTTTTCGAACTTCTGGAGAAACAAGTGTCTATCGAATTGGAATTAGAATCGGCTGAATCAGTAAACGATAAATCGACTTTTTTCTTGGCCTTTTGCTTTGGTGGTAACGAACCGTTGCTCCAACGAGACTTTCTTCTCTTTCGACGAACTACCATGCGAGGTACAGCCTTCGGCTCCTCTTTTATAACTATTGGTTCTATCTTTGGTTTAACTTCTACAATTCGTGGCTGAAAAAATAAAATTACTTTTAGATTAAATGACTTAAAAACGATTAAAGCGTAGTATATAAAAAACACGCATAATTTTATTACCCTAACAGTTGACAACACTGAATTGTCGACACAGTGTCTATAAACCCTAAGGTCATTATGTAGAAACTGTGGGAAGTAAACGTAACGCGCTCCGTACCTATCGATGCCTAAAACAGTCTCACATTGACTCTCCCATGGCTGCTTCGCTATTTCATCCTGTATTGTTTTTCTCGAATGCTGAATCATTTAAGAATACAATGTTTTATCTGTCAGATTATGTTTACCTAATGTACATCGAAATTGATGTTTTACCATGGCAGTGTCGCAAATAGTTTTCAAAAGCCAGACTCTCTGTTTGAAGGTAAAGTCATGAAACTCCATACCTTCAATTTTATCAGCGCCAGGAAAAATTGACCAGAATTCCGGTTCGATTCCTAATGCCTCAAAAACCTATGGAATAAAGCATTTTTCCTGTCAATTAACTTTTATTTGAAAGCATCAATCAGATACGAGATAAAAAAGCAATTGAATTACTTTAATTGAATCTTCATGCTTCGTTTGATACATCTTAAACCAACTTCTCAGCTTGTATATTAAAATATTGGTCCAAAACTCGTAAGGCATCGGAGGTACTCTTTGCGATTTGGCTTTCGCGATAGAAGGTGAGCTAGATAAACAATGATAAACTCAGTCTACAATTCTTATTTTAACGTGAAATTACGCAACGACGACGACATGTTACCTTAACAAAGACGTCATTATGTGCGCCAATTGCTTGGAGGCTTTGGGCATAAGCAGCATCCGCTCTACTTCGTACATTGATAAATGTGAAATGTTGAGCGCCTCTTTGGTTAATTGCAAGAAGTGATATATCTGCGGTATCTAAAAAATAAACGCAACTGTCACGTAGCTATGGCAAAAATTTTCATTTTCATGAACCTTAAATGATTCGCATACCTCCCACATAGCTTCCATTTCATCTCTGAGATTCTCCGGAAGGATCTTATCCTTCTCCCACTCGCAAGTGGCTTTGTCTTCCACTGCCATTTTGCGCTTCCTTCCTCTCCTCGACATTTTTCTCAGCTGCAACATTGAAAAGAAATTATTTACAGGCAGAAACAATTAAGGGCTTCGTTGTTTGCGCGATACTCTCTCTCTACAAATTGACTGATGATGATTTGAGCAAGGAAACAAAGAAAGCCTATTTCGAAAAAAGTTGTTGGCAACAATTACGCCGAGGTCGCAACTACACACGCGCGAGATATGCTTATCTGAGTATCGAACATAAGATCTATTTTTTATTCACGATTTCATTGATTTGGGACGGGAACGACACGGCCTGCACAGACATAATCAATCCGTTTTATAACTTCAACTCTGCGAAACAAATATGTTGGTAATCCCGTACGACTGTCCTCTCAATCGCTCTCGACTAAAAAAATCACTCGACAATTCAATTAAATCGCGATTGGCTTTGTCTGAATGTTACTTAAGCTTTGTATGACCGTGTTGATCGGACTCTCGAGTACATCTTCAGGAAAAACGGTTTAGTCGCGGCGATCCCTTAACGGCTTAACTTTGACGTTGGACATCGACGTTGTCGAGTACTGTTTGGAAACTGCCAACGAGCGGTTCACCGTCCAGCACAGCCTTGTGAGCTTTTTCCGTGGGCAGATGTTGCTACACAGCCAGGTGGAAGCTTCGCGGATGCGCGAGTACGCGTTCGCTTTGTTAGCGGGATCACGGGAGGTGATTGCGCTAATACAGGTCCTGCGCGCAGCGTAACTGGCAACTTGAGTACGAGGCCGACTATACGCTGAAATGGTACGATTGCGCGGTACCGTATGCCGGATGATGGGTTAACGTTAAAAAGTTACGCACTAAGCAAGGGAAACGCGAAATTCACGCGATCCGTTTGTTTGATAGGGTTATAGTCGACATGCATGTGTGCGAACAAACGCACGACGAGCGCGTTCACGAAACGAGGAGGCAGATTTACGACAATTTCGAGGACGATGACGATTAGCAGAATGATACTGCTTCATCGTAAATTCCTGTAAACTTATCCCTATCAATGGCATTGTCGATCGACATGACGGCGCTAATTTTTCCAATATTTCGCTAGACATGGATGCAGCCTGCTATCCAGACTGTTACGAAATTGGCTACAGCACCGAAATATCAAAGAGCGTTCTCGTGTCTATGTTCGAGGCGGAGCATAAATATTTCGAGAAGAATCCGACGTACCACGAGTGAGTATATTTTCATTGAAGCGTGAAAAGATCCTTGTTTCGTCTGTTTCTCAGGAAAAACATTGCAATCGTGCACGTGTTTTACTCTTCTGCAAGTGGATTTAAATGTTTCGATTGGGAACTCTTTTCTTGTCGATGGGCTGATGGTTTCAGCGAATATGGAAGGATTGCTGACTCCGTTTGTGGGATTCAGTTTGTTGTCGGTGACGGACAACCTGTGGAAGGTTGCGCGTAACATGAGAAAACAGAAAGACTTACAAAGGCTCATTAAAAGGCTAAAAATTGTTTACCCGTTTGCTTAACAAGTTTCAGCCAAATAAATAAATAATTCAATAATTGTCAGGCTTATTTATTGTCCAATGGCAAAAATATCAAAAAACGTACGTATTATAATAATAATATATAATGTACACGTATTTGCGGCGAATTCAATACGGTCGGTTAACCTGACAAACAGTTGTCCCGAGCTTGCTGATTATTCTTGTTTCAGTTTATCAATGATGTGACTGATATTTTATGTATTCCGAGTTCTGTATCATGAATAATTACGAAGGAAATAAATCAAATTTACAACGCCAATCCAATGCTAGCGATTGAATGTAAATTAATTTGAGATGATTACAGAAATAAAAAAGAAAGTCAAAAGTGAAAATATTCCGAATAATTGCATTTCGTGTTGATTGTAATTTCCCCATGAGCGTTAACCTTACATGAACGTTCCGTAAACAAAACATTCACTAAGGCAAGAACATAAAGTGAGAAGTGGCGCTGTTAGCACAGAGCAAACATACGTTGGAAGCGATATCGCGTATACATTCGCCTGTGTCAGCGAACGCACGCGCGCGCGAATTTCTCGATGTTAATCGGCCAGCGTGAAAAAATTATCGCCGACGACCCTGCAGTCCGCGCCGGCAAGCTTTTGGCAATGTTTCGTTTTCCCCCGAAACCGGACGCGACATTTCGATCTGGAAAAATCCAAGCGGAAATCGAGTGCGTAAGGGGCTCAACAAGCGACTAAGTAGTGCAGGTCAATATTAGTCGGACGAGGCCTTTTTAGTTAGGCGCATATTTCAGTTGTAAGTTGATACAATGTCATCGTTAAGAATTATGAAGAAAAATTGACCCGACGGCAGCTCGGTAATTGACAGCGTGCCCATTAAAAAAAAATGTAAATATAGACCGACGTGTACAAAACAGCGTGCGGGTGAAAAGTGGCAACGGAAAAACACAGTCCTGGCGAGCGCAACCATTATCACCACCACGATCAAGTGCATATATTAGATATAATTCATTACTCGGGAAACGTTATTCGCGTTGGTTACGTGGAAGACCAGCTATTACAAGGAATTACTTTACTTCGTTTGTGAGTTTTAGTCTGTTATCTCTATTTTATTAAAAAAAACATTTTTTTTAACTTTCCGAAATTCGCTATAGTTAAAGCAAATGATAAAATAAGATAAAACGAGGAATAAAAAGCACAATCGACTGGATATTACGAGGTATATGATTCTTTTGTTATAAGTTAAGCAAATAAATAATTCCGACCTGTTAACTATCGTAGTATCCAATTATTAGTTCTTTGAAACACTGATACCGATGATGTCTTTTCGAAATTAATTTTCTCGAGTAACACAACGCTATTTTTAATGTAATGATCAATGCCACGTTGATGCTTTGTTTAGTCGGAGAAACGAGGTTACTCGGGAGCTGAAGCAATTATGAACGAAGAGGCGATTTGGCATCGATGTCATTCCAACATGCATAGGCCTAATAACAAATCAGACAGTTCGACGAGAAAAAGATCCGTCGGTTTGTCGTACGAGAACATCCAGATTAACTCGTCGGGTTATGCGCAGCACGAGGTGCGACTTTTGTTTATCTGTTAACTTACGTTGTTACGACGGTTCTTCATCGATCTTATTTGGTGTATAGTACCAACGCGTCAAATTGCAACATCCGCAGTCGCATCTAGACGTGGCCAACTACAGCAACATGTACAACGGTAATGCCGTTCGCAAGAACTTGATAACGAGTCAATCTTTCGGCAACGAGTAAGACGATTTCTTTCCAATTGCAATGGGTTTTCGAATGGTAAAATTCAAATTTAATACGTCGATTGCAGCAGGAAAAATTGTAACGATGCGTTTACGAAACCAGCGGATAGAGGAACTTTCAAAGATTACTGTGATCACTGCACTATCCACGGCTTAAAATACGTAGGCGATACGACTCTTCCGAAATTCGAAAGGTAAATTGTTATTATTTATTAGGACGGCTTCGCTTGATCGCAATCGTCATTGCAACTGGAGTCTAACGTCTCTTTCGTTCTCAGGAGCTTTTGGATGCTTTCAGTGGTGCTCGCGCTCTGCGGAGCGGCATTTTTCATCTGGCATCTGTACTTCAAGTTCACCACGACGCCAATCATCATATCGCGCAGCTCCGTGAGCGTGACAATCGATCAGATCCCGTTTCCTGCGCTCACCATCTGCAACATGAACAACGCCAAGAAAACCGTGGCCGACGAAATAAGCCGGGGGTAAGTGGAGCTGCTCTCGCCGATACCGTACGCGCTCGATAATGCCGCAGTACGTTGTTCAGAGGAGACGAGCTGCAGCAATTCTTACTTGACGACATTTGCGACAGGAAGAGCGACGCGGGCCTCGTCTCGGAGAGCGTGAAAAAAGAAGCCAGCAAGTCCGGCTATTTCCTTGATTTTTTGCGAAAGGTGGTGGTGGGCTTCTCGTATTTTCTGGGCTTGCCACGGCAATCTACAACGTGAAAATGTATGCACACAGGCATCGCAAAGCTGCTCGGACATGCTGTACTTCTGCAAATGGAACTCGAACGTGACGAATTGCACAGATCTGTTTAATCCCGTCTACACGGACGAAGGTCTATGCTGCAATTTCAATTCTGTCAAGAGAATACTCAGAAAGGGGTACGCGCCAATCGTTGTCAATGTGGAAATCAAACGTCTCCAAAATTCAATGATCCATTGTAGACGCAAATGGGATGGATTAGACATCTCGTGGGCTTCTGACAAGCACGTCGATTGGAATCCTGAGTACATGTTCAAGAAAACCGACCCAGCCATGGCGATACCGTGGCGTGGACGTGGGAGTGGTGTCAGTCATGGTCTAACTTTGGCGTTAGACGTCGACATTGGCGAGTACTATTGTTCATCGACGGCAAGCGTTGGATTCAAGGTTCTTTTTTTCATTGTTTTCTTTTTTCCTTCGAGAATGTCATGAAAAAAGCCGGGGGAAAAATTTGGTTGGATCGCGTGATCGTCGACAGATGCTGTTGCACAGTCCAGTGGAGTCACCACAGATTAGCGATTACGGCTTCACCCTGTCGCCTGGCAAGGAGACGCGGGTAATCATAACCCCTCACATTACCGACGCCGACAGTGCCATTACGAAGATAGCGCCGAAAATTCGTCAATGCTACTTCTTACACGAGAAGAAGCTGCGGTATTACAGGACTTACACTCAGCGTAACTGTCAACGCGAGTGCGAGACTAACTTCACCCTTCAGCTGTGCGGTTGCGTGCAGTATTACATGCCGGGTGAGAACTCCCGGAAGAGATCAAATATTATCAAGGGCTTGAAATTAATTTGCGCTTGCGTGTTGCACGGCAGCCGAAGCCAGCACGAAGCTGTGCGGAAAAGCCGAGGATCAGTGCACCACTTTCGCAAAGAAAGTTATGAACGACAAACTGGACGACGACGAGGAGAATCACAACATTTACAACTACACTGTGTAATTATTGTCTATTTAATTAGTACAGTTGCAAAAAACTCTTGCCCTTCTTGTCCTACGTGGATCTGTTTTTTTCTTTTCCATCAGTCTCAGTTGCAAATGTTACCCAGGCTGTTTCGAGATTAATTACAGCACGGAGATATCGCAGAGCATGCTGGTGGCTACTTTCGAGGTTGAAGATGAGTTTTTCAAAAACAATCCAGCCTACTACGAGTAAATGTCATTATTCAAAAGACGCATGCCGTTCAATGCGATCGCTCACTACACGATTTTTCAGAAAAAACATTGCTATCGTGCACCTGTTTTACGTGGATACGTCGTACATGAAGTACACGAAAAACGAGCTTTACGGATTTGCAGAACTACTCTGTAAGTGTTTCTGAAATTGGACGAACAAAATTGTTCATTTAACAAATATTTCAATTTAGCTAATACAGGAGGGCTATTAGGACTGTTCATGGGTTTCAGTCTACTGTCGGTAACCGAAATGTTGTATTACGTCATGCTAAGGATACGTACAAGCTTTCACAGAAACAGAAAAGCCGATAATGCTAAGTTACAAGTTGTTCCGGCTTTCACTAAAAGGCGAGCTGTCACGTATCCTTTCACTCAATGACCATTCATAAGAGTTTGATACGTTGCTATTCGGTATGTATACATAATATCAGTGAGGTAATAAAACAATTGAAGCGTTTTCAAGTTATAAAAATTTGTATATAACCTTCAATTTTATTACTTTGTTTCCAAACATTCTGCGGGGGCCATTCTTTTATCAAAAAAACTTCATAATAAAATCGGCGCTATCGTGGAATGGAAAAATGGAAACAAATTATAATTCCCGGATAACGGGTTTTCTTATAACTTGAATCTTGCAGCTATGACTAACGAGATAACAATAATACACAAGGTAGATCACATACCTATTGGCTAGTCGTGTTGAGTACACGCTCGTCTCTCGTTTTCTGTAACGTAAATCAGCAGCACGGATGGCTCAGGAGAGCTCACGCACGTGCCCTAACCTCACGGTGCAAAACTGACCCATCTCAAGTCGCGGATGGACGAACCGTATGTACTGATTTAAGATCGGCAGTATTATAAAATGTTGTACGATACTTGTGACTTGCGTATCCCATCGTTGTACAACGTGATTATCGCTCGTCTGTGCTCGGGCGCTAATATCACGCCGTGCGATAATGGGCTACTTAAGTCGCACGTATCGTAATACTATTAGATAACTTTCACTAGATTTTGTAATCAATTTCAACTGACTAGTAGAGCAAATAAAAATAATTGGATTATAACTGTTTATTGCCGCAAAGAATTTCTACCTCTATCAATGAATAAAGTGTCAATCTCAAAAACAAAAAGCGTCGGAAATGTAGCCGATCGAAGAATCTGTAACGGCGAAAAGAAAATTTATCGACAGCCGCGAACACGAATGCCGCTCGAAATGTGATTTTTTAGGCTGTACATATTACCCTAATTGTCAGATTTATTATAGCGCAGAAAATTATTATTATTATCTTATTTATTATTATTATTATATTATCGCACGGCAAGCTGGTGGCTACATTAAATTTGGCAAGAGTATTCAAAAAATAATGCCATTTACTCGGAGTGCATTTCCATTTTATTTGAAGTCGTTGCTGTAAAAAAAAATAACCGCGAGAAAAAACTTTGCTTTGTACACGTGTTCTACGTTGACACTTCGCACGTCAAGTACACGAAGAATGAGCTATTCGGATATACGGTATTATTATACCAGTTCAATAATTGACAATTATATTATTATGATTTTGACAGATTGAACGAAAAATAACCTTATGATTTATATAAATAGATTAAATAAATTATAAATAAATAGACTGTTCATGGGTTTGTCGTCTGTGGTAGAAATTGCATAATAAACTTCTAAGATAATTAAAACATTAACTAACGACGAGACGTGGCTTACCCTTTCGTGCAATTTTATACATATATTAACGAAATAATCAATTGGCTGGAAATATTTTAAATTTCCCCCTCCGCATCATGAAAACACGCCTCGGTCTTCATCTTAAAAACTCATAATTAATAAGTGAACTATAACAACCGCGTAATTGTGAAAACCACGAAGCCGCAAATGTCTATCATCATTAAAATGACATACTACTCGGGAAAGTAAGGAAAGAAAGCCGACAATAACATTGCACCGCATGCAACGCAATTTTTCACCGACAATGATTAAAAAAATTATCTTACCGTTCAGAGCATATGAAAATCCGATGAAGCTACGGCTAACCTCGTCTGTGGAAGTCACTTAATCGCGAGATTATTTCGAGGATATGTACTTGCATTAAGAAAACTTTACATCGTGGTAATAATCGCTGTCCCTCTGCTGCAACACTCTTTCGACGCCGCCATGTCAGCATCAGCATCCGCACTGCTATTACGTTATTTTCAGAGAGGCCGCATCGTGGCGCTAGTCGTTGTACTCCACGACCGTTTCTTAGCGCCGCCGTTTCTGCTCTCTCTCTCTCTCCCTCGCTCTCTCTCTCTCTCTCTTTCTCTCTCTCTCTCTCTCTCTCTCTCTCTCTCTCTCTCTCTCTCTCTCTCTCTCTCTGTTTTTGTTTTTCCTTATGCGCGTGTATACTGCACAGGTGGCTGCGTGGGTTGCCGGGGTGACTTATTATAGATAGGGGTTCCTCGTTTTATTTTATTTTTTCCGCAACCATATACGGAAATCTATCGGTTTACAATCAACCGCTTTTTCTATTCTTTATCTCTTTGTCATAATTGCTTGAAATTTCATTGAAAATTTGACAAAGTTCTAAATTATCGTAATTGAACAATAATAAAATGTTTCTTTTCCGAGTTTTGTACGTTTAAAAGGGAGCAGCACTAATCAATACATTTTTATTCTGAATCACGAGAAAAGTATCAAAAGAACACTTTAGTAAATATCGAACTCTGCATCGATTTTACATTGCTTATAACTTCTTACTTTACTTGCTAATGAGACTGGCATTCAATATTATAAAAAAATAATAAAATGTTACAGCTATATAATGATCTTGCACAACTCTCACTAGTAAACACCTCACTAACAGTTTTATAATCTTTTATATTATAATTTTTTATAAAAATCAAACATCGTCACTTGTTAACAAAAACACGTCAACTTACAATATTATAAAAATATGATAGAAAAAAAACGATGTAACATTGCTCCACAATTAAAATTAACTTATTACTTCACTAATCATAAGATTTTAATAATTCAACATATTTGGATTACTAAACATAGATTATAGTTACTTTTTATAACATTATATAAAAATGAAAGTTATAAAATTAAGTTAATAAATTGAAAATATCCATACATCTCGAATGAATAGCTCTGCGTAAGACGTGAAATATAGGATGAAATATTAATGAGTTTTAATAAATACTAATTAATTAAAATTTTAGAAAATATAATAGTATTGAAAAAATAATCGTAGGGTTTATCGTAATTGAAAACAATATTTAAAAATGAAAACGTCCACTGGACATCTTTATTATTATTCGAATATCTGTTATAATCGTGCACTAGTTGTTTAAATCAAAAATGTCATTTGTGACCTAGGCATTAATTAATATGATACACGTATACTTAAAAATGATAGCTCCTAGTTTTTTTTATATTGACAACAAACAGATTTGAAAAGACGCATTTGTTGCTCATCTCGTTTTTTCTTAATACAAAATTCTAGTTTATTACGAGTGAAATCGCCAAACAAGTTTTCCTTCAATTCCGTCACGATTATGATAAAGTACCACTGCGCAAAGCAAGTCAATTGTGCAACGATGTAAAAATACAAGTCATACACACACACACGTTTGTCCTGATAATTTGTGCATAAATCAAATGTCAATAGGGAATTATTTATATACTATACACATTCATCGTAGTATGGAATTAAGAACACCTTATGAAGTCGTGAAAAAAGCGCAACACAGTCACACTGGAAGACACTTCCATACATTTATCTCGACAATGTGGAAGCTCGGAATCATTTCCTTAAGACGCTTAATTGATTCGATAAATGGTGAGTTACTGTAAGAGGCGTTGAAAAAACAAAGCAGTTTTCTTCAAACTCATGTTTATTAAAATTATAAAGTAAATGTTGGTAATCGAGAGAAAGAGTAACACATTGTAGAATCTGCATATGTCGATGATAAAAGTAATTTTTAATCTGACCAATTCTTACGTATTGCGTCGTAAATCTGGGAATGTAATTTTACTGAGCACTACTGGGTCAAAAGAAAAAATTGAAATAAAGAGCCCCTTCCAGTAAATTCTACTTTTGTTCATGCCCTAGACAAAATGAATTATATATTAATGATCTAAGTAGTCCGCACGGATTGTTGCCTACAAAACACATTTATACACGCTTCATTTTTTATTTTTGCATGCATACACTTTATATGCGCATTTGCATCGTGGTTAACTGACCTCGAGGCCTTGCCCATATAGATGAATCATTACGTAACGCATAAATAAAAAATTGAAACAATGGACTTCTTCCGTTGACATACTCTGAGGATCAGGTATTCATAAATGTATTTACAAAATTCACTTAGTGCCTTTAAAGCGAAAAAATTAAACTTACAGCAAAAAAAAACTTATTATCACTGTAGATACCTTGAACTATTCACACGTAAACTATATAGTTAAACGCAATAACAACAGACTCTTAAATCATAAAGTCGTACTTTTTTGTTAATGCTCTCTCCGTCCTCTACAGAAGTAATAAAAATAACTTTGCTTGAAAAAGGAAATCGTGTGTATACAGAAGGTAAAGATCAAAAACTGTGGTTAAAGGTGATGACAAAAAGTCGTTCGCTCGCGACTGAGCGAAACGGGCGTGACAATGTTTCTAAACTAATCCGAAATACTGTAGCAGGTATTATGACCACGTAAGAGTTAACTAAACGCAATCTGCTATGCTCTATTTTACATGTGTGTTAACAATATTTAAAAAAGGAAAATACAAAGAAAGAGAAGTATGATTCGTTCCCGATTACCTATCCGTGATTGTAGATTTCATTTGTTTACAAAATTGTTTTCAGTATAACATTTTTAAACAAATGAAAGTGTTATCGTCTATACATGACTTAATATCGGGAAGAGGACAACGTACATGTAATACGAGGGGAGCATTATAGATGCTTGCTCTCTTTTAAAGCCGTATTTATTTTCTTTTATAAAATTTTAGCGATCGGTGGCTGTCGCATCTAACAAGTGAAGATATAAAAAAGTTATGTATACACGTATTACGTAGACAGCTACTCGTCGTTTATAAACTAGTGATCACTTACATAGACATCATTCATTCTCTCTTTGCTTTAGATTCCTCGACAAGACATCAGTAATCTTTACTTTTATTTTGCGTTATTAAAGCATTCCGCTTAATATATTTTTCAAAAGTAAAAATGCTGAAAGAAGAGTTCAACAAAATGAGTTTTCAGTCATTTAAAAGATTAAATGATCTCTCGTAAATATTAAAAAAACAATAACCTTGACAAGTGCACGATTTTATAAAGCGTATATTGCACCGATTTTTCTTTTAGATTTCAACGCGAAAAATCATTTTGCGAATTGCAAAGCTAAGTAACAAAACCGTACAAATAAAAAAAAAGAAAAAAATAAACTAACATCATCATCATCATCACCATCATTATCATCCTCCTCCACATGTTCCTCAATCGAGCCAACATACAAAAAGCGCTTATAAAAAGTATTCACTGTCGTTGAAAGTTAGACTAACCATTCTTTTTTGTTTATGTATATATAATATGTACATTATCTGCGTATCAACACGATAACTGTACAACTCTCTCATGTCTCCGTTAAATAAACACAATAATGAACGGTTAAAAATTAGACAATAAATAAAGACACCCGCGCGAGTCTCTGAACACGTTAAACTGTACACAGGCGGGTATAAGGTAGCGAAGAGTCACTGTGTTCAACCGATGAGCGCGTATCTGGGTCCATCGGAGGCGGACACTCATTTAGGCTCTGGGAATGCCACCTGACACTTGTATACTTCCTCAAGCATGACTCCTTGGCCACTCGGTGCTGCGGCATTTACTACCACCACTTGTTGTCCACTGCTGTTGCCTTGGGAATTGCGGGACGACGTTTGACCGTACTTTTCGTGAATTGCTCGGTGACGTTTCAGGGCAAATCGGTCCGAGAAGCCGATCTCACAGATGTCACATCTACGGAAGAGGCGAACCAAAGTCAATTAAAGTTCATCAGTGTGGAGTTTGAAATGTCATTTGACTCATTTTGTGCTAGCGAGTATCCAGTGTTTTTGCCTCTTACTCGTGAAATGCCAATTATTTTTCGCCGGTGAATTTTGACGAGGGACTACCAATACCTGAACGGCGGTTTCAGTTTTATTTTTGTTGTTTGTTTTTTTATTATATTTTTCATGCGTTTTATGAGTAAGCTATAAATTGGTACCACTGCTGAATTACAAAGTTTTTAGGAATTGAGGATAAGTCCAGGTATTGAGTGATCGACCTCAGATATAACAAGCATTTTGCTAGAATATCCAAAATTTTGTTAAAATTTTTAAAGGAGAGTGGTAAAAGCGCAAAAATACATTGAATGTTTTCCAGATTTATCACCATGTACTTGAAAAGATGAATGCTTTATAGATTTCTGTTTTTAAAAGAAATGTTGTTTATGATAAGTGATAAATACTGGATGAATAGTTCGTAATATTAGTGGAAAATATATTTTTACACTATGCATTTCTGGCTTTTACCTACCTCGTCGAAGATCCTCTAGGTTGACGACGCCTACGAGTAATATTGCAAATTAGCAAAGATTTTAACAAAATTTTCTAGCTATTTTGACGAAATATTTATGAAAAAACGGTAAAACTAAGCAAATTTACGCCTAGCGATATTTTCTTATATGAGAAGAACAAACTACTTTTATTTTATAAAAAAGAAAATCTGATCATTTGCTTAAAACATTATGAGATTCTATTTTATCGAGTTTCTTTTTCTTACAATTCAAATATTTTTTTAGCAATAATAATTGATATAAATACCAGATATCATGATCTTACTTTGTTGAAAGTAATAATTCAATGATTTGATTTATTATAAAAAAATAATCTGAATAAAAGGCAAAAACATCGATACTTTCGTATAAAAAATATTGGGATGAATTCTTAATAAGGTGATAGGAATAATCTATCATGAGTACATGAGTATGAAGCATGCAACGACGATACTAATGAACATTAATCTTTCGTTACTGCATTTTTCATGATATAATTTATTCATAATAATCTTTAGCTTGAACAAATCTATGTAAATGAAAAAAATTTCTTTTGATATTCTAATGGCGAACATAACGAGGATTCTCTAAATGTAACAAAATAAAAAAAAAGAGAGAAAGAAGAGCTTATATCGAACGATGCACATGCACTCGTCGGTCTGGGAATCTCAAGAAGTGACCACCCGAAAATTACCTATGCGGTTTCTCGCCGGTATGAACTTTTGCGTGGTTCTTAAGATGCGTCGCCTGATTAAATGCCGAGCCACAGATGTTGCAACGATATGGTTTCTCGCCTGTGTGGATTCTACGATGGTTCCACAATGTCGAATGCCTTGCAAAGGTCTTTTCACAAACTTCACACTGGTAAGGCCGTTCGCCAGAATGAATACGCTCGTGATTCTTGAGATGTGGCGACTGCGAAAACTGCATGCCGCAGTGACTGCACTTGAATGGTTTCTCACCTGTATGCACACGACCATGGTTCTTTAAGTAGGCCGCTGAAAATAAAAATTGGACCATTAATGAGGAAGTTCTAGGGTAAAATAATCGTATCGAGGGTCAACTTGGCTGATCATGTAATATTAAAAGAATGGTTGAAAAATCCACAATAATTTATTTACTTTTAACATCTTTTGAACGTGTTGAAAGTTTTCCGCTTATTAGCTGCTATTTTAGAAAACAATTATTTATGTTAAGTTTACAAGCGCTCTCAAATTTCCTTGTTGTGTTAAAAATAAAAATTTTATGATATTATATCCCTGAATCTACAATGCGGCAAAATCAGCCAAATTGAAGATTTAACAAATTCAACATGTTACCTTTAGCAAATGCCAAGCCACAAACTTCGCATTTGAAAGGTTTATCACCAGAATGAAGTCTCTTATGAGACCATAGTGAAGAATATCTGGAGAATGTACCGTCACAAACGTTACAATGGAACGGCTTCTCTTGTTGTTGACTATTCGCTTTTCCGCCTGTAATTGAAAAATGCATAGCATACAATTAGTTATCCTCCAAAAGGGCCAGTTCTACAAAAGAGATTTATTGCTTAATGAAACGTTTTTTATCATGATTACACACATCGCGATCTATATTTTGTTGGACTTATTATTCTTTTTTGTTTTTTGTAAAAATAAAAAATTATTTTCCTTTCACGGCAAATTACTTTGAAGGTGTTACGTACTTTTTTTATTAATTTTATGCATCTCGTGTGTTTTGTATTTTTAACAAATATATCTGAAAATTTTCTTTTTCCAATATAAGCAGAAGTAAGTGAGAAAGTAAAATACGAATCGAAATTCCACATTTACATTTGTATCACAAAAGAAAATATTCAGATGTAAATTTGAATGATAATTATTTGTCCACGAAAAAAGTGTGATCAAGTGTTGATATAGTATCAAATTTATAAAACTGTCCCTTAGGGGAGAGGTTTGGCTCTGTGATATTGTCTTAAATTTAGATGTTGACAGTTCTTGCAACAAAAAAAAAGTTAAAAAAAATATTCAAAGTAAATTTCTAAGATTACCAAGTATTGTTAACAACAGTCTGTATTCTTTTACGGTTGTCACAGAGTAAAATATCATACTGCTGAGTTATTAATGTGTTGCTTCTTGTAAAGTCATTAAAAATACTTGGTACAGTATACGAACAATTTACTATTTCAAAATAAAATCTAACTACAACACAAGAGGCATGCATAAGAATCAAATTTCTCAATTTTATAGAACTAGTATAAAATTTACAAAAGAGATTGAGAAAAATTTATGAGTTACTGAGAATAAAACAAAGTATTCAGATGAAACAGTAAGCTGCTATAAATTTTTCTCAATATAAAATCAAAACCATCAAAACTACTGAGTACCCAAATGATATTAGATGGCTATAAAATAGTTATGAGAGAGGATAAATTAAATTGAAAGCATTTATATATTAAAAAAATAATTAAGAATTTTAAGAATAGAAGAGACGACTGTAAAGACAAAAATGAAAAAAAAAATAGCGGAACTGTCACCATCTAAACAACGACTGGATAGGGACATTCTTTATAAATAAAAAAATAATAAAAAAATTTTGGCTTCAAAGATTTGAAAAAAGGATTCCCATAATATTCGTGGCTGTGATTTTATGTCCAACTTACTTCCTATGATGATACGGCCCGTCGCCTTGCAGCCGCTACACTTCGCGAGGGAACTGTATCCGGATTCTACTTTTGAATCGTTGTGTTTACCTACCATACACCATCATGTACGATCATGATAGCAATGAATTGTGAAATGAAGGAACTGGCTTATGCCATACAAGAAATATTACTCTTTCAAAATTTCAAAGAACATAAATTATTAACACAATTATTTTCTTTCAAGTTTTATAAAGTTAAATAAGTATAGTTATTTAACATATAAATAGTTATTTAAAAATGTATAGTTAAATAAGAGTTTTGGAGTAATATTTCTTTTTTTTTTGAATTTGAGTTTAATGCAAATAAAATTAACTTACCAATGAAGATTATGCCTGTTCCATTACACTTGTGACATTTGGTCACACTGGTAACACCTCGCCGTTTCACTGGATGATGACCAGGTTTGATAACTGCACAAAAATGGATCCATTGATTGAGCTATATTTGCGATACGTCATTAAAACTTAATAAAGTCTAACATAAAAACTTACTCTTTTTAACTTTAGTAGGATGATGTTCACAGGGATCCTCGCTCCCGCAGTCCTCGCAGATCTGCACTTTAGGCTTGGGATGCATGTTTGTTTTGTGACTCTTCAATTCGCCTGGCAAAGCAAAACATGCGCCACAGATATCACAAGTGTACGGCCTCTCGGGAGTGGCGGCCACAGTGACGGTAGTAGGTGCTTGCACGACAACGTGCTGTTGTTGCTGCAAATTACTTGGAGTCGAAGTATGCACACGTTTATGCATGTTGAGCAGGTTAATGTGATTGAACATTAATCCACAAACGTCGCACTTGTATGTGGTGCCCGAATTGCCCGACGTTGCTAGACTCATGTGATTGATGAGGGTATTGTAACCAACAGGTTGCACGTCTAACCTATAGCAACCTTTGTCATCAGTCGTTATCGAACCTATCGTTCCTACGCTACCTTGCACTTTTTGCATCAAGTTAACGTTATAGTAAAAAGGAAATTCCGTGGTTGTTTGGCCTTTTTCGTCTTTCTTCTCTGTCGTTGTCACGTACATTTGCGCTTGTTGTGTCTGTTGACCTTGATTAGCCTGCTGTTGAATCTGTTGATCGAACATTGTGGTTTGAGCCTGTGACAAAATGAATTGTTATTAGTATTATTTTCGTCCTTTAGTTATATATTGTCATTGAAAATTCTAAAGACTACAATGAACAGAGTCACATATGTATAAAAGAGTAAATAAAGCAATGTTTTACAGTGATTTGTTTCATTCTCATTGATAAATGATGAAGAAAACTAATAATAGAACTACGAAGTAGAATCATGTACTGAACAGAATAAGTATCTACTACATAATCTGGAAATAAGCAAAGATAAAAATGTGTATACTATGCAAACAATTACAACTTTCTAGATACCATCTAAAAATGATGTCTTTGAAATCACCAAATGTCTAAAAAATGACTTGACAAGCAATGATTGTAATGTTGAATGATGTATGTAAAAAAGTGGCAAAATTGTTAATGACAAGGTATACGTACATGAGTTTCCTCATTGACGAATAAATTAATAAAAATTTGTGTAAACTATTAAAATCACTGAAAGTCATTAAATTAACTATTATAATCAGCGCTAAAATGAAAATAACTGCAGTTTTTCATTTTTAATTTCAATGTTTGAAATTTTATATTAAAAAAAGTTAGATGAAATTTGCCAATGATTTCAAAAACACAAGACAATCAAAATCTAAAGAAAACATACTAAACGTAAAAGTCTCCAATACAAAAAAAAACTGACAAAATTAACAATTATACATTACTTGACTCAAATTTCACTGAAGTAGCAAAAGAAACTCCTTGACTCGATTTGTCTTCAAAATTTTGTGCAGCGTGTGGGTGAAACAGTTGTAGTAAGTCTCACCTGCCGCTGATCTCCGTAATTTGAGTTGCTTTGCTCAGTTTGCGTGTAGCTGTTAGTCTGCTCTGTTTGGGTGAACATGGAACACTTTACTGGTGCCTGGATCTGTTGACCCTATTAAAAATAGATTTTTGTTTTTTTGATTCAAATAAAAATTTTTTTCAAACATAGAATCTCTGCCTAAGCGTCAAACGATAGAATTGAATCCATTCAGAAGTAGAACAAGAGACCTTTGTAAGAAATTACCTACATGTTTAAATAATAAAATCATTTTGTTTTGAATACATTCTCTCTAAGCTTCTTACTTCATTTTTCATAAAATTCTTTGGATTATGCGTGTTAGCGCATACCTGCTGTATTTGATCAGCTCGAGTTGTGCTTAACCACAGCACGTTGCTACCATTCGATTCTAGAGCCATTGATGTGTTGCTCTAAACCCTGCACAATCATTAGGCAATGGGACATTATTTACAATTCATTTAGAAAACTTAAAATTGCTATTTGCCTTTCCTTTTACAGAGTTAAATTGTAACAGTAGTTTAAATGTTCATTTGCATACAGTTAAAAACAAATTTTGTTTGCTAATATTACTTGCAAAAGTAATACTATTATCATATTAGGTGGCTGGTAATAGCATGATGGAGAGATACTACATGTAACTATTGCACAACGTGCAAAAAATTTAAAAACTTAAATTTTTCAAATAAATCAATTGAGCATTTTAAACTAATTTTTTAACAGTAACTATAATATTTCTCAACAACGACATTAAACTTGAAAAGTATGAGACATATGTGTATAAGCAATAAAACTCTTTCAAATTCTAACCAACAAATTCGGGACAAGGACGTTATGATATCAAATGGCATAAATTTATAATTCATAATTATGGAAATATTTTAGAAAATATAAAAATACTAACAATGCTGTCATGAAATTGATGATTTACAATAAAAATGAACTAAGTTCGTAAAACAAAAATAATTTCTTTGTGGAATTATTTTTTCCATTTAAACGTTCAAATTCAACGTTTTTTACCCAATGCAGCTTTCGAAAAAAAACATTAATTCATGTATACGAGGTAAACAGACTGATTAGTAGTCTTAAGCGAATGCCAATGAAAACAGTGAAGCAGTCAATAGTTAAGGCAATGACATAAGGCCGAAAGATGTTCGAGTCAATAAGAGCATTGTAGATCGCGTGCAAATACAATATCGCTGCGTGTATAGTATTTTGGAATGAGCGAACGAGCGAGCATGATAGCTAGAAAGAGAGAGAGAGAGCGTGAGAGAGAGAGCGTGAGAGAGAGAGAGGGAGAGAGGTAAAGCGAGAAAGAAGCAGGTAGGAAAACAGACGATCGGCTAATCAAAATGCCCCCGTAGAAGCCTCATTACCTCAATCGTCGCTTCGAAATGTTTTTTTTCTCACATCGTCATTGGTAGGTTGGCTTCACGCACAACTGCAGTAGCAGCAGCTCTCTGCTGAGACAACAACAAAAAAAACGAGTCCGTACGTTTTGTATATCTCTCAGCTCATGGTTTTCAGGCAGCCGCGGAGAGAGCAGAGTAGCCTGAGAGAAAGAGCGAGAGAGACAGATAGAGAAAGAGCGGCGGACCAAAGATATAGAAGCAGCAACTGCACACACTGCTAGCGCGAGAGAAAGAGCGAAATGGCGAGAGAGCCTCTATAAGCTGCGTCGAACGAACAGAGAAGGAAAATGGCCGCGCGCGAGCGAGAGAGGAGACGCGCGAACAACACATGAACGAGCGAGAGGCACGGGTTCCCTCGTTATACCCCCACCACTCGACTCCGAGAACTAAACTCCAGTCAAGTTTTAGCAGCGTCCCGTTCCCTGTGCAGCGCCGCCGCAACAATACCGCTTTGCCCAGGTGCTCTTTGCTGCTGCTCACTGGTAGCCGAGCTGCAGCTATATAATGTGGGCCGGAGAAAGCCGAAGAGAAAGCCCGCCGCCGGCCTAACTGCGCGCGCAACGGTTTTAGCTCTCATAGGTTAAGCAGAACTTGATGAGGAAAAAAAAAAGATTTTTATCCATGGCTCCAAATTGCACCATCAAAGTTTCTCGACAGTAAGGAAAAAAGAGCGCGAAAAACTTAACCTCGAAAAACGAGAGAAAAAAATTCACACACAGTTGGGAATAACTCTTTCTCCCCCCCCCCCCCCCTCCCCCTCTACACAGCACACGTACATACGCACGAAAAATCTATCGGTCTCACTTTAAGTCAAAAGTTTCTTGCTTCGAGTTATACCGTTCGATCGCTCAGTGTGTACGTACGTACTTGCCTCTCTGTCTTTCGGCAAGGGAATGGCTCTGTCCTTGTTCTCAAGCTGACACACGATACGGCCATATGTCTGTCTCCGTTGGTGAGCGACACGCTACTAAAGCGTCTCTTTCTCACTCACACACATCCCGAGAAAGAGAAGAAACAACCAAGCCAAGGTCGTTAGAAAGACGAAGAGGCAATGAGCTACCTCATTGGTTGAAGCAAGAGAGAACGACGCGTGCGGCCTAGTGGGGATTCGTTAAAGGCGCGTTTACAGGAATTGCTTCAAGTTCCAAGTTTTGCGCGGGAAATTTGAAAAGTCATCGTTGCCGCGCTTTGCTATTCTATTTCTCATCAGTTTTAATAAAAAAAATATATATTTAAGTTGAATATTTTCAGTCTCGAGTGTTATATGAGAAATTTTAAACTTCAGCATTATCGCGTGATTTGTCAAATATCTAACATTAACAGAGTTTTATTCATTCAGAAGTGCATATTTGATCTGCCAAATATTGTGATCTTCGTTGAGGATATAGAATTAAAAAATATCGAAAGTACAGTAAGATTTGCCAAAACTTGGAAATTGTAATTAAAAATATTAGCAAAAAACAAATTAATGGAAGAAAGTATGAAAAAAGTAACACTGTTTTCTCACATAAGTTTAAGTAGCTCACAAAACATTAAAAAGATGTAATATATGTAATAAAATCACGTTCAAGCAAGGAGGCAGCAGGCAAGTATGTTTTTATAATGAGGCAAAGAGCTCATCATGAAAGGGGTTCAATAGTGCCAAAGAGACCTAATTACCCTAATCCATTGATGTCTGTCAGAGTCCTCCATATAGTCATGGCGGCAAATACTGCTGCTGGGGTTGAATTCAGATAATCCTCGTGTCAACTGAGATATCACTGGCATTAATTCATATTCACAACCTTATACTCTCAATGAAGAGGTCTGTATGTCCGTAAAATCTGAAGCGTTCAATAAACTAAAGCTAGTCGGATTTTTAAACACTGTTGAAGTTTCAATCTGCATAGATTATAGACTAGCCAGGCTCGAAAGCTTTCCAGTCTCAAAGCTTTCAAAGCCTTTTGGTAGCCAATCGAGTCACCCTCCTCAGAGCATCGTTGAGAATGCATAGTTAATGTTTGAATAGCGCCCGAAATTAAGCAACCACGAGAGCTTCGAGTCACCTATAAAGACCCGAGCTTTTTTACCGAACGTGAGACGAGTCAAGCCGAGCTTTCGGAGATGACTAATTTTCAATTTTGACTCAGCCGCGCAGCTTGTATTTCTGAATGCTCGAGGAAATGGTGTGGATCGATTGTGCGTTCTGCTTTACTAGCCAGCTCATATCTCGTCATTTTTGTCTGCGGACGTAGAACAAAAAACGGCACACGCGCGCCAGTAATTACTATACCAGGGAAAAAAGTTTAGAGGACGACGAGAGAAAGGAAAAAGCTCGGTCCATCTATTTGCTGTGATACCTCAGCGCTATAGGCGCCGAAACAACTTTTTCAACTTTCCAGAAGTTGTTTAGTCAGAGCAAAAAAAAATAATAATAATGTCAAGCAAGGGTACGGTATTTGTTCAAGTTGGATAGCAAAAGTTTTTTCATGCACACTATTAGATCCCGAAGATGTCTAGTATTCAATGTTATTTAATATATATGCGAGCGATCTAGTAGTGAAAATTCAAAGCATCCATGTATGATTCATGCTGTTTACGCGAAACTCAAAGACACGACTCGTCGAGTTAGCCATCCGACAGATCGTTCACTCCACGATACGACAGTCAAAATCACGAGGAACACCGAATAAAACCTAAAGCGCGTGTTTCTATCACTCGCAGCTCGGAATCACCTCGCGATCAACTCGAAGAGTACTCGCCTAGAAGAAGAGCCGCGATATTTCGTCGCCCCAAAAATAAACATTCGTAAAAAGGTCGCCATCAGTCGCGGAGTTCCGTAAGAGCGACGTCGCGGCTTTATTTTTACGTCTCTCACCTCTAATCTCAACGCCCTCGCATCTTTGTGAATTTATCGCTGATCCCCTCTCTCTCTCTCTCTCTTCTCGTCCCGCACTCTCGCGGTGAATTTATGGGTGTGCGTGAGCGACGAGCGGCGAGAGAAGAAAAAAAATAAGAGAAGCTTTTGCCCGAATGACCAGAAATAACGGCACGCGCGCGTGATAGCCGCTCTCGAATCATCCGTGAATTTTCGCGCGCCGACGTTAGCCGTTCGTTAATAATAGGATTCCGGCAATTAGCTCGAGAGCTCGCTCCAAGCGTTTGCAAAACAGACGAACTAACGTGTCGCGCGTACGTCGCTCCCACAAAATTGCCTATTTGCACTCCGATTACAATCATCGCACGAGTTTCGCGCCCTCTCTCTCTCTCTCTCCCTCTTTCGGTTCCGTCTGATCGGAATTGAATACTTCTACTTCGCGGCGTGTACGTCGATACGCCTGGCAATATATCCTCCTCGAAGTGATATTTTTCGCGATTCTCTTTCGTCGGGAGAGAGGCCGTTTCGCCGGCAAATCGGCCTGCAACACTTAGCCGCGCAGCGTATTACGCGCGCAGAAAACGGTCGGTGGGTATTTGCCAGGGCGAAAATGCGCGAAGCCTCTTAATATCCCGAAGCGGCTCTCGACTTACTTCGCGTTTGAAAAAAAATTAATAAATAACAAAAAAAGCTCCTTCCTGCATCGCTTGCTCGCGGATAGGAGGGCGAGGCAGGGGAGGGGGTCGAACGGAGCGAGCGCGACACACACCCGTGCGTGAATTTCCATCGTCGCGGCTCCTTAGGCGCGCGTCGATTTTCATGCGTGCGACCGTGCGCGCGGTCGATAGCCGCGACGGCGCAGCACACCCGAATCCGCGGGCACGGGCTATTTTATCGGCGCGCGAGCCTCGGTTGACGACATGCCGCGAGAGGCAGTGCTTGCTCGCGCTGCCCCGGTGTTGGCCTAGCGGGGTGTATGCGGGTGGCGAACGAAGGCGCGGGGTTCTGCAAGTTTCCCGGCGATCAAAGGGCAAATTGCTCTCGTTTCGCTCTGCTTGTTGCCGGCTGCGTGACTTTCCAACGGGAATTTCACGATCCGGGAAAGGGAAATGACGCCGCGACAAAAGGCCGAGCGCGCCTGCAGAGCGCGAGAAACTTATCTCGCGCGGATCCGTAAACGCGGCCACTTGACGTCTCTTTGGCCGCTCGGCGACTTCCATTTCCACTAGCCTTGCCAGCCGCGCCAATCTCCCAGTCCTTCCGTCGCGTGACGTCACGCCAGCAGGACAAATGTTATCTCGTCTAGGAAAACGGAATGTATCGTTCTCGACGCACCTGAGAGAAATTACGAGGGAGGATATACGGTCGATGTTTGAATAAGGCGAAGGCGACCTGGAACAGCTGATTCGTTGGGATTATTGCCGAGTGTTCTAGTGATTCGGCTGAAGATTCATGTATACATTTATAGATTTTGAAACGAATGATGCAAAAAGAAGAATTGAACCGCTATATCCATCTAATTGATGTTAAACTCTTTTCGATATCCAATGTTCAACTCGTAACATCTGTTCCATCCAGTAGCAAAAAAATATCGAATCGCGTTCAGTGAATCAGCTTCTCTTTAACATCATTTCCGGAGTAGGATGGTAGTAAAAAAGGAAGAAACCTTCGCTGATGTACTTGTGCTACCGTAATTTCGCGATTCCCATGCGTTCGGGCGAACCAATTAGACGCGAGTTGGTCGAGAAGCTTTGCCAGAGAAGCCTTCGAGAGACTGAGAGAAGCTTCGATAGTGTATGAAATGTTTGACCGAAATATCACGCGGATCGCTCGTCTATAGATCGCGTCGCGTTGTTTTCCTCGCAGGACGCGGTGTTGGGCTCACGACGAACGAGAGACGCGCGAATGCTGTGGCCGCTTATCCGACGAATTTTTTCCAGAGAGACGCCTCGCTGGCTTTCAAGGCACCTAGCGCCGGCGCGTTCTCCCGAAGCTTTATTAAAAGCCCGCTGTCTTTCTTCGCGCCTTGCGAAATTCCGCGCGCGCACACACTTGCCGTCGGCGAGGAGACGAAATTGTTTTTGGGCCGCGCGGCAGCGCCCAGCGTCTGCGAGAGCTGTTTATTAAAAAAATCTTTATTAGCCCGCGCAAAACGTGTCGCTGGGTTAGGGGGAGGGGAAGGGGGGTCGAGAGAGGCCCGTGGAAAATCCAATTGCAGCGTCGTGCCGCGCGGTCGCGGGAGAAAGGGATGCGAGAGGCCATGCGCGGGAGGGAGGCGTCGAGCCGGCGACTGCGAGTACAGCCGTACCCGAGAAAGCCAGCCGGATTATTCGGTCAGTCGACGGTGCGACGCCGCCGCGCGAGGCTGCTGCGCCGCGACGCGATCTAACGTTCGTCTGCCTCGCGATCCACGTGCTCGTCCCGTCTCGTCGCGCGCACCACGGAGAACCGAAGGCAAAGGACAAAAGTGAGCAGTTCGCGTTGTGGAGCGAGAAAGCCAGTGCTCGATCGTTCGCCTCGCTCGCCTCCTTCGAGAGGGTTGCAAAGTAGACGTTACACCTACGCGCGCGCGTAAGATTGAAAGTTATTTCGAAATGACACGTCGGCGCGAACGACGTGGATTGATCCGATCTTATTTCGTTCCTCGCGAGCGTTTGGATATGTGAAATAGGCAAAGCGAGAGCTTTCGTCCGCTCTTCCCAGCTCGCCCCCTCCCCTTCCCCTTCTACCTCGATCGGGGGTACCGAAAAGAGCGGGAAAGGATCGATCGCGCCGCAATTGTATCGACGCACATAGCCAATCGAGCGATCACGCCCGCGGCGGATTCGCTTCGGCCGATCGTGTCGGATGACTCGTGACGCGCGGGAGAGCTCTTTTCCTCGCGTTATGTCACGAGGAGCCGAGCAGCTGCCCTTTCCGACGAGCGGGCGTTAATGATCGCCGATGACGCTCCGAGAAAAAGAGCGCGAATACGCGAGCGCTAATTAGCCGACGACGATGTAACGTCTGCGCGTGTGCTCGAATCCGCGCGCTATTTATACGTGGAAGAGCTCGTGGTCCGAGGAGTAGGCAGCGGCAGTCGTGAAAACGAAGAGGCGCGCGTCGGATAATCCATAAAGACGAGGCGACTCGGCTGGACCGAGGCTCGCATCGCCTCGGGGGTTATCTTTCCCGCGGAAGGGCTGCCACGTGGCGCTCGTCTTCCGCTTCCCCGGCCGGCGCAGGCGATCGCCTCGCGAGCGGGCTTCGACTTTTGACGGGTGCCTGCGCTGGGCCAGCGGCGCGTTAATTGCCCACGTTGATATATAATTCAGTGACGGCGCGACGCTCGGCGGAGCCGCGTTCAGAGCAGTGAGTACACGGCGGCAGGGGCGAAGCTGGAAGACGCGGATGGTCGATTGGCAGGGATGTCGGACTCGCCGAAGCCGAAGCCGGAGAAGCGTAAACTGCCGCCGAGACCGAGGATCCAGCTGCCAGTGCCGGGTCAGTACGTGCCGCGGTCGTATCCGCACACGCCGTCGAGCTACGTCAGCGGCTCCTATGGCCAGTCAGCGTCGATGCCGATGACGCCGATGACCGGGCAACCGACCGCCGTCGTTTACACCGACAAGACCAACGAGTTTTTCACGCACCTCAAGGGCATCAAGAATTGGACCAAGTCGGGCTTGAGCGTCGGCGAGAAAAGCGCTTTCTGGCTCTACGAGAAGGTGAGCGCCGACAAGAGAGAGAGAATAACAAAAAAAAAACGCTCGCCCGAGTCCTTTCGGCGCGCTCGTTGCTTGCTCGTTGCTGCAGTCCCTGCCCACCGCAGACTCTTCTCGATGACGAACGCCGAGATTTCAGTCAGGCCGCGAATCGAGGCTGGCGCGCATTTGTTTGTCCTGTCGCTCCGCGCGCGTTGACGGCGCCACGGACGATGATAAGCCCGACGGATTTAGAAGCCAGCTCGGCATCATTGCAACGACTTTGACGTTCGCGCGTCGTCACGAATCATTTTTCCAAATGCCCCGCGAACAGCGCTCGCCGCTCTTTCCTCTCTGCAGCGCTTTGCCAATTGTTTCCTAACTCCGCTGTCGGCGTCGCGAAGCACGCGCCTGCCGTGTTGTCTCGCTAAATCTAACCGAAATGAAAATTTCGCAGTTCAACTCCGCCGGATGCCTCGTTTCGCATTCTCGGTTATTTATCTATTTTCTCTTTGTTACTTTTACGAGATACAATTAACACGCGAAGTTGAACAATGAGTAGATTTGTGTGCGGGCCAAATTAAATGAAAACGGCGAACGTCTCGGCCGTTACAGTCTCTCGTTCCTTCTCGAGAGTCCTCGAAAACAGTGATATATCGAGGAAAAAAACACTCGAGTCAAGAGGGTGATTTCTGCTTAGGTCAGCTCCTGGAGCAAAAGATGGTTCACGCACATCTTCCTGTTCTTCGTGCTGTTCTTATACAGCATACTAGGGGCTTTCCTCTTCATGTACGTGGAGAGAACCAACGAGCGGATTGTCATGGAGGACATTATGTCCGAGAGGTGAGTACGAGTTTCCTCCACTTCGCGAAGTTTAATGAGGTGTTTAATTAGTTTCCGCGGAGCTTCCTTATTAGATAGATGCGAATATTACGCGAGTGGACGGTCAAAAGAAGTAATCTGGGCTGCGAATATTCCGTTCAATATTTTCAGTCTTAATTACCCGATCGACGAGCGAGTAATGAAAGTTCATTAACGAAATGAAACTTCCTCTCGCGCGAGTCGCTCTGAACTTCCAAACGTCCCCTAGGCGCGAGACTAACGTACGTCTTCTCGCGCGCTCCCGAAAGAAGGAAAAAATTAAGGTTGTAAAATCGAAACCCGCCGACGTTGTATGTTTCACAGCCCGTTAGTCCGAAAATCGAGTTTGATCCCGTACGCGCGCCTCAATTGCCATCCGTGTCTCATCGATTTCATCCTCTGCGACGGATACGCGACTACGTATACAGACTTCCTGGATAATGACCTGCTAAATTGATAAACAAAGCTTTATTGCCACAACATTGGGTATTCAATTATACGCTGATTAATATCTCCGGAACGAAACAATGAGCCTTGCGCACCATAATCATATGAGATATTTTGAGCTAACCGCTTGTTTGTTCCCAAAGCTTTTTGAACAGGTGAAAAATTCTTCTTTAACCTGGCGATGTACAATGGAGAAAACGTCCGTATGGTGCGGTACGTACAGGGCTTCCGCGGAATAGTGACATTTAGAGTGCCGTAAGAGGATCAAAATTCAACTAGACACTTTCCAATTGAACGTCGCGCTCAAAGCAAAAGAAGAAAAGACACCATAGCGGTAATCCTTGGTTACGGGGCCGACGAGTCAACGGTAATGATCCATTACCGCATATGCTTGCTGCAGTTTTCAATTCCTTGGAGAATCCATTACTCCTCCGTTAGTTTTTCATCTGCGCAGTTTTACGTGGGCCATCGACGAACGGCACACATTGCGTGTTCATTAATACAGATTAAGCTCATCACCGCGGGTTCAAAAGCCGCCGCGGCAATTCGATTGGCCACACAACGGATGCACTCGTTGCTCGCAACTTTGCTGGGCGTCGCTCCTTCGGCGTGCCCGGAGGCGAACGGATCGCGCGCACGCCGCCGAGAGGCAGATTGAAATGTAAGCCAAATCAATGGACGGCCGCGTGGCGCGTGAGTCGCATGGGAATCGAGCTTCCACGACCCCGCGCTAAATCGCCGAGAGGCGCATTTCTCATTCCGCGCGCGCGCGCTCGCTCGTCCGGCCTTTCTTTGCCTAAATTTTTTAATATGATCAGTCGGGAAGAGAAGAGAAGCGGGCCGTTGCAGCTCTATCCTCGTGCAAAATTTACGACCGACGGTCGGAGGAAGAATCGAAAGTTTTCGGCCAGTGGCGAGGCTCCGATTGGCGTGATTGAAGTCTATTTTCTTGCTGCTTTTTTAGCGACTCGCGCTCCAGCTGCAACATTGGCTTTCCAAAGCAGTGGGAATGCTACTCCGCGCGAGAGCCGAACTGTTGCTGGCAGTTTGGGAACTTCGTTTCCGCAATGAAGTGAAAACGTGGTAAACGAATTTTTTCTCTGATATCGCGGAAGGAGATATTGCTCAAAGCCCCGACAATGCCGTCAAATTAATCCTCATAAGAGGGATTTATCGAAGAATCGACCGAAACAAAATTACTTTCACGATGTACGCTGTTTCGCCAGGGTTCGCCAAAATGCCGTTTTTCTCTAGTATATTAATCCACAAATAGCTCGACTCCATGCGGAGAGCAAACGAATAAGCCATCAGTCGACCTACTCCGTATAATGCTGTTCGCTTGAATAATTCACGTTCCGCGAAGTGCCGCGTAACTTTGGCATTAATTTGTTGCAGAGACAAAGTGATCAGGCAGATGAAGGACTTGTGGTTCGAGCCAGCAATGATCAACAATTCAAAAATGTGGGAAGGCCAAGCCAAGGGCCAATTGATAGCTTATGAAAAGAAGCTGGATCAGTTTCTCAAGCAGTTGCGGTATCAATTCGATCCGGCTGACGACACGTGGAACATATGGAACGCGATAATCTATTGCTGCACAGTCTACACGACGATTGGTGAGTGGGCCTTGCAATTTTCATTCGTTGCGCAAGCACACGCGGACATAAGTTTGCTATAGCAGTGAGCTGTCTGCCCAGGCACATCCCGAAAAATCCTCTTGCATTCTCATCTCAAGGTAACCGTCCCATCGCGGCTCGAAACCAAATGCAATCGTCACTCTCCCACGAAAGCTCGTCAAGCTCGATTGTATTCCTTGAAGAACGCTTTGTCTTAAGGACAAAAGTCAGCGTAGGTGCGCATGCAGGGGGTATCGTCTCTGTAGATTATCCAATATTTCCGAAATGATTTCAGTCAGTCGAGCGGTCGATGGAAGCACGACAAACACGGCGATATTCTCGAAAAGAGATTTACTTTGAGCTTGATCAACGCGTTCGGTCCTGCGCGATTCGACATCCACTGCTTAACAAACTCTGCGTGATTTATATGCGGCGCCGATCCGACAAGCACGTACAGCTTTTTCACCCGGAAAAGGACCCGTGGAAGAAAAGAAAAAAAAAGAAAAAAAGAGGCGAAGGGGCGTGATATTTCTATCGCGGAATGTATCACGGATATTCTTCCCCGGGAAGAGAGACATATATAAGAATGGAGTTTTCGCTTGGAAAAAGTCTGCATGATGTGGTTTTTATTCGCTTGGCTTTTCGTCCTTTTCCGTAACGGAGAGTGCAGTGCGTGTTTAGAAGATAGCAGCAGTCCTGCGCGAAATGTTTGCAAGTCGAGCTTTTTCCATCTTTTAATCACAATTGTTTATCAAATCGGCTCATTAATATTTCATACTAAAGTCGAGCGAAATAACTTTATTTTCCGTGCTACAAGTTTTCTATTGTTATTATTATTTTGTAATAAAATATAGGTGTATTAGTGCAGTACACGCCGTAAACATTTTACGAAGACGTTATTTCAATCCTCTTTTTGGTTTCCTCGACAATGAAGGAAAGCTTTTCTCTCTCTCGTCTATTTCCAGTTTAATGTCAAACATCTTTCACGAACTCTATCATTGACTTAGAGAAGCCAAGAGTGACAGTCACATCGGGAAGTTATCTTAACGATGAAAATTCCCGATGTGCGTTGTTGTCGAGCGCCGCTTGGAATTCGGTCGCCGAGTCGATTTATTTTGGGATCCCTTTGGATGCACTGGGGAGAAAATTTTTTTGGAGTACTCGTAGGTAGTTCGAACGAAATAATCGTAGGCGACCTCGTATATAAAAAGAAAAACAAACGAACCTACGAACCGAAAAAATTTTGCGTACGGTGTATCCCCACAAACGTTGCACTGAGTCTTCTCTATTTCATCTCGACGACGAGTGAGCGTGCTATATTTACCTCGCCCTGCTGCGACACGTTACACGGACGGACGAACAGAGGAGAGAGAGAATCCGTGTTCCGCCTCGGCGTGCAATCCGACGATCCAGCGATGAGACGCATACGTATAGGCGGAATCTGGACTTCGATTAGAATGTAATCAAAACATCGCTCGGGAAGATTTTTTTTTATTTTTCGATAAAGTGCGTTTTGATATGCAATTCTTCGTTCTCGCGGCGGCATTTCAGGTACAACTATCCGAGAATAATTTCTTTCAGCATCAACGAGGCGGTAAAAATGTATTCCGAACGGGAAAAAAAAATAAGAGAGAGAGAACCATTATGCGCTCGAACGGCACGCTCACATTTCGTATAATTAGAGTGGAGAAGAAAAAAAGCCGGACAAAAGATTCTCTCTCGCCTATGCGTCGTCATTATATCCGATGTACACGACGATTTGAAATTGAAATCGGTAGAGAAGGAGGTCGTGGCACGGGAGCGTCAAGAAAAAATAAGTTGACGACCAATTTTTTTTTCTCCGAGCGCCAGGGGAATCACGAGGCGGGCGGAATGGCCGGCTCTCTCGTTTTCCGAAAGGTGGCGCCCGTGGGAAAAAGGTCTAAAGCGAAAAGAGGCGACGGAGAAGAGCCGAGTGATATAGCGCGGACGGCGAATTTTCGAACGATATAACGCGGCGAGGCGCTGAGGGGGGAAGTGACGCGCCGTCGCCGCGAATATGAGCGACGTGTTTAGGGCTATCTGCAAGTTTGCACGCCCCAGTGCGGTGCAGCAGGCTCAGCTGTTGCCAGGGCCACGAGCTTGCATAAGTTATAAGCAGGTCGCGTCCACAGGAAATGAGCGAGAGACGCCCACCCTCCGCCCTCTACCACCCACTGGCAGTGCCTATAACGATTAACCTGCGTTAACGTTTCCATTGCATTACAATTTTTTTCGTCCGACTTGAGCTCGTCTCTTACTACTTGTTTCGAACTCAACGGGGATCAATGCTTGCATTCCGATTTAAAATCACTTTCAGCTGTAATCATTCACAACTAGAGTTCTACCTCCAATATTGCTGTTTCACAAAAGAGTGTGTATTTCGTTAAAAGATTCGACAAGCAACAACGAAGCAATGATTTATCGATTAGTTTGAACGAGTGGTGACAAATCGACGACTGGCACATCGAGTAAACGAACAATGTCATTTCGACAGAGGACGTGGTATCTCGTACGTCGCGCACGTCAGACAATTGAATCTACGATGGGACGGTGTGTGTGCACGGCAATATTCGCGCGCGCGCCGGAAGGCGCCGTGCAATTCGCGGATCTCTTGCCGTCGGAGAGGTCCGCACGTTATACTTTGCAAATAGGCCTTGCGAGTGGATATATATTTTTTTATGATATAGATTTTATTATTTCGGCGCGGATTGTGCTTTAATTTAAATTGTAACTGTCGCCACTACTTTGGCGTGTCAGAATATTCTTCTGCTATTAGAATATCGATCGCTCACGGAGAATCGAACTTCTGCTCTACTGGAAAATTCTCAATTTGGACGAGTACCTACCTTGTAAGCGATCCGCATCTTCTTCTGATGGATATTTCGTTACCAGAAAATTGTGAGTTTTAGATTTTACGTGGATTTTAAAAATAAGATTTTTTATATTAATTTGTTGCCTAGCGGCCTGGAAGTAGCATTTTCCCGGCCGCGGCTCGGTCGGTAACGTACTAATTTCGGCCTTGCTGGACAAAAAAATAGTATACGCTTCACGGCCGGGAAATTGACAAGCCCATAGCACGCGTTTGACAACCTCGGCTTTGCCTTGTTTGTCAATGCTCACGTGCTACGAACTTACCAGTACTTCCCCGACCTATAGGTGCGTTATTTACTATTTCTCGTTATACAATAAACAGGAATTCCGGTACAGCTTTCATTTTTATCGTTTAATTTATCAACGAGCAGCAAATATTTATGTTTTTTTTCGAATTTCCCTACACAATTCATAGATCGAAAAGTTGATTAAGCGTCAAATCTTCAAATTCACATGCCGCGTCGCTCTACCTTTTCCAATAGACTCCAGTAATGAGATTAATCTTATTATTTGCACGAGCAATTGTCATCAAAAGAAAGCCGTTGAGCCGCTTAACCCTTAGTAGCCTGATTTACGAAAGTGATTTTACTTGTTCACTTTGCCGCGCAAGTAATATGTCATAGATAAAATAATGATGATGATGATATTTGATTTTTTTTTAATTTCGTTGGAAAGAATATTATACAACTGTAAAATACGTACAGCCAA